GCATACTGTAATTGAAAAAGCCTCCTCAGGAAAAATTATTTATACACCAGAAGAATGGAAACTTCTCATCAGATGGGCTAAAACTGATCATAATAACTGTGGTAAAAACTATTACCCAAGAAAATATCTTTGATTTTAAAGGCGAAATAATTGATGCTGTTTGGAAAAAAGATATTCAAGGGCGAAAACTTTCTTGGAGTCGGATAAGGGAAGTCGTAGTTAAGAAAGAAAATCCGTCTAAATTACTGTACAAAATAATTTACCTGATGAATACTCCACAGTAGTTTTGCGAACATCGACACGTTCGGAAGCATCTAGGCCTATTTCTCAAATTTCGAAAGCATTAGCTCCAATACCAATTTCTGATGCTAAATCAATAAGTTTCATTATCTTCGCGCGTCGCTCGAAGGGACAGCCGCCGTGGTTATCCAATCCATAGAATTTTCAGCGAGTAATTATGCTATGGCTTGGAATTTATTATGTGGACGTTTTAATAATAAACGTCTTTTAATTCAAAATCACGTTACGGCATTATTTAACATTGAGGTCATTACAAAAGAATCGTCATTTATTTTAAAGCGCATGATTGACTCTTTAAATAAAAATCTAAGGGCACTCGAGTCGTTAGGTGAGCCTATAAATTATTGGGACACTTTATTAATTTTTATAATTACGCAAAAATTAGACAGCAAAACTTACCGTGAGTGGGAAAAATATAAAGGTCGCTTAGATAATAATAAAACCATTTCCTTTGAGTCATTTTTAACATTTTTACAAAATCGCGCCGACCTTTTAGAAACACTAGAACTTTCTCGAAATTCACAAATTAACCAAAATAAAAAAAATACTAAAATTAAAAGCTGGGTGTCATTCACTGAAAATCAGACACGGTTAAGCGGGAATAGCGAGGCGTCTCAGTCCAAATCTTGTCCAAATTGCAAGGGTGATCACAGTCTGAACAATTGTTCAAAGTTTTTAGGGCTTACCTGTGAACAACGGTTCGAATTAATGTCACAATTTAAGGTCTGTCATAATTGTTTACGTTCCGGTCATTATGCGAACCGTTGCAAGTCGATTGGTTGTAAAATATGTAAAAGAAAGCACAACACTTTGATTCACATTTCAGACATGAAGCCGAGGACAACTTCCAATCTTCCTTCCCATTCAGAGGACCGTCCCGTCTCCCTCCCTGGTACGTCATGCGACAATAATGGTAAAAATAATGTAACATTATCGGCGCAAGCTTCTACTTATCTAGAAAATAAATCTCAGGTACTTTTATCTACTGCCCTTTTAAAGATTTACGATAAAAACAATAAAGAATACTTAGCTCGCGCCATTCTTGACTGTGGAAGCACTTCTTGTTTAATAACAGAAAGATTAAGTAAATTATTAAATTTAAGTACAGTTAACGTCAACGAATCTTTATTAGGAATTAATAACTCTAAGTCACACATAGGCAAAATGTGCTGCGTACCTATAAAATCGTTGAACGAAAACTTCACTACTAATCTATTCTGTTTTATTATACCCCATATAACTGACGAAGTACCTAGTCAGCAAATTCATTTAAACAATTTTAATTTACCAAGTAATCTATGTTTAGCTGATCCCTACTTCCACACACCATCTTCGGTGGATTTAATTATTGGTGCGGATGTTTTTTTGGGACCTACTAGGTGTACGTAAAATTAATTTAGGAAATGGAACGCCGGTACTTTTTGAATCTAGATTAGGATGGCTAGTTTCTGGCCCTTTAAGTAAAAGCGGTCTTGTACCTCATTTTATTTCCAATAAGTCGTTTTTTACAAATGTAAATTTTAATGACAATGTCTCTTTGCACACTAATAGTTATGATGATAATCAAAACCTATTAATGCGTTTTTGGCACCTTGAGGAGGTTCCCATCAATCATCAGTTTTCTCAGAGGAAGAGAAAATGTGTGACGAGCATTTTATTAAAAATGCAACGCGTCTAACAGATGACCGTTTTTGTGTTAAAATACCATTGAAACCGTCGTGTGACATTTTAGGCAATTCGCTGCAACGCGCTAAGCATTGGCTTCTTTCGCTTAAACGACGATTTAAGGGTCAACCCCAATTTAAAAATAGCTATACTCAATTTATGCCTCAGATCGTATCTAATTATTACAATTCATCACTCGACATATAGGTTCTATGGAACCCATTAATACATTATGTCTTAGTTGGCTTATCGAGTTTGATGAACTATTTACTTTTTATTTTTATTTCAGTAAAATTGTTTTAAATAACCTAACAAAACGTTACGGAATACTTTCTGTTTTGTCACAAAAGTTTGATCCTCTAGGTCTTCTTAAATGCACAATTGCTATGAAGATATTAATACAAGGGTTATGGTTACTTAAACTTACATGGGACGACCAGTTGCCCTCTGAAATAAATAAACCGTGGCCGTGAATTGTAGAAAGTTTATCGCTTTTCAATAACGTACGCATTCCACGTCATGTTGTTTGTAATCAAAGTATTTATATAAACTTACATATATTTAGTGACGCGTCCCAAGTAGCATACGGTGTATGTCCGTAGCGCGAGTAATAATAATGATGTGTTGGTGCGTTTACTTTCAGCCAAAATTCGTGTCGCTCCCATAAAGCCCACCACAATACCGCGCCTGAAGCTCTGCGCTGCTCTTGTCAGAGTTCATCTTTATGAGATAATATTGAGTTCACTTAGAGTTCAAATAAGATCAATTACTTTCTGGTCAGACTCCACAATCCTTATAGGCTGGATAAAAATTCATCAATCAATTAAAACCATTTGTTCGCAACCGTGTGGCTGAAATTTTAGAACAAACTAATTCATGTAATTGGAGGCATGTTATCCCTGATCAAAACTCGGCCGATTGTTTTACTTGTGGTGCGAATATTAGTCAAGTTAAAGTTCTTTATTCGTGGTGGTTTGGACCACAATTTAAAATGCGACATTTGTTGGCCTAGTAAACGTGTTTTAAGTGATAAATTACCAGAAACTCTTGAAGTTTCTTTAACTAGCACTAACATAGAACTTGACTTTGAACATTACTCAAATTTTAATAGATTACATCGTTATATGGCTTTACCATTTGTAAAAGATAGCTACCCCAATCTCAATTTCTAAGTAGTTGTATCACTTTTGGGAAAGATTAAGGTAATACAAAATTTGCTGAATAATTATAAAAAAATGATAATTAAATTGAATTGTCACAAATGGAGTCACTCAACCAATATCTTAGTGCATAATAAAAAGTTATTGTAATCTTTTCAAATTTAACAAAAATAAAATAACGTGGATTGGCGATTGCTTAGGAGATGCATTACTTTTCTATGAAAAGAAACATTTGATTATTTTACAGTCCACTCATCGTTTCACAAAGTTATTTTTTAAACATATGCATATCCAACTTATGCACGCCGGTCCCCATTTAGTACGACCTTTAATAAGAGACATGAAATGGCCGATTGGAGGCTTCAACTAAGCTAAACATTGCTATCGGCAATGCTATTTATGTTGCCGTTATAAAGGAAAGGAAACCCTCTAATGGGCAATCTGCCTCAGTCCAGAGTAACTCCCGGTGGCTATCCTTTCGAGTGCGTTGGCGTGGACTACGCTCGTCCTATAATGTGCGCTGGTCGTCAGAATCGCGATTGTAGGCTAACCGAGGGGTATATTCTTATTTTCGTTTGTTTTACGACCAAAGCTGTACACATCGAGTTGACAGGCAGCCTTTCAAGCGATTATTATTATTATTTTTTTAATGAATTATTTATCAGCACTTCGTCGATTTCGCGTCGGTGGAAACCTAAGAATTATATATTCAGACAATGGAACCTCATTTGTGGGCGCGTATAATTAAAAGCAATTGCAATTTACAATCTGGGAATGTGGCTATATATCTAAACATATATTAAATAAACTTCCATTTTTATTCCTCCGCATGCTCCTCAATTTGGTTGTCTTTGGAAGGCAGGTGTCAAGCCTATATATTAAATTTCATTTACGTAGACTTAGGCAATATTAAACCTATAATAAATTATTCACTTTTTGACTAAAGAAGAAAAATATATCGTTATTATGACTGTTTTACATTAAAAGGCAGTTTTAATAAAGTTAAATTGTGTGCTGTGATTCTAATAATTTTGACTGACTAATAATGTAAGAGACGAGTATAAAATACTATATTAGAGTCAATTGATAATTATTGAAATAATAATTTTGATCTCATATAAAAATCAAACAATATTCTTAATCTTGTAACTTTATTTCTTATACTTATACCTATTAAATATGTAGGTATTTTTTTATAATTTTGACTGATTAAATAAGTAAGAATATTAAAAACACCTGCGGTTTATGTTAAGTGTACTATTACAACAAATAAAAGTTATTTTAGAAAAATACAATTTTTTTTGAAGTAGTTTAACAATCTTTTTACTAGGTTTACTCATGATACATACTATGTGTTCATAATCACCCACTTTTTTTGTTTTTTTGTACAAAAAAGTGCTACATGCGTTTATGTCATACATATTTTATGAGTTTTTTGTAGAACAACGTTATATATGAACATATGACCTATTATTTTTTGGAATGTTCCGTTGAACAATGTTATATATAAATGTACGGCCCATAATTTTTTGCCATTTTCCGTAGGAAAATGTCATTATTACACATGGAACCTCTTATTTCCTAAATTTGCATTAGCAATTGCTATGTATAAAAAAACTATAAACAAAATAAAAATATTAAAATTTAAACCGGCCGTCCTGAACAATTACATTTTTGCAGATGTTACGTTATTCTACGCAGGGTGCGATATAGAAGGAAGACATAATTATATAGAAGAATTGTAAGGATTGCCTTTTACGTAAACTGTAGGAAAGACAGTCTTCTGATCCACAAAAATCCAATTCTTCGTGATAAGTGGGTAATAAAGTAATCCATTGTAATAATTTGGAGTATAGAAAAAGTGAATGCACAAACCTGCTACGTTCAGCGCAGCGCGTCGCCTCCAAGCAGCTATATCCACCTTCATTATGTTGAAATAATCAACAAAATACACAAAAACTGATCACCAACTACGAAATAACACAACTTATACGTTAATACATGATTCTTTTGATAATTTTTAAGTAACCCAAGGGAAATTAAACGAAATCATACGAAAAACGCAAGAGAATAATGGTTAAAAATAAAATTTGAAATAAACATCACCGTACAACGTCCATGATTGACTGAACACAAAATTGACGTTTTAGTTAACTTTGGTAATGTAGCATAACATAATGTGGTATAACATAGAGTATATGATGATTTGTAATGTGGTATAACATAGAGTATATGATGACAAATTGCAGCAGAAACAAAAAAAAAAATAAGCATAATAAACAGCAGTTTTCAATAATTTTGTATTTCTTATACCATGGCATGTTATAACACTATATTTAAAAAAAATTTAATGCAACTTTCTTTTTTGCAAGCATTTCAAGAAAGGTATCAGGTACTTTTTTAAACATATAATTAAGAGTCATTATGACTCGAAAAACTGGGTAAAATTTAAGCCTCAAATACAAATGATTAAAATATCGGAACGGAATGACATGAAAATAAATGTTGCTATTTTTCTTAAAAAAATGGCAGCCTTTATGTCGTAAGCTTTTCTTTTTCTATATGAAAAGTTTTTAAATACCGATTTACGGATGATTTATAATGCAATTTGAGAAGATTCACGAGGTTTATCTATTTTCACAAAGAAGTAAATAATATTCTAACGCTAAAAGTTACTATGAGCGTCAATATCGCAGTAAGTACCTACTACGTGGTTAAATTCTTTTTGTAGCTGTAGATTTGCTATAAATTAGTTTTTCTCCATTTTATTGTCAGTTTCGCAAGACTCTTTATTTGTTGATAAGAAAACTTTGTAGTGTTAATGTTCGTCCTTTTTTCAGGTGGTGTAGGCTACTGTGCAAATGTTGAACGGATTCAACGATAAGGAGAATAATAGTTCCAGAAAAGTTAAAGAGAATAAAAGTAATATGAGCGCCGGAAGTGCGACGCTAGAAAGAGAGCTGGCTAGCACCCGGCGATTGCTATGGGGCGATCACGTAAAGGAGGATGTGTTTCGGCGATGGGCGCAAGGGTTCCAGTTCAGCGCTGACGAACCCAGCGCTCTTATTCAACAAGAGGGTGGACCATGTGCGGCCATTGCCCCTGTGCAAGGCTTCCTTCTCAAGATACTGTTGTCGGAGACTCCTGGACATAGTTTTCAAGACTTAACATCAGAAAAGTGCAATTCTTTGCTTGTTAGGGCTGTGTGTATGATAATAAGCCAGTGCCTAGTTACTAAGTACAATGTGGCTGTGTACCGCAAGAACGATTCTGAGGCAAATACTAGCGCTGGCAACAATGTGAGTGTAGAAGAACAATCTTGTGATGCAATTGACCATTTTCATCGAAGAATTGAAGTACACTCGTTCCAAACATTATCAGAAGTTGAGGCTTTCTACACAAGAAACATAAGAATTTTGAAAGACAAATATGGTGTTCTGCTACTTTTATATAGTGTCATTCTTAGTAAAGGAGTTAGCACAGTGGAAGCTGAGCTTGCTGAACTGTCAGATCCATTGATACACTCTACATATGGATATGGTTCCCAAGGACTTATTAATCTCATGTTGACGGGTCGGGCAGTGGCACATGTCTGGGATCATGACCAAGTTGTTGGTGGATTGCGACTAAGAGGAATTGAAAGGCAGAATGATATAGGCTTTCTAACCATTATGGAGCATATGCAATACTGCACAGTTGGCTCCTTTTATAAGAACCCTAAGCATCCTGTTTGGGTTTTGGCTTCAGAGACTCACTTGACTGTTCTGTTTTCTTTGGAACGGAGGCTGGCTGCTCCAGAAACTGCAGGGGAATCAGCTGAACGTATCTTTCGCTCATTTGATCCAGAAGGCAATAACTTCATACCATCCGCTGCACTTCAGGATGTATTGTGTGCTGCAGACCTTGTTAGTGAACCTGAATATGTAGAATTAATGAGAAGAAAATTAGACTCAGAGAATCTGGGTATCATTCTCTTAAGTGCATTTATGGATGAATTCTTTCCGGGTTGCGAACGCGGTGCGCCAGATACATTTACTTTGCATCACTACAATGGTCTACTTCGTAGCAGTCCTGGTGGTCGAGTAGTGTACCGCACTGGTCGGGCTGCTCTGCTTGAGTGCCCAATGCATGCTGCTACCACTGACCCTATGCTCACATGTCTTCAAACTAAATGGCCCAGCATTGATGTTGTCTGGGATGATGGGCAATCACCCTCACTTAACTAGCATCTACTACTTTCACTTACCAGCCGTGCTCGGAACTGATGCTGTGACACAGTGTGGAGAGTCAGATTGTAACTTTACTAAGTTACTGAAATTCCATTACTTTATTGTATTAACTTATAAATAGAAATTATATCAGATAATAATTTGTGGCCCACATATAAACCTCGCACTCTCTTGGGCAGCTATTTTCCATCAAATTTGACATTCTAAACACAAAATAAATGCAAAGAAAAAGAGATGTCTTCAAACAATTTTAGTGGTGGTAAATCTAAATAAACCAAACAATTTCTGTGTAGGTGATTAGTCTTAAACTTTTGTAAGACATTTATTTGACAAGCAATGCTTAAAGCAAGGGTAAATTTTATTAAATTGTAAAATGTGATTTTACAAAATTACATGCTTCAATACATATTGAAATTTGACTCTTTACTCAATGGTATCTGATTCAAAGTTATTGTCCAGTTTGCTTTCGCTGTATTGGGGAATGATCCCTTTATTCTTGTATGGAGCTAATTTGCTACAAGAATTATGGCAATGGATCCTGTAGCCTTTCTATCCTAAATTGTTGACTTGTACACACCCCAATGTTCGACACAATATTGTGATAATTTTAAGGTTAATTGTTAGTCAAAAGTTTTATCATCCTGGATCTGATGATAGACTCAAGCATTTAGGGGCCTAAATTATGGTATTGATCATAATCCTCCTCGGCTGTCAACAATGACTTGATGAATTGAATATACATTTTAGTGGCTAAAGGATTTATGCCTTTTATTTTAAGTTAACTAATAATTTGCTAGATACTGCTGTATTAAAAAAGAAAGAAGTTGCTTGTACATTTTTTTACTGCCTAAATATATTTTCACTACACATATCTCTATTAATCAACTGGTCAATATAAATATCATTTATCAATTCTTATTTACTAAAATTAATGATACACCTGTTATTGTTAGATTTATTAATTATTTATTTATTAATGCATGACTCAACTAGACCAGACAATGAAAAACTTAGCTGCACATGAATTATTGAAACATTTATTTTATAGTTATACAAAATTTATTCCTCATAATGTGCCTACTAAGTTGTTCATTTTTAAAAATTAGATCAAAATGGTAGCAATAAATCTTAACGAACTAAGATACGGTTTTCGAATGTGCAAGAACTAATATAAAATTGAGAGCTGAAGTCAAGATATTTATTATCAATAAATAGCCTGTAGCCTGAAAACATCCATATGACATTAAAATCATAGATTTGCAGTGCTAAATCATGCTTCTAAAGACTGCATAAATACTAAAGTCGCAAATTCAAAATTGTAGGACAAAACTGACAACTCGGGCCTTGCGAAGTGTTTAGGTATTAACTAATAACTAGTTTTACTGTCTAGCCAAATCAACATTATTGCTTAATTTCAAATTATGCAGGTCTGCTTTATCTAATTATTATTATTTTACAAACTATATATTCCTAGGGCCTTAGTTGCATTCATACATCATCACCACAGATAATGGTATATATGTCTTGTCTATATTATTCAGTATATATGTCTTATCTATGCCCGCTCCGCTATAACCTTCGGCTTACCCCTCGGAACCATTATCAAGACTTGATAATGGCTCCGAGCCCTACCCACTAAATTTTCATTGGCAAAAGTTAAAATATCCTGATAATTTCGTTCTGTTCTGTAATTTTCATACTCCGATTAGAAATGCTCCTTTCAAAAACAACTATTTTCACATATTTTCACTTTTTTATACATGCTCTCTAGTTGTTGGTCCTAGAAGTGTACTACACTCTACCGTAATTTTACTTTAAATTGTAAATTTTAGTAGATAAATTAACAACTATCGGTGCTGTGGGATTCGAACCTGCGTCTTCTGAATTCGCGCCCAGAATATACTTTGCTGTTTTGGAAATGTTTGCTTGAGCACTAATTCGATAGGTATCGAGTTATAGTAAAAACAATAAAACTGAATAAAAATGTTTTTATATCGTTGGCTATGTATGGCTGATAGGCTGGTACTTTGCTGTTATTATTGTATGATCCAAATATATTTTGTCTTTTACATCTTCAAAAGTAAAATAAGTCGATGCTCACAAAGAAACGTATCATAGCGAATAAAAGAGGTTTTACGGACGAAGTCTTACATAATCTTTGGGAAAAGAGAACGAGCGCTGCATCGCATACCACAATAAGTCAGTACAGTGGAGGAACAGCCATTAGTTTTATGTGATTACCGCCGCACATTGACATCAACAACACCTGAGGCACATCCTCAGATGCGTTGATAATGATTAAAAACACGTAGACCAAGGTGACCACTCACCAGGCGAAAGGCGAAAGTATTATACTTCGACTTCACGTTAGTCGGCTGTGAGACCGTGTTACTTCCTCGGACAAGCCTGCACATTCGTGGAACAACCGAAGCTGCTGCTTGGCCCTAACATGGTGTTTATTCTTTCATTTTATTTGTGTGGGCATATTTTTATGACCGTCACTTAATATTTATTTAATGTGTGTTAAAAAGAAACACATTGAAATATTATACTAAACAATAAAACTATCTGCCTTTTTAAAGCCGACAACTAAATGTAAAATAATAAAACAAATGAGAGCAATCAAATTAAGTTTCTGTTAACCCCAAACCCTCCGAAGTGTAGTTTGCATTAAGTCCTTTGAAATACATAAATTTTTGGGCACAAGCCAGCTAAAGTCACGCACAGATAAGACGCCCAGGTACATGAGGTGCGCCGTAGCAGCCCTAGGCCTATATATTATATCGATATTTTTGATTTAGTATATCCTTTTGATCTGATATATCATATTTATTTATTTTATTTTATTTATTTGTTTGAATATGGTATAAAGATGTTGACAGTCATATTACACGGTTCAATCATATTCAACTATTTCTGGTATACAAAATGCTTAGACATATTCAAGGTTACATTCTATACTTATTTTTAGTTAAGTTTGTCACAATTTACTTCATATATGATAACAAAAATATCCATACAATGTCCTTTTTATAAACTATGTCTTGAGAAACTATGTCAAAATTCAATTATTTGTGGGTCAAGTTGCATAAAATTAGACAAATAATATATATAATAATTAAAGGTATTGTTTGGAACTGTATTCAAAATATTCTTGAACTGAATAAAAGCATGTGTTCTTTAGCCACTCATACAATTTCTTTTTAAAGATTGTACACGGTAAGTTTATGATTTCCCTTGGCAATTTATTGTACACTTTTATAGCCATTACATAGCAATTACTGGAAATAAATTTTTTCTTTGTTTTTGGAATTATCAGCCTTTCTCCGAATCGGCTACTATACATTGCGATTTCATTATGCTCAACAAAGAGGTACCGGTTATTTTTTACAAAAAGGCTTAATTCATATATGTACATCCCAGTTAGAGTCAATATACCTAGTTTAGGAAATAGCGTTCTACAGCTTTCTAATGGCCCAACATTACAAATTGCACGTACACACTTTTTCTGCGCTAAAAATACTTTACTTATTTTTACAGCATTTCCCCAAATTATCAGACCGTATCGTAGAATTGATGATATGTATCCATGGTAAGCAGTTAATGCGGCTTTTTGTGAAATACATTTTGATAGTTTTCGGAGCGGAAATATGAATTTATTTATCTTTTCGCAAACACATTCTATATGCTTCTGCCATGTACATTTGTGGTCCAAATTTAATCCTAGGAATGTAATTTCATTAACCCTTTCTATATTTTGACTATTGTAACTAATTTTTAGATCTTCCTTTTTTTACAATATTGAATTGCATTAGTTTGGTTTTATTAATGTTAACTGAAAGGTTATTTTGTTCCAACCAGTGCATTACTGCTTGTACAAATTTGGAGATTTCGTTACTATATGTAGTTTTATCATTACATTTGACGATTACTGAAATATCATCGGCAAATAAACAACATTTATGATGGAGAGCATTTGGGAGATCATTTATGTAAGTAAGGAACAGCAATGGCCCTAACACACTGCCTTGGGGAACTCCAAAAAGATTTTTTCTAAATTCAGATCTGTATGTTATTGCTGTCATTTTGTTATTAAGTCCTGAAATTTCTACACATTGTTCACGACCAGTTAAATAATTCTCAATCCACGACAGAGCCGGACCTCTTATACCGTACTTGTATAGCTTATGAAGAAGTATTGGGTGAGAGACGAAGTCGAACGCTTTACTTAAATCAAAGATATATAACATATTCAATATCGAAATCGTATCAAAAACGATACTTTTATTCAAATTTGATTCAGCTGAATATTAACAGAATTCAAAGCCGTAAAAGATAGAAACGAATGGAAATTAAATAAGTTTTGTCTGTGACTGTGAGAGAAAACGAGTGGAAGTGTCATTTGGGCATTTCTATTACATATTACTCAAAGAGAATGTAATCACTAGTTCACTACGTTTACTGGTATTACTTTACTTTATGCATTTGGGCGTAACCCGACGACCCCTGTTTGGGCAAAGTTTTACTAACTGAAGTAGTGTTGCATACCGATACTCTGCTATCGATAGACAATCGATTATCTATCGATACTTAAGGTAAAAGCAATAGTATCGATAGTCTATCGATACTATTGCTAAGTATTGTCACGTGTCAATACTGTCGATACTACCGATAGTATCGATGGCTCTCCAAGTGCTAATACTATTGATAGCAGCAATAATGTCGATAGTATCGGTAGTAATGCATGCGATAGTATCGATGGTATCGATAGTATTGCAATTGCCATTAATTTTTGACAAAAACTATCGATACTATCGAGCCTCGATAACAATAGTACTGCTATCAATAGTATTGGCACTTGGCGAGCCATCGATACTATCGGTAGTATCGAAAGTATTGAATTGGACGATATTATCGATAGTACAATCGATATCCTGAATAGTTTTCGAGGTCAACTATTGATAGTCAAACTATCGATGGTTGTGCAACACTAAACTGAAGGCTGAATAATTTCTGAGTTCCTAGTCAGACTGACTACCAAAGAGTACATTATTAATATAGAGTCATCAGTCTCCTCTTGAGACAGCGACATCTCTTGATGCGGGACCGAACTACAAGCTGTATTCAACTAGAGTTTTCTATATAGTGTATATGAAATTTATTTTATTTATATTTGATAACATTGTATACAAAACTGTAATTGGATACAAGCTTGCTAGATGTTATTTTTGGATAAAGTAAATAAGATACAGAAATATGTTTTACGAACTCTTTCATTTTTATAATATTCACACGCTACTTTTTTTTATAATCTTTGTTATGAATGATTTCGAGTTTGGTGCCGTTTAGTAAATTATTTACGTTAAATTATTTTTGGCTATCCAAAATCAGTAAATTTCCTCCAATCGATTGAATCCATGTTTTAAATCAGTCACTATCATTTTCAGGTGAGAAAAAGAATGCAAATTTGCGTTGCAGTCTTTACCTGTAAATAAAATGTGAATGTTTTGCCGAAACGTATAACAAAATAAAATGATGAATAATGAAAGATAACCGAATAAAATAAATTAATAATAACCAGCCGCAGTTCAGTGTTACCAACTGTTAAAAAAAAACTCCTAAAGAATTTCAAAAACCTCCTGAACAGTGGATTGTTTTCAAAAAAAAACTTCGTAAATGAAAAAAGTGACCTTTTTTTTAAATTACCTAACAAACTAGAATAATTATCGGAAAATTTAATTATCTGGGTAATCAAAACTGTTTTATTTAAAAATTAATTTAACTAATTTACTTGACCTTGAACATTGTTCATTTACTGGAAAATTATTTATACAAATTAAATACATTTTATCGTGATGTTATAATCATTTTCATTATTTTTAAGAATCAGATAATAAATAATGGAAAAAGTATCATTCAATTATAAAAGATCTGAATGAAACATACCTACTTTTAAATGCATTTCCTTTTTCCCACTTAGCTGCATATTTTTGAACATATCCGATGGCAATTTTCTCACCATTTGCCATTTTATAATATTACTTATTAAATGAATTTAATATGTTATGAGTAGCCGTATATTCACAATAAGAGTTTATGGCGGGACAATTTAAAATATTACATAGGTCAATGCTGCCAATACTATATTTTGTTTTTTTTTTTTTCAAATTAATAATTTTTATATAATAAAATAAAATTTTCTCCAAAATAAGAACCATTTATATAAGTTTTTTTAAAAATTTATTTTAACTTAAAAACTAATTTAATGGTACCAAGGTTGACCATTTAAAACAACATTGTTTTCATTAACTGGAAAATTATTTATGACAAGCTCCATTAAATATATCAATTTTATCGTGATCAGTCTATAGCATCATTTAATATATTATTTTATAGCTAATCAATCAGGAATAAACAGGTAAATAATGTAAAAGAACACATTTCTTCTATCAATACATTCTGTGTGCCTAACTAAAAATATTTATTTCAGGCCTGGCTTAGAAGTCCTTGATACCGGGCCATAAAATAAAAAAAATATTATATTTGAGGCTTTGAGGTTGGTTGTTTTGTCCAGGGATGCCAACTTAGGAATTTTCTTCTCATTTGGCGCTGTGATAAAGCGGAAATGTTTCTTACCTTTTTTAATTTAGTATCCTACTCTAATAATTTGTGGCGTTCTATTTAAAATTCTTCCACTTGCTACTTTAGCCCCACCTTAATTTGCTCCCTTTCACACTTTTTAATACTTTTTAATACACTGAGATGGTCCTCCTTTATTCTACCCTCCATAATTGATAAATAAATAATTCGTAGTAATAATTCACAATGACACATGGTAATATCCACTTTGTATTGTTGAAAACATTACAACTCAATAAACCTCTTTTAATGTTGGATTGGCATTTATATTGGTCTTTTATGTAAATTAACAAAATTATAGCATATTTCCGTACTATCCCTAAATATGGATAGTATACAGTACGAAGCATTAAATTATAGTACAAATACTATAATTACAATACAAAATCAACACTGGCCCTAAGTTATTACTCGTAAACTTATGAAACCAAAATGGAGCTCAAAAAAGTCAATTGAGTTGTTAATAAACACATATTTTCATACATAGTTTAACAACTGAAGTTAATGTGTGTGAAAAATCGTGGTAAATAATTATATTTTGAAACTTGAATATCAATTTTTTTAAACGCTTAATTTTTTCTTAGATAAGATTTCGCCATTGTCCTTTAGAAATAAAAAATATGGAATGGAAGTTTTTTGAGAGGTAAATTTTTACGGGAATATTTTTTTAGCGGTTAAATTTTATTCAAATTTTCAAAAACAAAACTACTTATTTTAAAAAATTAAATTAAATTTTACAGTGCTGTGCTGCTTTGGACGACGTCAGGCCAAAGCCTATGTGTCTGGTATGAATATTTTATGTAATCTAATTATTATTTGTTTTAATATTGTTTTGATTTTATTTTATCAGATAATTATTTTTCCTTTACCTATAATATAAAAAAAATCGAGATAAGATTAGATTTTAGATGTTTTTGTTTGAATTTAGTAAATTTTAGTGGGTTTTCGAATTGCTTGAGTATTATTTTTTGAACAGTTGGTAACACTGGTTTTGTCCCAATTAATATTATTAATTTTATCTTCTAAAATTTCAATTCGACGTTCGATGAGAAATTTTCAAATCAAACATTAATATTAAATAAATAGGAATAATGCCTTATGACAGTGAATTTGGAAAATATGCGACTGAATATGATCCTATCAAAATAGGTTCTATTGACGGTGCGTTTATATATTTTATCAGTTGTAAAATTAATTTTTAACCTCATAGCATGTAATAAAACAAATACCTGTTTAAAACCTATATAATATTCATCAGGCACTGATACTGAGCCACATGATCGGGCAATCTGCCGAGCCTTAATTTCGGAATATACTCCTAACAAACAAGTGCAAGGTGATCCTCAACTCACAATTTTCGTTGCTCGGTTGAATCCAAGAACAACACAGGTACCTTATTCATAGTATGAGTTATTTGCCTGTAAACCCTAAAGTAATTTTTAAGTGAGCATACTCGATTTATATAAATAAAATATGTTATCATTTCTCTAATCCTTTGAAAATATTATTGCTTATTGGGAGATATGTATCAGTAATTTTTGGCATAACAATGGTAATAATTTATTATATTTACGTTACTTGGATATTTTAATTGTTTTTAGGAAACTATTCATTCAGAGTTTTCAAAATTTGGTAAAGTTGTACGATGTAGATTAGTAAAAAGATATTGTTACTGGGAAATCAAAACAGTATGCATTTGTGGAGTATGAAAGCATGAGTTCAGTTGAGAAAGCCCTAAAAGTAATGCATGCAGAGTACATTGATGGCACAGAGGTAATAGTAGAAAGAGAAGCTGAAAGAAGGCTGATTGGTTGGAGGCCTAGGAGACTTGGCGGTGGGTTTGGTGGACGCAAAGAGTCAGGACAGCTAAGGTTTGGTTGTCGGGAGAAACCATTTAGGAAACCTATTATTGTGACACAAAAACAAGATAATGAATTTCCTGCTAAGAGGTACAGTTTAATATAGTTACAATAAGGTATTTAATACAAAATTAAAAATGTTAATCCTTCATACTCTATTTATAGGTCTCATAATAGCTGATGTGAAACAAAAACATAAAGCGATGTCACCTTAGTAATCTAATAGGTCATGCAAAGTCACCATATAATTAGTGAAATAAACATGTCACCCACGAAAAATGCATAAACAATGTGCAATGTATGTTGCAAAGAGTTTAAAGGATGGTGCAAATCCTTTACTAAAACAGAAATTGCACTGGCAATTCTACAGGCAGTGCTATTGGTCATATTTATTGCTTTTTTAACTTTTTTGATACTACATCTGATTGCATGTTTGAATGGAGAAAAATTCAGTGATATTGAAGCACCAAAACTTGTATCAACAACACCCAAGGCAATCAGCGTCATTGGAAAACCATCAACACAACATCCTCTTTCAAGCAATGTAACATTGGACCCAGCAATTGAGTGTACTTGGAAACCATCAGAGAAAACAATAGCTGAAGAACGTTATTACGAAAGTGATGAGGTCACAACTGCAATACCAATGTTAGTTCCAACAATTTCTAAAATACAAAATACTGTAAATGAACCCCTACCTAAATATGTTGATGGTGGCATTGAAGTAAATACATCCATATTGACTAGCGGCTCAAATGTTGACTATGTAAACAAAGGTTTCTTGATAGCTCTTGTTAAACTGAAGCTGCCGCAAGATGTTACTTTTGGCTGTGTCTTGACTATTATCTCAGAATATTGGACGTTGACTTCTGCAAGTTGTATTGAAGCAATCGAAGAAGTGGATGCAGTAGACTCTTTTGTGATGATGGAAGGTTATGTCGAAAACAATATAGGAAAAACACATACATTGTCAGACGTCTTAATACATCCAGAGTATCATGGTGTTAACAAGAAATATGATGTAGCTGCTTTAAAATCTGAAGACCATTTAATAAACAAAGGGCAGAATGTGGTACAGTTACCAACTATGTTGGATGCTCTTGTGTTAACTATCGGAGAACAATTGAGCCTTTTAGGTTATGAAGGGTTCAGGTAATTTATATTTTATTTTCAGCTATTACTATTTTCATTTCAAGGCAAATCACTTCATCTATTAAATATTGTATACTTTTATTAATATGTTTGACTTAAATTTTTAATCAAATATTTAAAAGTTATTAACCTCATTTGAAATAATTACCCTGAAGTCGATGAACTTCCCTCTTTGGTTGGCCAGTTACTTACATATATGCTGAAGTAATTTATTTAGCAGCATAGTATTGAATAGTCATTGACAGATTTGAATCCCCGAATCCAAATGTAGGAACAGATTTCCTCTATTGGTCGAGTGTATGTTGATCCGATCCCATCGAGGGCGGCGCAGGCTCCGCGTGCGCGAGGTGGTCGTGCACACGCTGGCGGGGGCGCAGTGCGCGGGCTCTTGGGCGCCGCGGCACCTGGCGGGGGGCGCGGCGGTGGCGGGGGGCGGCTGCGGCGCGGCGCCGCTGTGCGTGGGGGCGCCGGGGGCGCGGGGCGGGCGCTGTGCGCGGGTGCGCTGCGCCGGGGCGCCCCTGCTGCTGGGCGGCGTGGTGCTGGGCGTGGCGGGGGCGGCGTGCGGCGCCGAGCCGTGCGCCCCCGCGGCGGGCGCCAGCGCGGCCGCCGCAGCGGACTGGCTGCGCTCCGTGCTCGCTGGCATCCACAGCCTCCACGGCGACGAATAAACTTTTTCACTGCTTCTATCATGTTTTATTTCAATTTTTCTGCTTTCACTTTGTTTACCTTTATTTAGGGATTAAAGTACGAACTCTGTATTCGCAATTGACTTTCAAAACAGAGTTTTTCAGCCGAAATTTATGGATTTACCCTGAACAGCAGATTTTCATAGGTACACAAAGTTCACCTCTACCATTTAATAATGCAATCATTCTAAATATTACTGTAAAATATTATAGTAGGCTTACTATTCTGGCCATATGACCATAAACGTCATGGTAATAAAACACGTTATTTGTCGTATATTTGTCTATTGCAAGGTAATTTTTATAGTGTAAAACGACAAGAAAATTGCTTATCTATGAACATTAAACTGTTCATTTAGCGTAATAGTGGTATTATCGATAAAAAAAATCCAGTCATAAATAACTAGGGACTCGAAGATTACGTATCAAACAGAGTTGACATAATTTATTCCCACCGAATCTACTGAAAATGGAATCTTCTTTTTTGTTTGACATTACTCTGTAACTGTTATTTAACAGTAAGTCAGTCAGTTGTCACTCGGGATACCGTAGCATTCAAGTGAAAAGAATACGGTAGTATTCGTGACATGAACAAAGCTCTGGCCGCGTGGTCGGTTGTGATGGCGGTGTTCGTGGTCGCGGCTCTGACCGTGTCCGTGATGCAGATGGTGGGCGACGCCGGTACCCCCGCGCCCCTGGACTACGAGGACGAGCCCTAAACTGACTGCGCACTAGTGGCACTAAGGGGCATACCCTCGCCCCTTAACACGCAATGGGCTTCGATGGAATTTGTATGGTTTTTCTGTCAGTGAAATATAAGTTTACTTTGTAGCAGTATTCGCTTGTTACCTGTGTTGATCATTTCTGATTAATAGCAGTTTCATCGGATTGTTTTCACACCTTTTGAGGTGACATGACAACGGTCTGCATTAATTTTGAAATGTATTTTGCTATGACTATCGCCGCCCACAGGCGTGGGGTTGCAACCCTTAAAGTGAGTGGGCCTCGGTGCCTCTGTTTACTCGCCTGTTCTTTACAGGCATATTTTTTTGTAGGCAAGATTTTTCAATCGATTTTCGGGGATATACGAGGCGCAGACTCGGAATAGTACGCTTGTACGTGACTCAAATATGACCACCAAAAAACTATTGCATTACTGGATTTAGTTGTAGTTGAGTTTTCTAAATAACCGAAATGAAACTCGTGTGTAAGCATTAACGTAAACAATTTATTTAAATATTCTTCACAAGATCGATTCACCATTATAACACATGGGGAATGGATTACGGGCTGCGTTGCTTATATACAGACACGTGCGCGCCGCTGTAAATTATAAAGCGTCTCACATTTCATACGATTTCGCGATACGCCGAAGACCCTTTATCCCGTACCTCAGCCCCCTTTTTAAGAAAACGTATCCTCTGTACAATCTCACTAGCACTAAACGATTATGTTAGTATGAAAAATTACACGAGCGCCTACCGTTCAGTACAGGTTAATCAAATTGATTGAAATATAACAGAGGTGGTCGAGAGCGATGCGCATCAACTCCTATTGCAGTAATGACTTTAGTTTAAATCAAATTACATTTAATTTATTATCATTTCACTTTAACATTATCGAGTAAGAGAAATGCACTCTTTTGAATGTCACCATAATTAATATACCAGTGAATAAAATTAAAAAATATTTACTATAATCTGATCTAACAACACTCTGAATGATAAACAATATTATAAATAAAATTAAAGTATAGAATAATACAATTAAAGGGGTGTATCCGAGTTATGTATCACGTTGAGTAACTTATCTTTACATATCTATAAAATATTAAATAGGTATAATAAACTAACGGAATATCATCTTACTGTCTTAATGTCTTCCATTACCCTTTTATAAGTTAAAATTCGTGATACATAAGCGGCGGACTCAACTGATTTCGAATCATAAAAAGAATAATACATCATTAGGAAAAATAAAAACCAATCATGGAACTTTCACGACAGAAACGTATTGCAAAATAAATAGGTCAAATTATAAATTATGTTACACACGGTGGCTACAGCTTGCCGTTGAAATTTCCATTATTTACAACGCAATCCGTTTTTGGCGCGAAAATTGACATGCCAATTGTAGTATAAATAAATTCAATAATAATAATTAATCGAATAATAATTGAACAAAATGTCGAAGATAAACATAGTAGGTATTTATGTTATATTAATATAGTGTATCCTAAGCACGTGAGCAAAACTAGAGCGAACAGGAAACTGTCCGAGTGGTGTTCTAAGCCACCGATTCACAATTAAACGCCTACCTTATAACTCTTCCCAATCATTTATATGTATATCTGAATAAACAGCGATTTCGAATTTCGACGTAGATAATTAATGAACAAATAATTCAATCATTGAAAATGAAAAAAAAATCGTGGGTATAAAAAAACTATTGCAGTGTTGCTACACTTTGTGAATAAAAGTCTTTAAATTAAAATGATTGATTCTCTATGTATAATGTATTCCGTCATAACTATAAAACGCATTATTGCGTGAAATCGCGGTCATCGGAACGATTCAAAGTAATTAAGTCAAAAGAACGAAAAGTTAAAACGGAAAGTTCGAAAAGTAAAGAAATATTTGTAAATGGGAAATCACGACGAGTGGTTTTGCAGTGAGAAAGGCAACGCTGCTACGTTAAATGCCGCTGCGATATGGCTCCCCATCACCTGTAGCCATTGTTCCGTCGTAGTAGTCACCCTGCTATTGGTAAAACAAACATTAATTAATTATTTAATGCTCTCATACACCATACTACTATAAGACGGATTCTTCGGTCGGTTTCAATTTTCTCTCTACAGATACATTTGGTTACTGCTTTCGTCAAAATTCTATCTCCAGGAACCAAATCTATCTGTTGATAAAATATTGGAACCGGTCGTAAGACTAAGCGGATATACAGTGAAAAAAAAAACTAGTGTCTACAAATTTTGACTCGTGGAATCGAATAAGTCTAAATGTTAACATAGAGAATGCATTCCGAAAAAATATTAAACTTGCAAAATATTTATAATAGTACCTACTGAACCATTTGAGACTAGTATAACAATACTACTTCAATCTATTTCTACAAAAGTAATGCATAAGTGTGAGTAATTTCACGTGACGTAAATTTAACGATATGGTAGCAAAAGTTAGCTCCCAACGTGTAATATACCTGTTAATGTCCGTTGGGGACGCTCTCGGCCTCCTGGGTGCATGCGGCAACACCACACTCAAAGTTACTTAATACAAATACAATTCTATGATGAAACATAGGAGGATGGACGAGTACTTCAAGGCCGATGAGGATCCGACGGGATCGATGAGGGTCAGGACGAGGGGGGCGGGGGGTCGAGGGTCAGGGTGGCCGAGGCGACGTCCGTCCGCTCGGAGCATCGGAATTCGATCAGAACACGTACAGCGATGGTCCATTACGCTGGGTTTGGGGGTGGGGCACGGTACCTGAGCGAGCGGCGCCGGCACGAAGTAGCCCTGGGGCGGGGCGGGCGGCGGGGCGGGCGGCAGCGAGCCGGCGGGGGGAGGGGCGCGGGCCGAGGCGCCCGCCGGGTTCAGCACGTCCACGTACGACTTCTTCAGGTCTGTACGCCACGGGCGACGGTCACTTTCTCATTCTAGGGGGTCGGGCGGTCCAACGTTCCCCACATTCGTATAGCAATGTTCTGGCTAGACTTCGGTAATATTTATCGAGGTGAAGATCTATTTATTCAATATAGGCTTGTTTTAAGCTCTTATTGAACGTCGAGAAATTCCCACTGGTTCACTAAACTAGATCCGTCCAGGGAAGAACTCGCAAGAAATTCTGCTGTCTTGGTATCTTATTTTTAACGATATAGTACACAAAATTATGTAAATATAATAGAAAGATGATATAGGCAGAAAGTTGGTCACTTAAGAGTACGTCACTGCTTACCATCACGTGATCGAGAATTACACTGTTTTTCAGAAAAAAGCCGCAATGTCTTTTGTACTCACTTCTTCCCTTCTGCATCTTGAAGATGTTGGAGACGGGCGGCGCGCCCGGTGCCCCGGCTGCACCGCTCCTGGCAAGCGATGCAGGCAGCTTAGCATCATCCATTCGCTGATCTCTTATTTATTATTAGATGAATGAACAAAAAACTTCTAAGGACGCAAACACTCGCTCCACTTATCTGACAGAAACGCCGAAACGTTTCTAAAATACGTATAGAAGTGTATATACGTAATATATGTTTATGTATACGTTTTAAATTTAATTATATATGAACATGTATATAACATTTATTTACATAATAAGCCTTTACGCAATGAATACTTTTTGTGTAAAAGTTTAATAATAAATAAATAAATAAAATAGCTTCTATAAGGAAAATTCTATACGAGTAGTTGACGCACTGTTGGGCGAGGGCGGGGGCGTGCGGGTGCGCGGGCGGCGGCGGGGGAGGGCGCGGCGCCTCCTCGCCGTCAGAATCCAGGTTGCGCCAGCGCTTATGCTCCGCGTCCCACACGATCTGCCGACGCCAACCAAGACGGATATAAACTCACGTTCGCTTTCGAATGACTAAACTCTGCTTCAGTTGATTAAAATTTGAAACGTACCGCTTTTAAATAAGCTCCTGGCACATTCGTAAGTTCGTCGATTCATTGGGTGCAAATTTCGAATGACGTCAGACACGCATACACGAACTTTTACGACGCATACGCCCGCGGGGGGTGCCAAACTTCGTATCAAACATATTATCTGATATGTGTGCACAATATATGTACATATCGAATACAAAAAATAATAAAAGTTTCTTTTCGCTTTATAAAAATGCAGCCGTAGGGAATAAATGGAATGAAAAACAAGAAGTAGTGAGAGCTTTATTTGAGAACAAGCAAAATAACATAGAATAAATAAATAGATAAATATATTAGATATTGTAGATAAAGAAATATTGCAGACAGAGAAGAGACGAGGGTCATAGGAGGGTGGGGGCGCGCGGGGCACTCACGGTGGGGTTCTTGTCGTCGGGCAGGATCATCTGGTTGGGCGCGCGCAGCGACAGCTTGGTGAGGATGCCGCCCAGCCAGCCGCCCTTGGCGCGCCCCTCCGCCCCGCCCCGCCCCCCCCCGCATCCGCCTTCGCCCTCGCCCTCGCGCCCTCCGACGCCTCCGGCTCGCGCTGCCAATTTAAACGTGGACCCAATAGATGAATTGGTGCAAGCCTTTCGTGTCTAAACGAAACGGTTGTCGAGATTTTCGCAACGTACGGATACCGGGCATTTGGCTCAGTCGACTTGAGCGTATGGTCACATTACCAAGATGATGTAGACTCGATTAGGTTAGAAGACAAGACGAATCTTGGCATCATTTATTTCCACAACTACAATTAAACTGACATTATTTTTTATGTGAGAAAGTGGAAAAAGAGCTGGCGGTTCACCTGATGTTAAGTGATAATCCATCTTTTAATAAGGTGGGTCTCGGCTACCTCAGTCAGCAGACGAGATGCTATGAGACATGAAATAGGGCACTTTCACTTTACGCCTGGTCTTCTGTGAGGTCGTGGTACTTACCCGGACGGACCTGCCCATTCGTGCAAAACAGCGAACACTGTTGCGTGGTCCAACCAAGTCCAAGACGAGTTTTATAAATGACGCAGCCATGAAACGGTGTTACGAAGATAGGTGGTCGCCAGCATTGGGAGAGGAGAGTAATGCGTCAAGGTGTCCGGCACATACATCGGCGTCGGCTTTGGGCGGCTCGTCCGTCTCGTAGTCGGCGAACGGCGCGGGCTTGGAGGGCGCGGCGCCCGGCATCGTGATGCCGTCCCCAGGCGCCATCTGGTGGCGACCGCTCCGACGGTTAAGCTCCACCACACGTGACACAGTGAATATAATGTGCACTATTTAATTAGCTGGTCCAAGTCCGGCCCGTGCCAGTGAGTAAATATTAAAATAAATAATTGGGCTCTGTGTTCGTTTTGTAATTGATTTTCACTAGTTCCCTTAGCATCTCCAGAGCCCAAGACCTAATCCCAACGAAATTAATATGGGACCACATGGGAAGCACCACATCTCAAATAAAAAAATAATCATCAGAATCCGTTCACAATCGAAAGTTCTGAAGTAACAAACAGAAAAAAATACAGTCGAATTGAGAACCTCCGTTTTTAGAAGTCATGTGAAAGTAGAAGCAGATTAAAGTGGGAAATATCAACAGACTAGTATACAAGAATTTTAGAGATAACTACCATAAAATTGGGCCAGAATTATTATTGAACCAAATGACCCAATGTAGAAATAAAACAAACAATTTAGTAAAACGTTTAATAACTGCTAATCTAACAAATAAGGATGTGTAATTCGTTATTAACATCTAATTAAAATAAATACATGTGCAAAAAAGTCACTAAAAAATTTACGAATTGTGACAGATCTTATCAAACAATAAATAAAACTTAATTTCACACAAGTTACTCAAGTTTGAATCACTGTTAGTAAACACATTCTAGAAACAACAAATATTACATTGGGGCAAAAAGCTCGCAACATTGCTGAACAAATGATAAATGCAACTATAAGTTATTTTTATATAGCAATTTTTTTTAAATCAAATTCATAATAAACAAATTCACATAATACTGCAGATCTTTATAGTTTATCACAGAAAAATAAATTTAAAATGATTAAAGCCACAATTTCGCTTGCAAAATCTCGAAGTTATCTTGTTGCGAAAAATCCAATCACAACATTTTCTTTTGTAGATACAAAGGCGCAATGTTAATTTCTCATGTCATGGTAGCGACAACAATAAACTACAAATTCAATATAGCTAAAAAGCATTTCCATTTTAGTTGAAATAATTAAGAACAAAATTAACAGGGGCAATATCAAATTTGGGCTAACATTATGCTATTATAATTGAAGAAAAATATAAATGCATAAATGATTATCATTTCAAAGAGAAATCCACAGATTTTAAAATATACACGTTACTATATTATAACGAAACTATATATTATGAACGCTATTATAAAGGAAGCCCAATTTTGGTGTCTAGTTTTTGGGTTAATTATAAACATTTTTTCATTTTAAGTAAACAGAAAAATGGGAAAACATTTAATTCTCTGCAAGTCTGCACTTAAGATGAAACTTAATTTATCGTCGCAACCAGGATTCGAAGCTGCACTGTCCGGATTGCGCGTCCAGACGCTCTAGCCACTTAGCAAAGCCGAGGTCGAAATCCCCACTGAGCGTACATCTTGACATCATATTGACTTTGTTTATATTCCTTTTTAGCAATGTTTGGCGTTATCTCTAAAGGATGTATATTAGCTTCTCTTTCTCAAGTTACATTTTTACAAGGAATGTTTATTAAAAGTAGAAATTAATTCTTATAACCTCCTTCTGTTTGAAGTCGGTTAAAAAGAAGGGACGTCGCCTTTGCTGATGAAATTTGATTTATATTATTTCAATTAAAGCGCTAGTCTCTGCATTGATGATGACATTTTAAAAATGTGTAGTAAAGAAGTGAGCAAAAATTTTCGCCACTGTCAATTAATTCAAAAAAGGAATCCGGAAAGTGCAGGTTTGAATCCTGCCAACGGCGTTAAAGTTTGCAACAGTTTTGTTACAAATTTTTATGGTACACATTTTTCTTCTTCAGTAAGTCAAATAAAAAAACAATAATACATCTGAGATGTCATTTCAAGTTAAAGTTGTATTTTTTATTTCATATCACAGCAACAATAATACCTTTATTTTGATGAGGTAAGCACAGATAGTGACAGAGTATGCTCATCACAAGTTTTATTTGTGCCTGGTGCATGAGAACAGTCTTATGTTTATTCACTTGGCTTGCTTTCGGAACCTTAACAGCACCAGTTGACACTGTCAATAGTATGCTTGTAATTTTTGAACTGTGGTTTCTTAATACAATTTACTATAAGAAATATATAAATAGCTTTAAAACATTTGGTTTGTATTGACATGATAGAATTACATAATTAATTAGTAAGATTTAAACACAACATTGAATACATGCATAAGGTTTTGAACAACTAATTTAATAAAGAATAATACACTTGAAATACTGATCTTATGAAGGTTTTCAGATCGAAGTGAGATTCCCGATTGTCGTAACGTTGAATTGTCGTTAAAGTGTATGCTCCGGGAGTAGTGTTTTCAATCGTAGGAGAGGGGCTCGTCGATGTCGAAGGTCTTGGGTCCGGCGAGGTAGTAGCGGGCGGGGCGGTCGCGGGGCGCCGACGGGTCGCGGCTCGCTTCCAGCTCGAGCGGCTCGTCCACGGGGAAAGTGGAGGCGCGCTGCGCCAGCTTGGCCTCGAAGCGCTGCAGGCTGCGCTCCACGGTGCGGCGCAGCTCGGCGCGGTGGCGCTCTCTGTGGCGCGGGCACCGCCACGGCGAGGGGCAGCGGCAGGGGGAGGCGCCGCCGTGCTCGCGCAGGGGAGTGGGCTCGTCGATGGGGAAGGTGCCGCCGAAGACCAGCGGCTTGAAGGCGCCGTCGGGGCCGAGGCGCGACCACGCGTCCACGGTGCCGGCTATGAGGCTGCCGCAGCGCGCCGCCCCCTGGCCTCTCCCCTGGCGGGGCTTCTCCTCCGGCTGCAGGGGGGCTTCGGCGGCGTTCGGCGCCGGGGACGAGGTGGCGACGGGCCCGCCGGGCGGAGCCCTGCGGCGCCGCAGCCCGCCAGCGGAGCCCCCGCCGCCCGGGGACTGCCCCCACAACACGCCGTTAGCACACACCACTCGTTACACACAATGTTACACTTTCGGCACTGAACACCAGTTTTACGAAACACATAGCGGAAATACTGAAACTGTTCACGTGTCGCGACGTCATAGAATTCTCCAAAAAAACTTTCTTTCACGGCGATGAAAAGAAACGACCGGAAAACAAATAATATCCCACCACCAAACTTTGATATAATACATACTCATCTCTCAACGCAATGTTATATTGAATTTCAACATTTCTTCATGCATATCATAAAGCCAGAAAAGAAAAATGAAAACCATTTATTTTTAAATATTTCCACATTAACGTTAATGAGGAATAATTTTGCATCTCAAATACTATAAAGGCATGTAGAATAATAAATAATAAAAGGGTTTACCTCGCCATATCCGTAGTGAGAATCATTCTGCCAGTACGAGTCTGCGTAGGACTGGGATTGGTCTTCAGCGCGTGGAAAGTCCTCGGCGTAAGAGTGGGCTTGGGGGTGGGACTCGGCCTCCCCGTGGGCGCCCCCGCTCTGCTCGTGTTGGGGGTAGGAGCCTTCCTGCTGGTAGTGCTGCAACTGAGGCGGCTGAGGCGGCTGAGGCATCTGAGGCATCTGCGGCTGCTGGGACTGCTGGGTTGCCTGATAATACTGCCCCGAGTAATCGGGCCTGTCCTCGGCGTCGTTAGCGTATGTCTGAATGGGCTGCTGGTACTGAAGAGTCTGTAAATGGTAATTGATCTGTGTAAGTTTAAGAAGATAAAACACTCTTTATTGAACTATAAATAAATAAAACCAGTGAACATTTTCTTCATATGACATGTCATGTCTAATGATTAAATCAAATATGATAAAATTTAAATAATTAATTTATTACAGTATTGTAAACTACTCATTAAGAAATAATATTACCTTTTAATATAGGAAAAATATGCTAATAACTAAAATGGTACTATAGAGTACATATTTATATGTAAAAAAAGCAATGCGTTCTATATATATGCAGTGTGTAATAGTTTTAAAATGCTGTCTGTCAAGTTTGAAGATTTGAGAGATCTTTGATCCACATTGTAAGAAAGGAAGAAGTCTGACCTGATCGTGGTAGATGGGCTCTGGCTGGACACCATGCTGCGGGGTCTGCTGTTGTTGCCAAGCCTCCGCCTGGAAAAGGAAGAAGGTTTGATACGTCTTACTAAAAATATGTTGCAATAAAAAAAAAATTCAACAGAATATTTTTATAAGATATATGTATGTTTCATTGTGATCATACTAGATCATATTTTTAGTTCTGGAATAAAGTACGGAGTAAAGTAAATTAGTTTCTTTTTTGTTTGTGTTTTAAAAAAATATTTTTTTTTTTTTTATATTTCTTACTTCTTATTTATATAAAATACCGTGGAACACTAGATATTGTGTATGGGATGTTGTCTTTAATGAAAAGTGTTACTAGTTAACGGGCTGTAAAGTTCTATTTACATTGGACAGTGGCAAGTAGCATATTTTACCTATTTACAGCAAGTGATGAGTCAAGTACAAAATAGCAAGGTATTCTATTCAGGTCTAGTTGAGAGGCAGCTTGCAAGCCAAGTTGACTCGCTACTGTCCGATGGTTTACACCATTGTACTTGTCTACTTCACTGAACACGGAACCAGTGTAAATTGGGCTCAAGAACAAGCTTCACCGAATCTGCCATAGCGGATAGGACGGTCACCTGCAGCATGTCGGCGACCTGCTTGACGTCGTCGAGCCACTGCTGGTGGTGGCGGGGCGAGGGCTGGCCGCTGCCGTCCGCCGCCTCGTCCATCAGCGGCGGCTCCTCCTGCAGCGCGGGGTCGTAGTACTTCAGTCTGCGAGGGGAAATCATTTTAGAGTGGGTGCCTTTGACTCTATTGCCTTCAAAGGGTGCAATCGCAGCTGTTCTCGTGGTAATTATTGTATTGTTGATTTTCATCGCTGCTTCAGGTGAATTGTTGCGCCTACGTAACAGCTGATCGCACGTGTTATTCGTGCAACAGCGAAGGTTCAGCGGCAGAGGGCGCACCTGTCGGCCAGGCGGGCGAGGCGCGCCGCCAGCGCGGGCGAGTGGCGGCGGGGCGCTCGCGTCACGGCCCTGGCCGCCCGCTCCACGTAGGCCAGCGCGCGCTCGCACTGGCCCGCGTCCAGCAGCCGGCACGCCGCCACCAGCTTGTACACCTGCCGGAGGAGACGGTTTCTATCGATCCTAATGCTAACGGCCGCTTTCAATATTCCATTTACGGATACATTTGGCGCCATAATACTTCCTTCAAAAGTCTATCTGTAGGTTTATTATTCAAACCGGCAATAAATCAACGATTTCACTGTGGTAAGGCCACGCGGCAGTCTTCGCTGTCGCACTGATGGACGCTCACAGGAGAACGTTGTGAAGAGATGAATGGATTAAAAAGAATCTAGTGTTGCTTAATTTGGTCCTTCCAGTCGGATAAATTATACATAGATAATAATGTTTCGTTCATTCTTTCGACTGTTATTTTTGTAGTAAGCGTATTGTGCGCGGATAACCGACCGACCTGGAACTCCTCGATGACGAAGTCCTCCTGGCTGAGCGAGAGCGCGTACTCGTAGACCTCCGTGGCGAAGATGGCCTCGTCGGTGGCGAGCTGGTGCAGCGTGGCGGCGCGCGGCTCGGCCAGCAGCAGCGCCAGGCGCGGCGTGCAGTTGGCGGCGGCGGTGGCGGCGGCCGACGGCTGCAGCGGCGCCAGCGGGTGCCGCGAGAACGGCTCGCCGCCCGCCACGTAGCAGAACTGCGCGCAGAACGGCAGCCCGCGCGACGCCAGGCTGTCCCCTGCGGCGGACGCGTTACGCCGTTTCGAGTTAATCATGCTCATCGGTTTATGGCGACGATCGTATGCCACAGGTGGCCGTTCCGCTCGAAGCGTAAGTACCGAGCTGCGTGAGCGTGCGCCTGTCGTGGTCGGGGCGCGCGCCGCCGTTGGCGAGCAGGATGGCGGCGTGCGGGCGCCAGTCGCCCCAGCGCTCCTCCGCCACGCACTGCAACGAGGCGAATGTTAAATCGACTAAAACCCAAAGTTCAGGAAGAGGCTTCGGTGGGATGCGAGCCGAACCGTGGCGGCGGGCGGGGCGTGCGCCGCCAGCGCCTTGTAGAGCGAGTGCAGCGGGTCCTGCGGCGGCAGCGAGGCCACGAAGCGGGCCGCCACGGCCGCGCGCGCGCGCCGCTCGCCGTGCGCCGCCAGCTGCAGCGCGTGGCCCCACAGCCCGCGCGCCATCGCCCACTCTGCGCACGCACACGCACACACGTCAGAGCACGGCTACAGCGCCCCCGGCGGGCCGGGCGATGGGGCCGTGGCTCACCGAGCGCCTCCTGCCGGTTGCCGTAGAGCAGGTGGTCGCGGAAGCGGTCCAGGGCCGCGCCCTCGTCCTCGGCCGCGGCTGCGGGCGGGCCGCTCTCGCCGCTCTCGGCGCGCTGCTCCTCGCGCTGCTCCTCGCGCTGCTCCTCGCGCGGGCCCTCGCCCGACGGGCTCGAGTCGTTACGGCTCTCTGGCATGAGGATTGGAAATTAAAATCGATCGGTGTTCGCATCCAGACATTAGAGCGAGCAAGTGTTCATACAATATACCAATATACAAATACAACATGCACAAATTAAAATTCATTGAGCACGATGACTGACCAGGTCGCGGCGTGGCTTTGTTAGCAGGCTTGTATTCGTATTCTCGGGCGTTCTTCATCAGTAACTCGGCGATGTCGGTGCCCACAACCACCTACCGGGAAATCACGTATATAATTATGAACTGCTTCCATTGAAAGAAATAAATAACACGTAATAAGACCACTTGAATAAATAGAAATTCACATCTTTTATTTATATATAACCAAGGGCATAATTATAAACCTTGTGGCACTCCATCGTATTTTGTTAAGATCAGACGTATTAAAGACTTGTTATTCTACAGTTTATTGATTTTTTATTTATAAAAAATCTAATGGTTAATAATGACGAATTGCAATAAATGCGGAACATTTAAAGGCAGCCAAAACAAAGCACGAACCCCGTTCTGGCGCAGCATGAGCGCGAGCAGCTCCCACAGCAGCACGTAGCCCAGCGGGTCGCGGCTGAACTGGGCTTGGTTCACGCGCGACTTGCAGTACTCTATCACGCTCTTCTTGTGCGTCACGCCTGTTGAGTCGCGCAAATCATATAGCTAAATGCCACATCAGCGTTTTTTACAATTTCTGATTTATAACGTTTCTGCTTATACCATAAGGGTCAACGATGATAAGCGATCACCACTGCCCATGGACATTCAGTCTTTCAAATGGGAATAGCTGTCTTTTCTTCATCATCATCCATTCAGCGTTACCCCCTTTAGCGGTAAGAAATTCCAAAAGGAGTTGGGCGTGGCCGACATTGCCGGATTGATCAAACAGCCCTGTTGATCTGCAATGGTTTCTTATGTATAAAGTAATAAAAAAAGACTTCAATACTCTTACTTACTTAGTACGCTTCGCTCAAAAAAATAGGCTAAGGCGGTGTGATGAGGGGTTTAAATTTCGCGCGGGGCTCGTAGCAATTGCTACTCTTGCTACGAGAAAGGTGCACGATTAAGTGCAGTTAGAAGAGAATATATATAAACCACACTCAGGTACGTCGGTGACTGTAGCGGGGGCACCTCGGCACACTCGGGTGCGATACTTTAGATGCGAGGGGAGGTGGGGGCACCTCGGCACACCAAGTGCAATAACGTAGATACGAGGGGAGGTGGCACTAGAGCGCAGCGGGCTAGAGAGAGGAGGGCGGGCACCTCTGAGCAGCGGGCCGGGGTAGGCGAGCAGGTGTGGCAGCTGCGGGTCGTGCTTGCGCGCGGTGGCAAGCGGCAGCAGCTGCACCGTGGCAGGCCGCCCGTCCACAGGGTACGCCGCGCGCACCACCACCAGGTGCTGCGCCGACACGCTGCCCTGCGACGCACACGCACGGCACTACACTTACTTATTCATCGTCAGGTTCGGCAAAGTAAAACCGCTGACGTGAGAACCGGCGAAAGATACTCGGCTCGACAATTTTCTTTTTTTTGTTTTATTACCATTATTTGACAATGAAACATGTTTACTGTATTTAATATACCACTGTCTCTGTCTTTCCATTTGAAAGAGCCTCAGGCATCATTCTTTAATTTTTCAATTTAATTTAACAATTGATACATATTGAACGTTTTCCGGAGTTTCATTGTAAAAATTTATACATTATCCCATAAGGCATTTACTTATTCTAAGCGATCTAGTTGTGAAAGCAATTAATTTGTATATTTTTCCTACTATTTATATCATGCAGATTAGAAACCTAATACTTATTTTTATGGACATACGTAACATTTTCAAGTATGTACGGAAAATCCATCATTTCATTCAATCGACAGAGAGCCAATTGTGTCTAAGGTAAATGACAAAAGAGTAACAACAAGATGAAACTCGCTGATGCATCCATCTCCTCCTCCGCACTGACCTTGATGTGAGCGGTGGAGAACTTGAAGGGCGTCATTCGCTCGGAGCGCACGGTGGACTCCTCCAGGTGGAGATTGAGGGACGCGTCGGTGTTCAGGTCTCTAAGGGGCGGACCAATGCATATTCACCTCGACTTTTACTTCCTTACGTGACTCACAAATAACGAATACAACTTGTAAAAGTTTGTTACATACAAAACTAATTTACGCATGTAGAATATTTACTTAAAGCTTTGAACGGCTGAAAACAAAATGGCGCGGCATGATCATGAATAAGTTAGTCTAGTGCATAAGTGGAAGCGATGATGGTTAGCAGATAAAAAAAGTGAAACAAAAGTAAATGTAAAAAGATTAATTCTGTTAATTATGACATCAAGGCGATGGAATTAATTTGAAAGCACAAACGATCAGAATCTGAGCGCAATGAGAGCCGATACAATTAGCAGTCAGACTTGGTATTAAGACAGAATTTGTTAAGCTCCCGCCAAAATCACACAAGTCATCGAATGTAGTCCAAGCGAAAACCGCCCATTAGCCGGTGGCATAAAGGTGATAATTGCGCCCAGATCCCCGTCGCGCAGGGCGTGTACCTGTCTGACAAGTCGGTGCGAAGCGAGGGCGCGTCCCGTAGCGAGCCGCCGTCGAGCCGGCACCCGCCGTAGTACCTACGTACGCACCGCGTGACGTCACTATCGCACTACCAGACCCCCCTCCCCCCCACCTCTACCGCACCGACGATGCAATTCGTGGAATACCGAACCAGATTCAATTGGAGTAGTCTCGAAGAGCAGGTTAAGGCAATGGAGGAATTGCATCGCCGGTGACAACTCTCCTACCCCCGGCCCTTTCATTGCCCGCTAAGCTCTCCGCGGCGCACCCTTACCGCTACAATGTCAGCTATTGTGCCTATTCTCCATTGGCAAAACGAACAAACGAAGCTTCATGAAGCGTAATTCCCTCCCATCTGAAGGTAAGCGATTTATGGTCGTCGATAATGAAAGCACTCTCTCAGTAAAGGTCCTCATCTCAAGACGACCGCATAAATCAAGGGTTATTGTCATATAAAAGTGACTCCAAGTGCCAGTATGAGAGCATCCGCATAGCATTATAAAGCACCCTATCCGAGTAGTTGTTAAAGCTTGTACATAATTTATTGGACATGATGATGAAGCTTAAGAATCATCCCATACTGGGATGATTCTTAAGCTTGGTGTGGTCTATGACGTGTGCCCATTTCTTCTATAGACATCGACATGAATTCGAATGTGCCACTACAATATATTCTGCGTTGATATCTTCCGATGACAAACGGAAGTTAATGACATCACGTGGTAATGTCCGAGGAAACTTTGGTCCCTTTAAACTTCGTAAGTCTGTGAGTGGAAAAGGTGATTAGACGAAAACTAATAGATACTTAATTAGAAATACATTTCCAATAGTATTCTAGTCTATTAATAGATAGTTAAAATACATTTAAGTCAACATTGTTCTATTATTTGTGGTCTATTAACAAAATTAGATAACAAATTGTTCTCGAAAAGCTATGGTACAAACCATGCCGAATAGTAATTGTAGTATGCAAATGTATGTGATCGAATATAAGATGTTATGATGACCAGTTAGTTTGCAAACGTGATATTCAGTGAGATGACGGTAATTAGTTAAAATAATACGCGTGATTTTACCTAAAACTAAATAAATTCACTATACTTTGACGAAGTACTTTTAAAAGAAGCAAAGAAATTGCCCCTATTCCAGCAACATTATTTGTTTAACAGTTATCTCTTTATCATTATATATTACACCAATTCATGTACCAAAAGATAGGAAAAATTCAATTGCCTTTTAAAATAGGCTTCCATAACAATAGATTATTATACAATTATTGGCAGTTTTCTTTTTGGCCAACATAGTGTATATTACGCATATTTGACGTAAGCGAAATCTGGTGGGGCAGTTGGATACGCCTTCGAGTGCGTGTACGTGTGCGTGTACGTGTGCGTGTGTGCGTGCGCGCGTACGTACGTGTCGGTGGGCTTGAGCCCGTTGGCGCTGGAGCGGCCCGAGTGCACGCTGGCCCGCTCCTCGCCGCGGGCCTCGTAGCCCATGGGCCCGTAGCCTGCTACGAGACAGGTTTAAGGTCACGATCACATCTTATAGCATGAAAAGATTTTTTCATATGTAAGAAGATGGCACACGTGCTGGCGTATGACGTCATGTTATGTGATAATCGCCGCCCATGGACATTTGCAGTGTTCAGGCAGCATCCGTAGGGTTAAAACCTTAACCTGCGTTGCCACCTTTCATTAAAGCGGGCCCCAGCTACCTCAGTCCCCAGATGAAACGTAGAAGTGTAACACTTCTACTTCACGCCGGTCCTCTGTGAGGTCGTGGTACTTACCCGGACCTGCCCATTCGTGCTATGTAAGTTTGTCCGATTTCTGACTTGCCATCAAAACATATGTTGAATAAAACGAAGATAACATTCGATTACTACGTCTATTAGCAATATTTTTTACGGGCGGTTTAAATATTCTATCTACAGATAGATTTCGTTACTAGCGATAGGTGTTTGACATTAGCGCTATAATACTTACGTCAAAATTCTATCTCCAGTAAGCAAATCTACCTGTAGATTGAATCTTGAAACCGGCCGTTAGGGACGATTAATCATAATTCACTAATATTATGATAAAAAGAGAAGTCATTACTTTTCGACCTAAAAAACTGTAACGCACCTTCGGCATATAGGTTGTGGGGGGCGGCCAAGAGCTGCTCGTAGAGGCGCGTGTAGGCCGCAGGGTCCGTGCGTCGTAGGCGTTCGTAGTACGAGTACTGCTGGCGTTGTAGCAGGAACGGGTCGCCGTATGTCCTTCCGTAGCCGGCTGCTGTTAGACAACACAGGTACACCTTATATCTCCCTCTCTTCCTCTGGGTGCTTACTCTACCTCGCATCTCCTAACCAACGTAATACCGCGTCTTGTCGGTTGACCATCCATCTATACATAATTTGTATGACAATCGCCAACGAGACAATTTGCGGCATGTAAATAAGTCACAACAAACAGAAAGGGGTTAAAGCACAAACGAAAAGGAAAAAAGGAAACGATTCGCTTCGTTATTCATAATCCGTACAGCTATGGAATGGAACCATCCTTCGTCTGTCCGTTCGATTATAACGTAGACGTCTTCGAGGCAGTGAGTGGGCTTTTAATGAGCCGGCGCGCTTACCATCATGTGGTACGACGATCAAGCGCTGGCTGTTGGAATAAAAATAAAGTATCTCAGGAAAGAGAACGAAAGAAGAGTAAGAGAGCGAAAAGGTCTCACCCATGTAATAGGGGTCCGGCTGGCGGTCGCGGGGCCGCCTGTCCCTCTCGCGGCGTCTCCTCTCCGAGTCCGGGGCGTCCTCATCTGTCGCCGTCGCCTCCCGGGAACCGGCTCGCGATGGTGAAGAGTACGTCTCGCCTGCGACCACGGACACCCCCATTTGCTCATTTCATTTTTATCTATTTACTTATTCTTTATTGCAACCTTTAAAAGAAGGGATTACGGAGGGCGAACTTAATGCCTATTTGCATTCTCTCCAAGTCAATCCGGGTCGTGGTGGGTGCAATTATTACACTAAATTATTTATATGTATTACATATATATCATGTACCACTTTGGCGGAAATAAGGTCTCGGTCGTGGGCCTAGCTTTTTTCTTTTGCGAAGTTGACTTGGGACCGGGCGAGTAACTTAATGTTAAGCAATAACCGCCTCCCATGGACATCGATTAAATCTGAGCGGTTGCAGATGTGTTGCCAACCTTAAAACAAGCGAGCACTAGTTTCGCCACCAACCAGAAGAAACGCGAAATTAAAGACAAAAGCTTATCATTTTTTTTTACAACTAAGAAGACTTTTCGTATCATTAATATAAACCTAAGAATATGTAAAGCTTCGTAAGTAACAAATCCTGCTGAAATGCTAGATTTTGGATAACGGCGTTTCTTTGATCCTGGACCCTTGATTTAACTCAATATCAACATCTGAAACAACGGGCATCTGTGCTATGTGAATGTACACTACAAGATTGCGCGCTTTTTGAATTTTTTATTGAAGCGAATAAACCACTTCTTACTAAAATAGTATTGAAATATTGAAAAGATGCAACTTCAAATAAAAATATTTACACACCGTTTGACTTATATACAAGACCTATGGCATAGGTAATATATCATTCTATCTTAACTAATCACACTAAAATATTTTTGTATGCTACATTTTCATAATGTGTGTTGAGTAATTTGTAAATATTACGTAGAACCAATCAAAAAAGCAAAGAAGTGTGCAATGAAAGAGTTTCGACGATATTTGAAGGCCAAAAACTTTCTATATAAAATACCGAGGAATCCTTACTATCCTTACTAATATTATAAAGGCGAAAGTTTGTATTATGGATGGATGTTTCTTACTCTTTCACGCACATACTACTGAACGGATTTGAATGAAATTATACAATAACTTATACAACAGAATAACACATAGGCTATAATTTATATACATAATTTTATGTATATCCGTCTTTCTGTCTGAACGTTGCGCCTTATTAGCATATTCTACGCACACGTAGTCGCGGGCAGCAGCTACTATATTATAAATTGAATATCTTTATAATCGGTCAAGCGGTCGTAATTTATGTCTTCGCTATCGAAGTTTCCGTCGAGCATCAGTCGCATAACAACCGGTCTGTATCAAACAAAAATAGCGACGAACGCCACACGATCTGAATACGATTTTTCCTTACTTTCTAATCCAAGTCCTCCGCTATTTTGTACTATACTCGCAGTATTCCGTTGTGCATTACGACGAATTCTTAATAGCGTTTATGACGCTTTCGAAACATTGTGGGGCTTCGCGGTTGGTTTCAAGTGCAGTCCGTGTCAACTTCTATTATATGCTACTCTGGTGGCTTTATTAGAAATAACAAGTTAGTGTCAGCCTTAGCGCTCGAGCAAGTTGAGTGCTGGCACCAGTGAAATCGTTTATTTTAAGTGCCGACTTATTCCGTGCCCAGCGGTGAAGGTAAGCACTATGGAGGCAACTGCATATTTTCGAAATATTCACCAAAAAAAAAATTTTTTCGAAAATATGTGAAGTCCGACAATACGCAGCGGAGCCGCGTGGCGAACTATGCCCTAATAACTTCTGTACAGAGGCCTTTGCCCAGCAGTGGGACATATATTTTTACTAACACTACAACAATTCAAGCTAGCTAATATTGCGTGAGGTATGTTTCGAATAAAAAAATACTTTCTAAGGAAACTACGTATTAATAATACTTCTCATACTCGTATTTCTGTCAAAGTTAAAATTTCTTTATTCAATATATACTTAATTTAAGCTCTTATTAAACGTCAAAAAACTACCACCGGTTCACTAAACTAAAGAACCGGCAAGTAACTCAATATCTTTTTTTTTTATTACATACATACAGCGTGTCGTTACCATCGCGACAATAAATGAACATATGTCTAACGCTACTTGCCAATAACCGTAAAAAATATTAACGTTAAACAAAATCCATAATTAAAAAAAACATTTTTTAAACAAACTATTTAAGTAAAAAAGAAACAAAATTTGTAACATCCTATACAACTCTTTGTTTTGTCTCTTTTAAATCCATTCAACCCATTCATATGCTTTGTGACCTTTACAAATGAACTTTACGTTACAGTTTTATACGTAAGGGTGTTCTAAAATTCTTTGTTTTAAAGAATGTAAATGTTTACTACAATTTTAAAAAGATATCCTCTATATTTGTGTTCATCTATTGTCGCCATTGTAAAGACACGCTGTATACAAGAATATTTAAGTATAAAATCAGTAGACAGGGGACTTGAAAGTGCAGAGCAAGAGTAATTACCTCACGACCTTGTCCCCAATGTATTCTTTGACATTATAACAGGTCCTTACAATAATCTTACTTTGTCTGTACAATGTGAACTTAAGACTATACCAACGATATTATATTCAAAGGTCCTACTAGGTGCACACTACGTAACACTAATGTGACACGAACGCATCGAAATTGAGGCACTCAAATTACAGCAATTGGTGTTATTAGATTTCAATTCTGTAGACTGCGGTCGTATCATACGTTCTATTATTATCATCTGTCACATTCACTTATATAATCCATATTAATATTATAAATGCGAAAGTAACTCTGTCTGTCTGTCTCGCTTTCACGCCAAAACTACTGAATCGATTTAAATGAAATTTGGTACACAAATAGTCTAGAGCCTGAGAAAGGATATAAGCTATTTTCAATTGGAATTTTTTAAAGAAAGATATTTATTTAAGGTCTTCAACGCGGGCGCAGCGGAAGCAGCTGGCGAAAAGCTAGTAAGTATGTCATATAATCTAAAGCGGAACAATTCTTGAACGCCGCGCAGTATGGACACGCGTCGTCAATATTATTGAACATCATTGATAGCACCGATAAGTTTAGGCTGCATTGCAGTCGACTCGTTGGAATTTGCACCGTCCGCGTCGACCCCGTTTTAAGCCACTAGACTTTCACCTTGGCGCTGACGGCGTATTCGCGCAAGGAACCTTAGACAATGCTAAGTACGCCGACGAACAGTTTTAATTCGAACAATATAAAAATGACAAAGAGAATCTTATTGCATGATTATATTAAAAGGAGAGAAAAATATTTTTTTTTATGTGAGAATGTGGCAAAGGATCTGGCGGTTCACCTGATGGTAAGTGATAACCGCCGCCCATGAACACCTGCAACACCCAACAATCGCTTACAAATGCGTTGTCGGCGAAGAAAAGAGTGTGCTCCCTTCCTGAAGGTTTATACTTCTACTTCGTTGGTAATAAAAGAAATAACAAAAGTTAAAAGCAACGAACGGCAAAAATCAAGAATATGGGCAAATAAATTATCATACATTAAAATGCCAGTTTTTAATTTCCTTAATAAACAAATATATTAGTTGTAAGCATGCTTGAAAAAAAAGGCTTGAATAAAAAATTACTTTGAATTGTAAATTCTGGCAAAAAATATAATCTTAAGGTAGAATTACGAAAGATCACAGGGATTTCGAGTTTTTTTTAAATAAAACAGTCCAGTGTTGCCATCCCACCTATGTTAAGTAGTGGTATAATCTTAGTTCTTAAGGGATCATACATTTAAAGACCACCTATTGCTAAGTGATTACGTTTAAACAAGAAAGATATAGATAACTAGCTGACCCGGCAAACGTTCTTTTGCCATATAAATTAATTGTAGGGTAGAAAAAAAATTTTAGGTGGACCACCCTTAACATTTAGGGAGATGAAAAATAGATGTTGTCCGATTCTCCAACCTGGCCGATATGCACACAATTTCACGAAAATCGGTCGAGCCGTTTCTGAGGAGTTCAACTACAAATACCGTGACACGAGAATTTTATATATTAGATGATATAAGCGAGCTTGTTCGATTAACAAATGAAAGTATACGTTTTTTTACACATACAACACAGAGAGGGTTATATATTTATAATGATATTTCAGGGATGCGATTTGATTTATATTTTCACAAACACAGCCGACCAAAGCCAGACAATATTTGTGACCAACAAATAATTGTTACGGAATGTTTAATCCACAGGAGCAAAAACGAAGCCAACACCATTGACAACATGATTAACATGTCGTGTCGACCCCACCTAAAATAAGATCAGGGGAAAGAGAAGCTCTAGTGGACCGCGCTGTAAGCCCAAAGGTCTGACCTCAGCGCTAACAACCAGTATCTCACTTTTGCGCTCGACATTTGCGACTAACTTGTTATGTATGTCATTATCAATCTCAGTTCGCCTCGCTATATTTCGATCGATCATGTGCTGATTTATTCGTTTTATTTACTCGCACCGCGTTTATTCTGTATCAGATAGCGATAGCCTACACTAAGTAGATAGGCCGCGATATGTGTATCCGAGATACGCGCAGGCATGTAAGTCCGCGAACGCAGCGCGGCCGAGACGCTCTAAATACGATCACAGATCGCGTAATCGGTGGGCCGGATTTGGCGGCCATTGAGTGCCCACTACACACAATAGCCGCAACGTGGAATACCGCTTGTAAGGAGTACCTATAAGATTGACCTTGATGTGCGCAGCCGGCCTGCAATGCATTTATACACTTTGTAAATAAGGTCTCACCATGAACCCCTAGGAGGTAGATAAGTTCAACCGAGCTCGCAAACTCAAAGACGTGACAGGTGGCGAGCCTGTCGTCGAACAGAGAGACAAATGAAATAAAACCGTCTAAAAACTTTTAAGTTAAACGGTTTTATTTTATGTACACTGAAAACTACAATATTGTATTGTCATCTAAATTAAATGTGTATACCAAATTTCAGATCAATCTGACAACGGGAAGGTGCTTAAATTTCAATTTCTAATTTTGACCCAAATAAATAAACAAATAAATTCCGTACGGGTCGAGCTAAATCATCATCATCATCATCATTTCAGCCTGTTTGAGTCCACTGCTGAACATAGGCCTCCCCCATAGACTGCCATGAAGTACGATCCTGAGCCACCTGCATCCATCGACTTCCCGCACATTTGCACAGGTCGTCACTCCATCTAGTGAGGGGTCGTCCTACACTGCGATGGCCAGTACGAGGCTGCCACTCGAGAACCTTTCTTTCCCAACGGTTATCGGTTCTACGAGCTATATGGCCGGCCCATCGCCACTTCAGCTTGCTAATCCTCTGAGCTATGTCGGTTATCTTAGTTCTACTGCGGATGTCTTCGTTACGAACTCTATCACGCAGAGAAATACCGAGCATAGCCCGCTCCATAGCTCGCTGAGCGACTTTGAGCTTCCTCATACGGCCAGCAGTGAAGGACCACGTCTCGGTTCCGTAGGTCATCACTGGCAACACACAGAAGACTCTAGTCTTCAAACATTGAGGTATATTCGAGCTAAATAAAACCGTTTAAATATAGAGTTAGTTATTCAGTAGTCTAAGCTAGTTCTATTGCAGTCGATTTAATATTCAGACAACTTGTTTAATAATCTAGGCGCGGAGGCAATTATATCGCTAATGGCGAATTCAAGCGCTACACGTGGCTCCCAGTAAAAAATTGCCGCGAAAAAACTAATTGTGAGGATGTATTATTACCAAACACATGTGGAACTTGTCAAACTGAGTCGAATTTCGTCATCTATTTTTTATAACTCTTCTAAGCTCACATAAGATAACATATAAGAATTAACATCCCTTAAAATTCTTTAAAAACTTTTCGAAAATGCTACAGAAAATCCGCCTTAAGACTGTTTTGGGTATTTGAAAATCTTCGAACACTTAAAATTTATGATAATTGTAATGACTGATCGATGTAACAAGTAATCATTTCTTTTTAACTAGAGGTATCTCTCATGGCCTAGTTGTGATGCACAGACAAGGTAAGATTGTATACTACTGTACTGACTCAGCAGATTCCAGATTCAATTGGGAGATTGTTTGTCATATGTTTTGACCATTAAGCGACTATTGCTTTTTATTAGTAATGGATTATAGATACATAAATGTATACAATCATTTCTTATCAAGGCAATATCTAAATCAAAATATCTAAAAATTGTACTTTTCTATTTAGATTAACTACTATCGCACCTAAAAGTGGCGACGTAAACAATGAAACCACTGATACTATAACAGCCCTTTTACTGTCGCCTTGAAGATGCTCTCGGTATAATGGGTACCCTTCCGTCTCTAGTCGCGTTATGTAATTCAATATCATTTTAAAATCGATGAATATTGTAATGATTGTCAAGTCCACTCCACAAATATGGATATGGAAGAGACGGTGTCAGTAAGTAATTCTGATGATACGAGAGATAGGAGTCAATATGTTTAATACCAGAGCACACTACAGAATGCAAAAAATGACAAGATGAAAAACCGGCAAGATAGCTTCTTTATACTTGGACTAGATTGGTCCTGTCTAATTTAGTGATCCCAAATCGATAGATAAGGCTCAGTAATTGAGACCAACTCATTTAAAACATTAAACTTATACTATTATCCTGTTTTCGAGGACAGTACAATAAAAGCACAGTTGAAAAACATCGGGTAACAGCTAAGTTTGCAAATATATTGCCAACCTTCAAAGCAGTAGGTCCGGTTAATCCATTCACCCTACAAAACCAAAAAGTATAATCTACTTCTCGCCAGTGCTCTGTGAAGCTTGCCCATTCGTGATATAGCGGAAGCTATTTGTGCGGCCCCACCAATGTATATTCACCGTTCAAGTGCAACATAATGTTACAAATCGCACAACTCTCAATTCACTTTCGGAAACGTAAACAGGTAATTTTAGTCGGTCCGTTTGTTTCTTAACCTGTTACCTAAGTGGTTTGTTAGCAAAGTATTCATGACAAGTGAAGAACACTGTACAACACTCCTGGTCAAAATTAAAATAATGTATGGTTAGTAAATACGTAAGATGAGTTTAATAAATCAATAGTAAATGTTTCAGGTCATATAACATTATCTAAGCAAAAATTGTACTACGGGTCAAAGAAAACCCAGGCATCAGAAAAATACAGTTCATCGCCCAATATTGTTTCAGGAGTGCGGATCGAACCCACACACTGGGGCACCAATCGGAAATGAAAGAAAACAAAGGCATAAGACACGGCCAAATCTTTCGCCCCGGAGAAGGAAATAATAAATTCATTTGCATTTTCGTACTTTGCACCTCGGAAATATATTCTTCAGCTCCGTAAACTATATAATGAGGTCACAACTATGTAAGAACTTGTTGAATTGACTTAAGACTAAATTGAAATGAAAAGCGTTAAATTTACAGCAAGCGTTGAAACATCATAGTGAACCGACGGCAACGACAAATGAGAGACAAATTTAGTTCATCGCTTATTAAATAATGCAAAATTAAAAAAAATAAAATAAAAATGGAAAACACCCATTCACGAAAAATGTTATTAAAGGTGTAATGTATTAAAGCGGACACCTATAAATAAAAATGCAATCCGCCAGCCATGCAAAAAGGGCGGGCGTGAACACAGTGCCTTGCGGAACTCCTGCACAACGAAAGTCCACACAAAAATCTAACTTATCGCTTACAATTACTAGATTTCGCGTCCTTCGAGAATGTGACAACTGAAAATAAAAGATAAATTGCCAAAATAATCCGATGGTCTTCAACTAAAAATTAACTCCGATTAGCTATGCACGCTTTAAGTGTGAATATTTAACGCAGCAAAACAAACGGCGGGAAACTCGGTATCAAAATACATAGAATTGTTCTTTTTGTAACAACTGACGTAAGAGAGCTAAATCTGCCATTTGCACGCCCCAATTAACGATTATAACAACCGAATGTAGAATGCTTACATTAACAAGAAATAGTGAGGTCGAATTTCTTTACATTGAACGTATAATATATTTCAAATAATGAATTGATCAATTTTTGCAAAAGTTTCTTTAAACTATGTATATAATAAACAAGTCACGATAGCTAAGTAGTAGACTTTATATAAATATAGAGTTCAAATGACGATGCTCGCATGGTATTTATTTCTAATAGCAATTGACATTTTCATATGTAAATGCTTTTGGAAAAAAACCAGAATAGAAAAGTTTCCTTAATCAGCGTTGGGGCGCTTAGCGAACTATATCATACCTCCATAACTTCTGGACGATCACTATCACACACTGTGGTGAGCACAGTCAATTAATTAATATAAAGATTTTTACTTTCATGCCCCAGTTGCCAACATATTATTGGCTAGGGCGTCGGTGGCCGTGGGTTTGATTCCCACACGAGACAACTGTTTATGCGTCCGACAGATAGTCGTTTCAGATCTGGGTGTTTGTCCACGTGAAATTTGTTTGTAAAACGTCCTTAACAACACAGGATAATGTTATTCTAAAGGAGGGGAGCGTTTAAAAAAAAAGAGGATGAAACTATTAAAAGCGAAGAACGACACTCACCTCTCCTGCGCTCTTCCTCCTCCCGCCGCAAGTTGCCGTACTTCCTGGTGGGGTCAATGTCCCTGTACCTCCTCTCGTACCGGTCCCTGTGGCGGTCGCTGCGCCGCCTGGTGCCGCCCTCTTCGTCGTAGTCGTCGCGATCGGTCGTCTTGTACCGCCGACGGTCGTCGTGCCTCGCTTGTCGTTGCTTCTCGTCCGGCCGGGGGGGCTTCGACGAATATGAGCCCTCCCTGTAGCGCCTGAAATCAGCCGTCGACTCAATGTACGCACGACCTGTGCGGTATCGCTTTGTGCCAAAAAAAAAAAAAAGAAACGGGTGTAGTGCCTGTTTATAAATGACCTGGAAAAAGAATCACAAGTCGGCAATAAGGTCCAGGCGTAATACACAACGGCAATAAATGGACAACAAACCTTTATCCTTTCACAACGTGTAAATAACATAAATGCAATTGATATTCAAAAGTAAAAAAAATACAAAATCATTAATTTCTCACCTGCGATCTCTCTCCCTGTCGCTATAATAGTCAGTGTCCTCTGTTTCGTATCTGTGGCTTCTTGTACTTCGTCTGTGTCTGCGCGATTCGGGGCTCATTTCTCTGTCTCTGTTACGTCTTTCACGCTCCTTGTCCCTGTCTCTATCTCTGTCTCTGTCCCTCCGATCCTTTTCGGATCTGCGGCCGTCTCTGACCGACCTCCTATCTGGATCCCTGTTAAAATCCCTGTCGCCTCTCGAATATCTACCGTCTTTATCTTTTTCCCTATCACGATCTCGATCTCTTGATGACTTATGCTTATCCTTGTCCAATCTTGGAGATGATTTAAATGTTCTGTCTCGTTCAGAATCCTCCCCTGATGTATTAACGCGGTTAACAGATTGTCTTCGCGAACCGTTCGCCGGGTACTCGACGGAGTCTGAAGCCTCGTGACTTCTGTCTTTACCAACTTCGGTGATGTTTCCACTGACCACATCGAATATCTGTTCCCTTGAGTAAGTCATTTCTGCTCCAGATATGATACTCAAGTCCTGCAAATTTTCTCCCTCCATCGTCACCTCACGCTGTTGCTCCTCGGGCGCTGCGCCGAAATCTACTGAGGAGTCGTTAGTTGGTTCCCTTAAACCAATTACGTTTCGGGCAGGATTTCTCACGGTTGGCTCAGTATAGTCTGACCCATCAACGTTCTGTTCGCGTACGTCCGTAGGGCCGGTGTCTGAACGCAACGGATAGTCATGGTCGACTCCAGTAACAACTCTCCCTTCATTTGAACTCCCGTAGTTCCCACCTTGGGAACTATACTGCGTATAATCGTTATTACTTGATTCTCCGGGAACCATTCTATCTAATCCTATAGGCCTTCTATCAGAACTTCTGTTGGGAGGTGGCTGAGTATAATTGTCTGAAGTTTGTTGTCCATCAGCTTGTCTAAAAGTGCGAACTGCGTTGTCATTCATTTGACCGTCGACATGACGTTCCATGTAATTGTCGTTAGACTGAATATAGATACTGTCAGATTCAGTTTGTTGTCCAGGAACCATACGAGCTAGACCAGGAGGGGGTTCATCGCCAGAAACATTTAAATTTTGATTGTACTCTGCTTCTTGTTGACCGACCACCATCCTTCTTAAGCCAGGCGGTGGTATGTTTCGGCTAAAATCTGTGTTTTCTCCATAGTCAACGCTGGACAAATGTTCTGTTTGTAAATACTCATTCCGGTCATTCTGAGGAGCAACTTCCAGGTTATCAGGAATCTGCTGAGATAAAGGCATTGGCCTAAAGCTTGCTGCTTGCGGTTGATCAGGTCTCTCTGAATTGTCAGGAGTTGTTTCTAAGTTGGCTCCATAGCCAACAGGCATTCTACTGTTTTGCGAGATTTTACCTATTACTGTTGGTGAAGACAAATTAGAATTAGGCTGAGGTAGGAATGCCTGAGATGGAACATTTGTATGTGCTTTAGATATGTTTTTGTGAGAGAAAGGCCCTGCATGTTTAAAGGGATTTTGAGATGTAGTTGGTGGAGGGAAAATAGTAGGAGGAGGCCCTGATGCTGTCGCTGCTGTAGAAGGTTGTTGGGTTGCTGTCGATACTGGTGGAGGTGGTGGCATAGCTGATGAAATATGTTTTGTAGGTACATTTGAAGAAACAGACTGAACAAAATCAGCAGGTGAAGTAGCCAGTGGTGGTTGGAGGGGAGGTGGCAAAAATTCGGACACTTTTTGTTCAAGTTCATTGTCAGTTTTTGTGATATTAGAAACTATGTTTTCCGCATTGGATATACTCATTTCCTGCATGGAACTTGATAATTCTTCATGACTTTCACGTCTGCTACTACTACCTTTATGACTCTCCATCAAAGTGCCATCTTCATTGGAATGCTTTGACCACTCACTGCTATGAGAATACATCTCATCTAAATGAGATTGAGAGATATTGAAATTTGAATTGTCAGAGTTGCCAGGACCAGGACTGCCCTTACTTGAATTTCTTGATGGATTTTCACTTCTATAAGTCCCTTCAGAGTGTGTTTGAGGTCCATCACTAGATTCTTGGGACATTTGTGACTCTATTGACCATTGAGGTGTTAGATTTTCTATATGGAAACGCTTACCTAGTGCCAAATTAGGTAATCTCTCTTTAACCACATCTCTATCATTCAAGGTTTTTACTTCTTCCGATGGGTTTTGATTTTGAGGATTACTCACATAACCCTGACTGGACTCAACCTGAGGTGCAACATCAGGTTTTGGATTCACTTGAGAATGTACAGATGGTTCCTTATTTTCTTGTACTAGTGTAGATGAAGATGTCTTTTCTTGGGGTTCTTTTTTTTCCTCCATAGCCCAGTTCCATGTGTTGGTTGGTACAAAGCTCTCCTGTATAGCGTTTGCGTTATTCGATTCTATTGGCTGCGTAACACTCTCTTGTGTTGGCCTTTGAGTTGCAGTCGGTTTCTGTTTAGATGAATCTTCCCAACCCCAGTCCCAATTATCTTCCCAACTATCTGTATTTACATTATTCTGGACAAAATTTTGCTGAGGCACTCCTTGATTTACATAATAGTTTTGTGGGTATCCTTGCTGAGTGTTATTAAAGTTTTGGTTAGCAAAGTTTTGATTGTATTGATTTGGCGGTTGATAAAACTGATTAGCATTATTTCCATAGCCCTGCTGCTGATACATCTGACCATATTGCTGGTTAAATTGTGATTGGGGTGGCTGCTGCTGTTGGTGCTGTTGCATTTGCCAATATTGTTGTTGTTGTTGTGTACTAACTGGTGCACCCTGATAGTTTGTGAACATGTTTTGTTGGTTCCCATACGGCTGAAATGGAAAAACTTATTTAAATTAAAAATGACAGTACATACTACTTTCACGGTATAAACTAAATAAAACAGGCACAACCATCAAGTTATATAAATGTACACTATAAACGAAAATTATAGTGTTTTGGCAGCGACCGATATGGAACAATGCTGTTTATCAATCATATGATTGAGTGGCTCTTGGGTTGTTCGTCCACGTCATTGTTTACGTCGGTGGCGACATAACCTGCTCACCTGGGACGCAGCATAAGGCTGCTGTTCTGCGGCGGGCGGTGGCGCGCCGCCCTGTCCACGCTTCATCCAAGACATTCCGCGCTACCGCCGCTTACGTAACATTCGCGGAAGATTCGCTCACATACATTCAACTCCACAAACAGCCTCGTCACTATCTTAGAACAAAAGTATACAACACACTTTCACTTTCGTTAAATTACAATATTTAACACTGATATAACTACTTATATATTTGAATAATGATATAATATTTTAGATGGGTCGTTAACAGCGTTAACTTAATTCTTGGATTTATTTTGGATGTATTTCAAAAGGAATTTGTTGACAGCAACCCATCGATCGAAGGTGCCCTGTTGGCAGTGTAGCCATGCTAATTTTGATTGACGTTTCCGATTCAATGCTGAATATTTTGATGTGTAAAAACAAAACATGTGAAATCAATATATTTATTTTTAATAATGTAAGAATCCTTTTATAAAATATGATGAACTTGAAATGTGTAAAATAACTGATAAAAAGGAATTTCCTAAGTTCCTAATTTTTTTCAAATAAATGGTGAACAGATTTTTTAAAATGAAAGTTCGAACTTATAAGAAAATATTTTACATACATTAAAAAGCTTTTTCTTTTATTTTTATTGTTTTAATCAAATATTATATTTTACCTCTACTAAATTTAAAAAGGAAGCAGTAAAATAAATATAAAAATTGTAAATGAGAACAATACTGTCACCTGTTCTATTTTTATTTGCATTTTGAGAAGGTACATAATTTAAATATATACATTATAGCAATTTGATATCATTTCTGTAATATAAGTTATTGTAGATAAATGAAGAAAAAATTTGGTAGCCGCGGGATTCAAACCTGCGTCTTCTGGTTACGCACCCAGACGCTTTACCAACTAAGGTAAGTGAGCGATAACTTTTATACTCACAGTGTACATTTTACTTAATAAATCAAATCATATTTCAAACAACATGTCTTTGTTCTTACAAAAAATATCATGAAAATAAAAAAAAATAATAAATAATTATTACGATATAATGAAATGCTACTCAATAATATTTTTCATGACAGGAAATACACTGAGAGAGAGCCACACAGGTGATTGTCACAATATTCATCTAAACCACAAAAAACAACGGAAAGTAGTTTTTTCCTAAAACAAATTATTGAATGAACAATAAAAATACATAATTACTCCTGCTGTACCATCTACACGCACAAAAAATTTATTGCATTATCGTTGTCTTCTGTTTTCTAATGTCTACTATGTTTTATCTGTGTAAATATTTTTAATACTTTGCAGTGTAGCAATTTTGTAACTTTCCCCCTAAAATGAGGGACAAAAAAATTGTATCGGGGATTTTTAAACAGAAAAATTATGTCTTTAAATATTATTTACCGTAATTGTGAATTCAATGAAAGCCCGTTTAGTACTCACCCGTCTTAATTCTGATCCCAACTGATGACACCTACCTATTTCAATGTGTACATTTATATCTAAATAATTTATGTGATGTAAAAACGCATGCGCTATAGTTATGGCTCCCAAGATATTCTCGAAGAAAAATACAGGACTCATATATATGGTGAAAATAAGAAATGGAGAATTAATGGCATCAAATACAATATTATTAATACAAATTCTGGAGCATTTTCATTAATTCAGAAGCATTTTACATGGAAGTTGGTAATTAAAAATGTAGTTATTTTTTATGTCAGAAAGTGGCAAACGAGCTGTTGAGTCACCTGATATTAAGTGATTACCGACGCCCATGGAAATTTGCAACAGGGTTTCATGCATTGCCACCTTTAAATAAAGTGGGCCCCGGCTACCTCACTCACCAAATCCAACGCGTAAGTGTAAATCTAATTTATTTCGGTCTTCTGTGAGGTCGTGGTACTAACCCGGACGGACCTACCCATTCGTGCAACAGTGAACACTGTTGCATGGTTCTACCACGGTTGAAAAACACCTCAGTTTAAATTTGGATTATTAGGCCATTTTCGAATTCGATTAATTGTTGCTTAGCTTCTTTCTATTACTTTAACGAGGTGTTATGTGTACAACCATTACCCATGGTGAACAAAGCCACCGACTCCAAAATTGTTAAAATGTTAAATTTTGTTAGAGGTTAGGTAGGTAAGATCACATATATTAGATTTTCAATATTTGTTTATATTAGATTTAGTATTATTATACACTTTGGCAAATGTAAATAACTTTAACTGCGGCGTAATTCAATTAAAATAAATTTTAAACGATAGAGATAAATCTCTAATGAATTAATCAACAAGCAGAATTCGCTTATAGTTTTCGAAAAAATAAATAATGAAATAGTGTGATTTTTACTATATAAATCCGCCATTTTTTTTTTTGTTGTCAATATGTCAATTCTGCTCGTATTTCTTGGTGGTCATAAAAAAAATAACCTAACCTCGAAGGTTAAGGCGTTCAAAAAACTCTTTTTGAAGTCGATTATTTTTATTATCAAAAAGGTTTTTATTATGCAAAAGTACGTTAATCTGGAATAACGAATACGGGAACTCTGTAAAACTTGATGGCAACACTGATAAAAAGTCAAAAGTGTTCGCGACAACGATATTGTTAGGGATGGGTCGTATCGCTTTTTCTGAGTACCGCTCGATATCTGATATCGTGCATTGCTTGCCGTCCCACTCTAACTAGTAAGTATTTATATCTCACGCGCTTTGTCGCTCGATATCTGATATCGTGCATTGCTTGCCGTCCCACTCTAACTAGTAAGTATTTATATCTCACGCGCTTTGTCGCTCGATATCTGATATCGTGCATTGCTTGCCGTCCCACTCTAACTAGTAAGTATTTATATCTCACGCGCTTTGTCGCTCGATATCTGATATCGTGCATTGCTTGCCGTCCCACTCTAACTAGTAAGTATTTATATCTCACGCGCTTTGTCGCTCGATATCTGATATCGTGCATTGCTTGCCGTCCCACTCTAACTAGTAAGTATTTATATCTCACGCGCTTTGTCGCTCGATATCTGATATCGTGCATTGCTTGCCGTCCCACTCTAACTAGTAAGTATTTATATCTCACGCGCTTTGTCGCTCGATATCTGATATCGTGCATTGCTTGCCGTCCCACTCTAACTAGTAAGTATTTATATCTCACGCGCTTTGTCGCTCGATATCTGATATCGTGCATTGCTTGCCGTCCCACTCTAACTAGTAAGTATTTATATCTCACGCGCTTTGTCGCTCGATATCTGATATCGTGCATTGCTTGCCGTCCCACTCTAACTAGTAAGTATTTATATCTCACGCGCTTTGTCGCTCGATATCTGATATCGTGCATTGCTTGCCGTCCCACTCTAACTAGTAAGTATTTATATCTCACGCGCTTTGTCGCTCGATATCTGATATCGTGCATTGCTTGCCGTCCCACTCTAACTAGTAAGTATTTATATCTCACGCGCTTTGTCGCTCGATATCTGATATCGTGCATTGCTTGCCGTCCCACTCTAACTAGTAAGTATTTATATCTCACGCGCTTTGTCGCTCGATATCTGATATCGTGCATTGCTTGCCGTCCCACTCTAACTAGTAAGTATTTATATCTCACGCGCTTTGTCGCTCGATATCTGATATCGTGCATTGCTTGCCGTCCCACTCTAACTAGTAAGTATTTATATCTCACGCGCTTTGTCGCTCGATATCTGATATCGTGCATTGCTTGCCGTCCCACTCTAACTAGTAAGTATTTATATCTCACGCGCTTTGTCGCTCGATATCTGATATCGTGCATTGCTTGCCGTCCCACTCTAACTAGTAAGTATTTATATCTCACGCGCTTTGTCGCTCGATATCTGATATCGTGCATTGCTTGCCGTCCCACTCTAACTAGTAAGTATTTATATCTCACGCGCTTTGTCGCTCGATATCTGATATCGTGCATTGCTTGCCGTCCCACTCTAACTAGTAAGTATTTATATCTCACGCGCTTTGTCGCTCGATATCTGATATCGTGCATTGCTTGCCGTCCCACTCTAACTAGTAAGTATTTATATCTCACGCGCTTTGTCGCTCGATATCTGATATCGTGCATTGCTTGCCGTCCCACTCTAACTAGTAAGTATTTATATCTCACGCGCTTTGTATCTCTGATATCGTGCATTGCTTGCCGTCCCACTCTAACTAGTAAGTGTTTTTATCTCACGCGCTTTGTCGCTCGATATCTGATATCGTGCATTGCTTGCCGTCCCACTCTAACTAGTAAGTATTTATATCTCACGCGCTTTGTCGCTCGATATCTGATATCGTGCATTGCTTGCCGTCCCACTCTAACTAGTAAGTATTTATATCTCACGCGCTTTGTCGCTCGATATCTGATATCGTGCATTGCTTGCCGTCCCGCTCTAACTAGTGAGTATTTGTATCTCACGCGCTTTGTCTCTCGAAATCTGTTTAAAAATCAGATATTGTGGCAAACGCGTATGATATCGCCGTATCGCGATTCGTGTCGGTATACCGAGCGAGCACGGTACATCAGATTTCGGAAATATCAGATATTGTAAAATACATAGATATTGAACGAGCCAGTAAGCGATATTGGGATATTGTACTAATATCTAGTTTTCATATCTGATACGATTTGTATCGCCCACTTCTAGATATTGTTGATTTGATATTGATACTATCATTTTTTAATGAATTGTAATTTGTGAATATTTAGAAATGATAATATAAGCTATTACTTCCAACCTAGTAATCTCTCAAGCTGTAGAAATATTTAATAGCCACTTAGTAATAAGATTTTGATTGCTATTAAGGTATTAAACCGTATTTATATTTTAATTTTGTGAATATTTGCAGCTTTTTTTTGAAAATTTTGTCTGTTTACCCACAACAAAAAGTTTTAGTAGTAATAATTATTTTACGAAATAAAGTTTTTGGACATTAGAAACATGGCTACCAAAAGATCAAATCCATTTATTGAAGACTTTATGCCCCAAAGCAAAATTCACGTGGGGCTCAAACAATTCAACAACAATGAAGATAGGCTGAAAAAGGTTTATGGTAAATATCAGAACTATGTATATCCTAAAGTAGATACTCTGAATAATACTTTTTTATGTAATGGTATGATCCAGTCATATGCTATACTAACACACAACATATTATAGTAATGTGCCATTCATGAAATTTAATTTAATTTAACACAGACAGAATAGAGTATATTTACATAGCATTATTTATTAAACATAATTATCACTTTCATTAATAATGAATACTAACACTATAGTTGATTTATAAAATTTATTCTAACATAAGAGCTGAAAGTTTTAAATATGTTAAGAGCAAAATGCATATTGCAATTTGTTTTTTGATTTAATCACTCTTTTATATTATAGACAAAACTCTTGAACTTTTGTTCAAGGGAGCAAAAAAAACATCAAATCAAGATAATGTAATTATTAATAATATGGTGACAATTAATAAAAAAGATGGAATGAAACAGCTGGTTATAGGTAAAGATGGTTCACTTCTCAGTTCAACGGCAAAGGTAATGCTATATTTTTTTTAAAGAAAATCCAAAATAAAATATACCATAATATAAATTAAAATATACCACACAAGTAAACTGTAACCTATACTAGACTTTAGTAATTTAAAATTGAACACATAGAATGTTATACATTGAGGACCGCCTCGATTTTTTCAATTTTTCACTAATTCACAATAAACCAAAACCTAAAACTAAACTATAAAACCAAACTACTTATTTAAATTCTGAAGCAACTTTTGAATACAACTGAATAAGCAATGGATGTTGGACTTACGAGAGGAAAATATTGTTACTATAGATAAAGTTCATTTTAATTAAAGGTTCAAAAAAAGCTTTCATCAGTTGAACACTGCAGCTGTGGCAATATAATGGAAATCAACTGTGGCTACTGCGAAAGAGTGCTCTGTGTTGTTTGTCTAAATTTTTGCAACCGGTGTGAAAAAAGTTATTGTTCACAATGTTCTCTCATTGGGTAAGAACAATTGATATTTTTGTTTATTAGTTTTATAATGTCTTAAGCTCTCAGTATTTTGTACTCTTTAAATCACTATTATATTGTTCAAGTTTATTGTAAACATCAGCCTGTAAGTTTTATTTTGAGGACAACAGTGTATTGTCATACTGATAGTGTTCTCTTATTTAACTTTAATGTACTGCTGGGCCATATAAATACCACTTTTTAATGTCAAAACAAGATGTCTGATTGATGTAGAGAGTTAATTTTTAATTGATATTTTGTTTCAGAGGTGAAGGTGATGTTATATGTGTATCTTGTTATGGTTAGCTATTTAAGACATATCCTAAATACTATCTATGTTTCTTAAAATTTAATTAATCTTTAATATATTGTGATATTGATCTAAAGTAAGATGTTATTCAATAGATATGTAATTTATTATAATTAAAAAAGACCTACTTTTCTGTTACCGAATGCTAGTTTGTGTTAATTTATAAATGGCTTAGAGCCATCTAATTGAAGATTTAATGGGTCTAGTAAAAACTTTAATAAATAAAACACATCTCAGTTTATGTTAATTAATATGCAAATAAAAAATATTTTTATGTGTATTATAGTTATTAATTAACACAATCATTATTTAACAAAAACCATTATGTTAAAAAACATTGAAAATTGCCACAATGTAATTATACAAGAGATTGGTTTTATTAATCTGAGGTATTTTTCAATAAATTATATAAATAAAAAAGGAAATAAATAATATACAAAGTTTTAAAAGCAGGAAACCAAATATTATGCATTAATTTATTGGAAAATTGATTTTTATTGGAATGTAGGGTATTGTATACTTTGACCACAATGAGTTTTTGGAAAAGAAATCACATTCCTAATTAACTTCTACATACAATGTTAATCTATCAGCAACACAAGCAACTTTTAACTAAAATCTTGAAATTAATAAATTTTAGTTGGGTACTCATAGTTTAGTTAGATGTGGTCATGGGTTCATAATATAACTTTAAATACCATTACCATACTTAATAACAATGAAATTATAAAATGAAAACAATGCTATTAGTTATCTGAACAATTTTATTTAGAATTACAAACATTAGCATAATATTGCTTCAATTTGGCTGTAAATGCACCTCGAGGAACAAACAACATAATCCGTTTTCTGTTAAATATCTACTTTGTGCCAAGGAATATAATAAGACTTGGATTATTATGTATATATTTATTAATTGACGCACGTTGCTGACCTCTTACAAAACATCAGCACCCAAAGTCCCTTTTACACACTACTTCAGTTTGCATCCATATAAATAAAAGCCCCCAAAATAAAACTTAAATCTATTACTATAGCTTCCCTCACACAATGAAATTGTACTTAATGACTAAGAAACAAGTTTTAAATTCAAGCACTGTAATAAAAGTAATTATTACCTCCATAAAAGGTGTATCTTTTGACCATTGGTCACAAGACCTTTCAATACATTTAAAAAGCAATAACAAATCAATTATTAATATATGCATCTAGATAGTGTCACTAATTACGATTCGTAATTAGTAATTTTGTATTTATCATGTAAATAAGCATTTATGTGTAATATTGTGACCAGGCAGAACTTATATGGCTCTTTAATAGAAAAACGGCTAAAAAATAAAATAAGAACAGGGTAACAAAATTGCCCTGCTGTTTGAATGTGAGAATGTGGGATTTGGGAGACAGTTCACCTGATGTTAAGTGATATCAGTCACCCATTGGTGTCTACAAAACCCGTGCATTGCCGACTTTCACGTGGGTCCCCGATTACCTCACTTATTCGACGAAAATCAAACAAGTAGAATATCATTTAAAAAACCCGACTGCTTTTCTGAGTAATTTATTATTTTGATATATCCAGTGTCACTCTCGCAGTAAAAACGAATCTAAGAACACCTCTCAAGCTAAAATCCATCAAGCCGTTCAGGCTGCAGAGCGTGCGAAACAAATATACATACATACTCTCGAAAAATATAACCCTACTGGCGCAGGCGGGTAAAAAAACATAATTTGGCCACCTGTGAGACCACTGTGGTATTACTCCAAAAGGAACCCTATTCATACAACAACATGGTACAGCGACTTTGCACTACCGCAGTAAAAAATGTTAACAAAATAAAAAAAAAAAACATTTTTTTATAAATTATTATGTATGCAACATGTGTTAAACTGCCAGTAAAGCAATTTTACTGAATTAAATAGCAGTTTTAATTAAACAGAGCACCAACGAAATATGTGAAACGTAGGAAAATCCGTAAATGTATAATATTACGGCGAGTAGGTAATATAAATAATGCTCATTGTAAGCAAACGCTCCGGCTTCCATCCTATAAATTTCCAAAAATATTCAAACAATTATTGGATGGAAAATTGGCTGGGTCTGATATACCCTGTACTTTAGCTGCTTTTTTTTATATCTTTAATATTTATGTTTCAATTTTAACACCACAATAATATTTTTTTAACAGTTTTAGTATACAATATTCACTTGTCATTCCTATAAAGCAACTTGTGAAAATAATATGAAATATACTGAAATATATGAAACGTGAACCGTAAACAATAAGCTAAGGGTGCAGCTTAAACATTAGGATGTTAAAACAAAAGAAAAATTGTTCAAGAAAAATTTACTAAAGAAGTGAGGTATATTTCTTGGCAATATTGTTACTTTCACACAAAAAGTTACCGTGACATAGCTGGGTGGACATTTTCAATGCATTATTGCAAGACTAAAGTTTCTAAAAGGCACTATACGTATTAAAACGCCCAGCTGTGTCCACAAACAAACGACTGAACTCTCAGTGACAAACACATTTAAATAGGGTAAATAGCGAACTCTCTCACCAACCAGCTTGGCGGCCAGTAATTCAGCCACCAATAGTGGAATCTATATAATTTATTGCTACAGTTAAAGGTATCCTTAATAAAGCTATACACGGTACGGCGTGGCGGGGCGCGGTGGCGTTACGCGAACAGGTACCGGTAGAGGATCGTCGCGGCCACCGCCAGCGCCAAAGGCACCAGCCACGCGCTCCACACACTGCCACGGAAACACATTAGTACTGGTTTAATAGAAAAACAAAATGAACGCAATACTCGATAAAAACTCTTCTATAATTTTCTAGCCATAGCAAATAATTATTAGTTACACATAAAATTAATTTATTCCACCATAATGTTGTAAAGAAAAAAAAACTTTGTTGATTGTGTCATTTTTTTTTTCGATGCACCTTTTTGTCACCCCAAAATTATTCAGTTCATATTAAAATAGGTTTATCATAATATGACAAATAAATTTAAGTAAGAGTAAGTATATGATAAAATTCAGAAAAGATAAAAATAGTGCCGACATAAAACATGCAGATAATGGGGAAAATGAGAGAAGTGATTAATAGGAGGATAAATTAGACATTAAAATGTAATTAGTAACAGTGACAGTTATAATAAAATGTGTTAAGGTAATGTTAAAAATGTTTTTTTACTAATGCTTTGCATTATTTACTTTATAGCACATGGTTCTGTGTAATGAAACTGATAAGTTTAGAACATAAAAGAATACACATGATGAGTATAAAATAACAAGCCATAATTTGCAATATGTGCTTTATTGATCCACTCCACTATTACAAATGACACAGGTATATTGTATATTATCATACATTTAATAGAAAATTAACAGCACCAAATAAATAGGCAAAAATTGCCCCTTTTAATGCTAAATATTATAACATATGAATCACTTGTATTATTGCACATGATATAAGCTACAATGTTTCTTTATATTTAAACTAGCTACAAAACAGCACACACTCTCAAGCAAATCTCGCCTACATTACAAAAGCATTTTCTAATAACAATAATACTATATACTATATTGCTGATAATTATATAATGAACAATTTTATATGATCTCAAAGTAATATAAGTGAATTATTTCAAACAAGCTACTATACTACTCACTGAAAAGGAACAGATCTATAAAATCACATTATTTTATTTGGCTTTACTTAACCATCATAGTAATGCAGATCCATGTGCCACATTGAGGTTAAGTTAATAACATTTGGGAATGTGTGAGGTAGATGGAATGATACCACTTCTTCAAGCTAAAAATGGTAATATTGCCATTAAAGCAACTGAAGGTTAATAAAGTAAGTACCTACACCCAAATTTATACTTTCAATATATTCTTACTTATGTCAGATATCACCTATTCATCATCCAGAAATAAAGTTGTGCTTAAAATATATCTATTTAACAAGGAAAAGGCTAGTTTTTTTTTTGCTCTAAGAAATACTTATTAATACAAAAATAATTATTATAAGGCAACAGCATTATAAAATTTGTTATGAATACAATAATATAGCTTTGAGAAGATAGAATGAGAAGAACAAGTCACAAAAATTAAGAGAAAATAGAGAAGAATACATGGAAAATATTATTATAGATTATAAAGAAATTATGATGTACAAGAAATATTTTTTTCGCAATACTTTTAACATACATCCATTATAGTATGAATATCAAAGAATCACTGGTCACTCCCAAATAAAAAAATCACTGGTTTTCAAGTGACTTTCATTAGTTTTAGAAAAATTTACTAATTCCACATAAAGCATCAAGCATAAGGTGTGAGGGTTATGAATGTGGAATGTAATCTAAACAGTTATGTTGAAACTTCAGGACCTAGTTAATTGATTATGCATCGTGTTCACCACTTCGTAAACTTTCCTTTGGAGTGCATTTAATCCCTGTTTAGACGTGCTAAGAGAACAAACGTAAATGTGTTGCAATGTTTTTTGTATGTTTATAATCTATACATACATATAATAAAAATGTAACTCATTGTTGTCTGTACATGGAAGATATTTGAGAAAAAACTATTATTGGGGGCCTTTATCAATGCAGTAGAACACAAAAAAATTATTGTTAAAAGTTTTGTCTGTCTGTGCGTTTGAGCGCAGTAATGACAAAAACTGCTTAACCGACTTGGATGTAACTTCCTCTAATGCATTGGAGTAAAAAGTAAAGTAACAGCCTATACATGTCCAACAGCTGGGCAAAGGCCTCCTCTAAACAGAGGGTATCAGGGCATAGTCCACCACGCGGCCCCACTGCGGATTGGCGGACTTCACATATTTTCGAAATATTTTTTTTCGTGTATTACTTTGAAAATAGGCAGGTTTTCTCACGATGTTTGCCTTCACCGCGGAGCACGTGATAAGTCAGCACTTACAGTTAAAAACGTCATTGGTACCGGCGCCGGGGATGGAACTCAGGTTGGATATTGAATTAAAAGCGAGTGCCCGGACACTGAGCTATCACGGCATTGTAGTAAGCTTCACTTAACATTCACTGTTAGATTTATTTAAATTGGTCCATAAATAAAAAATATATCATTTTAAAGAACCATGTTGATGATATGTTTGATAAAATGGTATATAATAGCTACAGTTCAATTGGATGAAACTATAGTTAACTATAACTATATATAGTTACATATATGGTCTGTAAAATGATGATGATTGTAAGTTTATAAAAATTGGCCTAGTGCGAGTTGGTCTCGAGCACGCAGGGTAGGTACTTTTTAAGCACGATATAAATTAATGTAGTACATGCGGGCGGAGCCGCGGCCGTAAAGCTAGTTTACAATAAATATATTGAATATAGTGTTGAGGAATGCGACAGGGATGTCGAAGTGAAGAATTATATCGATGTATATATCGAAGATGGTATATAGGTCCTTTTTCTTTGTCAAAAAAAAAAGGTATGTCAAGAATTAAATATTTGACACCACGGACTCTGCGCCGGATTATCGTTTTTTTATAATATTTTCGAAATAGAACAATTTGTATCGATATATCGGATCCAAATGTATCGGATGAAAATATACAATCAAAAACATCGATATTTATTCGGCATCCCTTGGGTGTGAAAGAGCAGTCCTATTTGTCTTCCAAAGGAAGGTCTCTGCAGTGGCGTGGGTCGTGGTCTGAGGTGGTCGTGTGGCCGGTGAGTGCGTGAGTGATGGTCTTTTCGGATTAGGCAACTACGCACTTGCCCTGCTCCTTTGGCTGGTCGTTGCTCCACTGAGGGGCAAACGCTGCTTTGGTCTGTATGCGGTCAGCCTCCACTAGCTCACCGATCTTGTACTTCGCCATCAGCGACCTGCGTATACAAGGTTTTGCGATCAGCCGACGGCTCTAAAAGCATACGACAGTTTTACTTTGTTTACTATTATTAGCCCAACCACAAAAATGTACTTGTGGTTACACTAATGCTTGAACAGGTAAATTGGTAAATAGTTGTAGTAAATCTTGGGCCCTTCCCTTGGGCGATCTAAATCAAATCTCGTTGACAGGAACGATACATTAAAAATATAGAAAAATTACGAAAAGATTGTCGCCGCTGTGGGAATCGAACCCACGTCTTCGGCATTCGCGGCCTGACGCTCTGGCCACTGAGCTAAACGGCTGATAGCCACAGCGACGAAAATCTTAACGCCTTCTTTCTACATTGCGACAATCTTTTCGTACCTTTTCTACATGTTTTAATGTTCAATCTTAAATGCCGAGATTAGCACTATAAAAAAACTTTAAAATTTAAAAAAGAAACGATACAATTAATATTATCGATATTTAAAGTTACGATTATCACGTGATCGTTATAACTCAACGCATCAAACTTCATATGCCAGAAACATATATATTTTTTATGTGAGAAGGTGGCAGGCGAGTTGACGGTTGACCCGATGTTAAGTGCTAACAGCCGCCCTTACATTTGCAACACCCAGGTTAGGGTTGCAGTTGCGTTGCCACCCCTTAATAACGTGACCTTTATACATGGTGATATAACTAAATTCGTCTAAAAATTGTAATATTTTTACATGTTACGTAATTGATATGTCAGTAATAAACTAATTAGTAAATCTTGTGACGAACAATCGCGACAAGCAAAGTTCAAGGAGGAGTAAAGTCTTATCTACATGTTGTGCGCAGAAGTGCCGCGTTTCGTAGTCTGCGTTTGTTGCTATATTTTTTGCACATCTATTTACCTCGCGTCGGAGCTGTGACTGACATCTTCGAAAGGTTCCGTAGCGTCGAGCCCCGCCTTCTCCAGCAACACCTCTTCGCCGCCGGGATGCTGTTGAAGAACCGTCACAACTATTATTATTTATTTTTTGTTGGCGAATGCGGCAAGCGAGCTGTCACCCGATGTTATGACGACCGCCGAAGTGTTACACTTCCACTACACGCCGGTCCTTTGTGAAGTCCTACTACTTTCCCAGACGACCTACCCATTAGAGCAATAACGAAGATTGTTGCATGGCCCTACCACAATTTTAGTTATGCTGACATTATATCATAACAAGTTCTAACCTTAACTTTTCCCCGATATGAACATGTTAACCACCAAATATAATAGATATTTTTTAAATAACTTATTCCATCGGAGAGTTAAATGCATTAGACCCTACCCGTAACTTCCGTTCCATTCCCATAGTGGGAGTTAAGAAAATACTTAATAATAATAATAATTTATTTATTACTTTTTTTATTTTCCTTCGAAATTTCTGAATACATAAGTCCGACTTAAAGCCTTTAGGCATCCTATGGTCAACCCATGTTGCGAATAAATACCCGTATGAATAAAACAATATATTATTTACGTAAATAATGTAAATTAATAAATGATAATGAATTAGGGCGATAATTTTATCGCTGTGATTTTAAATTTATGCCACAACAGCTTAAATAGCAATCATGGTCACGGGCCTGCAAGTAACTAAGTAATTACGTTTTACATTATTTTCGACGTGTACAATTTTTTTTCTAAATATAGACCTCATACATGACAATTTTTTTCCTATCTCGATGTCAAAATGCCTGTCAGGTGGTTTTGCGTTTCTCTTTTTCCTCAAGTAAGGGTGAACGCCACATATACGGGCTTAGAGCGTCAAGAGGAGAAAATTCATTCATTCCAGAAGGCGACGTGTACAGAACGTGAATGACCCAAATGTGGACTCAATGACACACGTGCGCCAACGGAGCGACACGCGCTGACTTACAATTATCTGAATAACAATGCTTGTGTATTATTAATATAGTATTTATTATCTGCTCCAAACTGGAGATGCTTCTGACGGTTGACTGATAGACAACTGATTTTTATCTTTATTGTCCATAGACTATTGCAAACATTATTACGTAAATTTGATTATGCTCCATTTAAAATAACAATGAGAAGTAGATTGCTTAAATATGTACCATTTTGATAAGACGAACAATCAATAAAAATTTGGGGGTCAGGGGCACTGCGATAAGGCAACGACCACTATAAATAAATTTGTAACAGTTGAACACATATGTAGGTATACCTCCGAAAATAGGCCTTTTATTACAGCAGCTTCGGCTGTTGCACGTATGGGCAGGCTCGTGCGGGTAAGTACCACGACATCACAGAAGACCGGCGTAAAGTGGATTAAATCCATAGAGGTATTCGTACATGCATTGTGTTTCATTTTTAGGCAAAGTATATTTATCAAAAATAAAGTAGCATACGTTATTATGTAGCATACGTCATTATTTTATATATAATAGGTTCGGCATCCTAGGTGCAGTACACATTTCACATTCGGATTTTTGAACATACATTATTATTAAAATACTATCTATTCACACAAACTACTATTCAATACGATCAAGTAGGGGTAGTCACATTGCGAATTTATAACCGCTTGTCAGCGCCAAGGTAACTTTCTCACGTTATTTCTTTACCCAAAGCTTTTCGCAAGGCATTGCCATCAGAGTACCGAACACCACCAATTCTTTTCTTTAACTGATGAAATCAACCATAATCACACGGACTTAAGTCAGGGGAATATGGTGGTTGAATCCAACGGTCAATCTTATGTTGATCCTTAAATATGGCGCAATAAAAATTCAAAACCGGGCGGGTTTGATCCGAACAACCTAATCCAATACTCGATTCTGCACGTGTTATATGAAACTGTCAATTTGTAATTCAAATATTCTTATCCCTTATGGCAATCTCCATACATATTTTGAAACATTGCTTACTTTTAATAAAACGCTGTTGTGTCTGCGGTGTTACAAAATCAAAACATTTTAACTATTCAAAGGGGAATGAGTCTGAAGTTACACAAATTAAAAAAAATAGAGATAGGAGCTCCTAATATGGTAGATTTTAACTTTTGAGGCGTTCTAGACGTGATACTAATTTAAGACTTGAAATCGAAGACATAAAATACATCTTGTCGTACGATTTCGCTAAATTACTTAGAATCGATTATCTACTTGTTTAGAGTGAATGTGTCATTACTTAAGAAAGTGTCGTCGTCAATTCACTGTACAGCTAAAACTGGAAACGTTATCGATTTAATCGTTGTTGTATTTGATTAATTATCAACTAAATTAGCCTGTTGTCGATATTATGGACGAGGTTATCCGCTTATTGTTAGCACCAAACAATGCAATGCTCCTAAAAAGACGTTAAGACAATCAATTGCCACAAATTGCGTAGTTATGGATAGATATCTTCTTAACGCGGGACGAGACGGTAAGAGCATGGCATTGTTAATTTCTTTTTAATCCATCCAAAGGTTGCCTGGAAGAAATTACTCCTAGTAATAAGGCCGCCCATTGTACCTATCACTTCTATATTAATTTTTAATTTTTGTTTGTTTTATTGTTGGTGTGCAATAAAGTATATTCACTCATTCATTCATTCAGTGTTGTAGCTCTTTTTGGACTTCTAAATTTAAAACAAGCCTATTTATGATGAATAAAGAAATTTTGATTTTGACTTAGTTGCATAAAAATATAATGTCGTTTAATTATATTATAAACTGTATATCTTTTCCATTCTTGATAGTAGATTTGGGCCTTTGAGGTAGCAGTAGGCTCTCTTGTAAGAACAGTTACATAAAACTCTTCGCATAAATGTTCATTATACAAATGCTGTGTCCTCATGTTGGTAATCCAATAAATAAATAGAACAGAGTGAAAAGAAACTACAATTAATAGTTTCTCCAGCACGTATATTAAAATAGTATTAAAATTCTTATTCAGAGACCGTTCGTGCTCCGAATGTAATATTGGAACGGAATGTAATTTGTGACACTGTAAAAAATTTACAACAATCCATCCATTGTTGTCAATTGTCATAGAATTAGAACACAAGCTGTTGTTGACCTAAATTACACAACATCTTATTGGCATTGTTGTAACAATTTCTTGAAACATTCAAAACACACGAATAACTCATAAAATAGACAATAAAAAAGATACGTTATACAGTCAATATGTTGATAAATTACAAAGTTTATAAATTAAGTCAAAACAATAGTAATAAAACTCTACTTCACGCACAACTATCGTAGTGTTTACGATAATATTTAATTATAATGCAATTAAAAGCATCGAATATAATCGAATAATCGCTTTTAAGAAAATTTAGTTAATTGTAACTTATAAAACAATAAGAATCAATGTTTTCGGCGATATTAAATATGACATAATGCATTAATATATACCTTCTTCGCGAGTGGAAAGTCTTAAGTAAATTTTAAAATCATTACTAGTGTTAATCTAGTGATCGAAATTAGACCATAGCAGGCAGCGGGCAGTTCCTGATTTTAATTGAACACCGCCACCCATGGACATATACAAACACCCGAGGTCTTCCCGATGCGTTTACAACCTTTAAAAAGTAGTCCCCGGTTACCTCACTCAAATATAATTGAACGGAAACGTGCATGAATTACGCTATTTGATTTAGTTACAAATTGTAGCCGACGAACAATTTTTCACTTAAACGAAAATCCGGTTCACATATCTTCATGTATGGTGAGGGTTATCCTTTCGTTGTGAAAACCAAATGTTTTCATATTACGTATCCATAAATATAAAAGTTCGATAATCCGTGTAAATTTGAATTATTATGGTACATTTATTGTGACTTGATGTAGAAGTATGAGCGTATGTGTTTTTGGCAATGTACTTGAGATGCCATAGTTTTGACGGCATTATCCGCTAATTGACCAATTAGATCAGAGCTTCGTTCGGATGGTCAAGGATTTGTTTCATGACAATCTAACGATTTAAAGCAAAATTTATGTGTTTCCTATCGGTATATTTTATTCTTATCAGTACACGCGTCTAATGGAAGACAAACATTTTGAATTGCGAATTGTGTACGAAAAGGGGCGAATGGACAACCACATACAAAAACGGAACGATGACCAGTCGCATAAAATGGTTTAGAATGCCTTTACAGCCAAATCTACAATAAAATCGGAACTAAGGAGTCTAGATAATGCCACTAGGCATTAAGTCCGTCAATTGTGTAGCTTAAGGTATTAGTCATAAGGAATGATAATGAAAACTATTTGAAGTTTGCGAAACTGATGGAAAGTTACAAAAATCGTCGAAGTCATTCCGCTCGAAGGTTCATGATTAATGTAATCATTTGCTTATCGAAATAAAAATTAAACATTTCATCTATCGATTGTTAGTTTTTTTTTAATCTACCACAGTTTCATAATGAGATTCCTCTAACGGGGAAGAAACATGCTAAGGGTAAAACCGTACCCTATTACTAAGACTCCGCTGTCTGTCCGTTTGTAATCTGGCTGAAAAATCTCATGAACTGTGATAGTATGACAGTTGAAATTTTCACAAATGATCTATTCCTGTCGCCGCTATATCAACAAATACCAAAATAAAAAAATATTTAAGTGGGGCTCGCATACAACAGATTTTTTATGCTGTTTTTATAGATAATGGTAAGGAACCATTCGTACGCGCATCCGACTCGCACTTGTCCGGTTTTTTTTCTCAAAACATTAAAATACCAAACATACATTTTTTTTTACTACGGTAAGATTTCCATGGTGGAAATAAGTTCCGTAATAACTACTCTTAAAGATGACAAACAACTGTACAGAAGACACTAGTCTATTTTAAGCGTCATACAATATTTAAACATAATTTTATTCCATTATAGATGAAATTATCTACGAGCGTCAACGCGGCCGACGCGTCTGCGTTTCAATTATGCGAGAACCCACACGCCTGGAATCTTTCATTAACTCCGCACGGAATGTGAAATGCACGACTTGGACGCTTTGGCCTGCTATTAACCCCCATTCACACATTCTAATATAATAGTATAATAGTTACGTAATTTTTTCATGTTTTCCACATGCATCACCACCGTTCCAAAAAGTACCCAGAAGTATAATACTTGATGCTTATTTAATATAATTAATTATAATTTTCTCTAAAGCCGAGACACACTTGCCCAGGCGAGCCTGTACATTTGTGGCAACAGCTTACATCAAAGTCGTGGCTCTACCACAGTTAAAGACAGAATATCTTTTTAAGGTAAAGCCAATTTCGGCTAGAGCTACAGAGACCAGAAAAATGTTTAGAGGCGCATTTGAAAGAAATCACACTGAATTATTTAATTTTATTCTGAACTGAAATCAGTAAAACCTAATGTATTATCAAAAGCCACATTAAATGTATACTAAATTTTCTCCATCTATTTCATGTAAAATTTTTTTTAAAAAAATACTTTTCTGAACCTTCTGGTTCTATTAGTTAACATATTTATAGAATGAGTTGCGTTATACTTTTCATGTTGAAAGTAAATTAAAAAAACAAACGATAACATGTCTTGGGTCAATTGCAGGTTAACTGGACAAGTTAAACAAATCAAAAATTTATCAATACACTATATAATATACAGACAATTTATCTTCTTCAATTAATATAATAAAAATCCATCTGTTCAGGGGCAGCTTAGTCTATTAATAAATTTTTAACTTTTTTATTTTCTATAATATATTTATATTATTCTTGATTATATAATAGAAATGGTTCTAATGGGATTTAATGTGTTTAAATAAAAAGACCCTGCTCAATAGAACATATTATGAATTCTTCATAAATAATTTCAAATGAAAAAAACAATATTGAAACTTTTTAAAACATTCTGTGACTGTAAGGAGATAAATAAATACATTTTAACATCATTAGCTGACAGATACGATACAATGAATGTGGGAATTACAAAGTGACAAACTCAGTAATTTATGCAAAAATTTAAATTGAACGAAGAAGCAAACTACTTACTGCTAGTTTTCGATGATAGTGAACTAAATACATTTTTAAATATTCTTAATGAACAACTACCAACATACAGTGCTTAGTGTTAAAACAGATGTATTGTTGTTATATAGCAAATAGTATTATATTTAAATATTACAAACAAAAACAATTGGTAATTATGTACAATCTTATGAAACTTTTTTGACCTTACAAAAATTAATTGATAGACAAATGTCAATATTTAGTCAGTGATTAATTAATGAATGTTCTTAGTTTACCAAACTTTTTGACATCAATTTACTGGCGCTCCTTAGTATACAAGAATGTACACATAAAAATCAAACCTAACCATTGAGTACGGGACCCTATCTTATAAACCTATAAAATTATCTAAATGGAAAAAAATTATCACTTTGTAACCTACTCATTGTCTAAGTACTTATGATGTTTGGTAGGGCCAAGCAACAGTCACTGCTGTTACAAGTACCGCCAGCTCATTTGACATTCCACTCTCTATAAAAATGTAAGTAGTAGTAATAATATAAGTTCAGTAAAACTGCACAATAGACTGTAAACAATTACCTAAAGATGCCTTGATATTCAATTAACGCCAATCAAATTTATAAATGTAAAAATGTGTTAATCGATAGCAAAAAGTTACCTTTAAAATAGTTATAATGCAAAATAGTGTGGCAAACGGGTAAAATTAAAAAAAATTAAAATACATGCATTATACGTCACATCATTGTTGTCTAAAATGTATGACAGGAAATGATAGAGTATATATCTATATATCAATGTATAAAGTATAAATTGAAAGTAATTCTGTTACTAAAACTTTTCATTCATTTTTGGTAAGTTAAATAATCATTAATACCCTAAATATTAATATACAATTCGTTTTATAACGCTTTCACATAATTAATAACGATTTCTTTGGTTAAATTGACAACAACAAAAATAAAAAGCAGTAGTATGCCGTCTCACCTCATCCAGAAACTTTGTAACATCGTAGACACCATTGTGAATGATGAGGATTGCATCGTCGCGCGTGTTGCGGCACTTTAACTCCTCTCGAGTAAATAACTTAACTTGCTGCTCCATCTTCCAATTAAGAAAAACTAAATATAAATATATAAGATAATCAAAATTAATCACTATGAAGAAGAGCCGCGTTTAAATCGAGTACGTAAGTCGGCGAAGTAAAGATCGGGAATGAGCGCAGATTTACCGAATGACAATGAAATGACAAGATATCAAGAAACGAAATGATAAACATATGTCAAATGTCAATTGGTGACTGGCGTTAGCATCTGTGGTGACTGGCTGACTGGTATAATTCGCGAACTAAGGATGCCGAAAAAATATCGATATATCGATGCAAAATATTAATGGCATCTTGGCAACAAAAAAATTATTTGACGTCGTAAAAATTATTATCATTTAACCACATAAGTAACTTCTTTAAATTATCGTTCAGCATTTTCATGACAATCAAATAACTATTACTAAATTCTGTTGATCTAGGCCTGTCTTTTAGTACAAGTCGCTGCGGGTTTTTTTTGAACCATTATTAACTTCGTTTTAAACAATTCTTTACGTTTTTTTTACAAAGTTACATATTTTTTTAATTAGTTATTTTTTGATTCGATTCAAGGCAAAAAAAAAACTGATTTAGTTTACTAAATAAGCTATTTGTTTTTTTTTCCAATGAAGGTCTTGATAAATAACATACCGAGAAATTTAGATTAATAAAAGAAATTTGATTAAAATTAATAAAAAATTAACGTTTTATTAAAATTTCTCATTCATTTAAATAATGTGAACTTGGTCCTAAAAATTACTATTACTTATTATTGAATCAGACTGAATTAAATACATTATTTTTTTTAAACTTAAAGTATGACCGATATATAGATTTTTTTCTTTTCGATATATCGAGGCCGATATTGATATTTTTATAAATATCGATATATCGATATTTATTTCAACTTTCGGCATCCCTATCGTGTACTGTGTACGGCATTCATAGTGTTACTATGTTGCTAAATATACAAAAATGTAAACCATAAACCTATGCGATCCCTTGATTGAAGAAATGTATGAATCACATATTTTATTATATATTGTAAACTAATAAACATTACAGATAACATATTATTAATATTCAATTACTTTATGAACAAAAGTGAAATTACCCTAAAAAAAGCCTTGAATAGATTGGCAATACTTAATGTGCGTGAAAAGATGATACTTTTTAACAAATATCGAAAACTCAGTATAAATTTAATATTATTTTATTTACAAATTTTTGCTAATTATTGTTCTTTCAGATTAATTTATCACACAGTAAAATGGTGTTCTTAAACCGTTTATTATACATAATCACTTACCATCAGGTGAGCCTCCTGATAGTTTGCCCCTTTTCTCCATAAAAAAAAAAACATAAAATGTTTCAAATAACATTTGATTAATATTGTTTATATTATGATGATTACTATAACTGCACCACTTAACCATTCCATATATTCAACTTTGAACATGATGTGGGTTAAAGTAGCCTCTAAACATTAAGGAAAAACCTCCATCTTTTTATACAACACTACTCACGTAGGCTAAAATAAAGACTTATCCAATAAACTGTAAATTGAACTTTTTAAAGAAGAGCAACTCTTGACTCTTGAGTTTTGGCTGGTTTCTTCTCAACAGAAACTGCTTTCGGAACCGGTGGTAACTTGTGAATGTATTAATTTTAATTACCATGGTAAAATGCTGGTTATATAAAGATGCTGGTCAAAAATTGGAAAATGGATTCAAGTAGGGATTTAAAAGAAATATATGAATAAACCAAACAACTATTTAATATTATAATTCTCTATGTCTAAGTGGCCTACTCATTGCTTATTACAAATATTATAAAAGTTATTTTTTTTATACTTTGATACTGCTTGCTTCCTGTATCTCCTTCTGTTTGTGGGTCCCATCACAAAAAGGTCTATTTTTTGTTTGTTTACAATTGCACAACCAGTATTCCTTTGTCTTTTCAACTGTAAACCTTATTGGCCTGAAAAATTGGGATTGTATGTTATCAAAACAAACAATAAAAAAAATACTTCTTGTTTCATGTCAATATTACAACTGACAGATTTATTCTTGGTTTCTATAGAATTCAAGGAATTATTTATAATTAAAGCCTTATTTGTTCTATACCATTAAATTTGTCATACCTCTGTGTTACTTTGAGGAATATATCTTTATGGGTGCCGTCACACATTGGTTGTGTTTTGGAACGGCCGCATAGGCACCATTGGTAAGTTTTCCCTTCTTCAAGAGTTAGCTTGAATGGTTTTCTGTCATACACTATTCCATTATCTTTTTGACAATTAGCAGAGTACACTGTTTTCAAAGGATTGTTTGGGATTTCAGGCTTTGGTGCTTTGGTTACATAATTTGCCTGAAATTTATAAATTAATTTGAACTGAGATGTTATGAATAAATAAGTCAATCCGATTTTATTAAATTGTGTGTTGTGGATGCTCAGTGCCAATGCCCACAGTGGCGGATTTCCCATAAGGCCCAATAGGCCTGGGCCTAGGACCCCTATATATTAGAGGCAGCCAATCATGACAAAAAGTTCACTGATGATAACAAGATATACCATGGACTATGAGAAAGGGGCGGCTGGAATTTACTACATGGGCTGGGGCCTAGGGCGCCCAAGACTACAAATCCGCCACTGAATGCCCACACTAAGTAAATTGTTAATTTTAAGTGCTAACTTATCTCATGCTCAGCGTTGAAGGAAAACATCGTGAGGAAACCTGCATGTTTTCGAAATAATAAATAAATATTATAATAATTTCTAAAATATGTGAAGTATGCAATTCTGCAGAGGATCGCATGTTGGACTATGCCCTAATACCCTCTGTACAGCAGTGGGACGTATGAAGGCTGTTACTTATTTTAATCCGAAATTGCTTATAATATATGGTAAAAGTCATAGGCGGAATGTGTGAAGTTATGTTTTAATGTTATAAATTATAACGCTTACTAACTCGAAGTGCACATGCAAATATCCTGTAGGCATTTTTCCTTGCAAACATTATCATGAAAATTTATTATACTTAATAAGGGTAAAGTAATATTTCTACTTAAAACTTATCAAAACTAATTCATTAATTATTCCATAACTAATTTGCTGTAAAAATAAGTAGAAACCAACAGGAAAATGTGACAGTGACAGTTACATAGACCGTGTGAGACAGTGCTGCCAATTGCTAAATGGCCCTAAAATCAAGATGAAAATAACCCTAAATGCAATTTTCCAAAGCCCAAAAAAAAGCCCTGTATTGACTTCAGATATTGTATAAATAAACTTAGGTTTGGTTAAGGTAATTAAAATATAATTTAATTTTAATTACTTTTCATTACAAATAGTTGAAAAAATTAACAAAGCAACAAAATATCAACTATCATTTCATTAATTACATTAAATTAATAGACATTTTGCCTCTTTTTACTAACTGTGGTCAGTGAAAATAGTGATTCCTGAAATATTATTCATTGTCCTAAAAGTGGCCGAAACATTTTTGGACCCTAAAAATGCCCAATATGTATATTTCCCTCCAGGCTAAAAGCCCTAAGCCCTTGGCAAGGCTATCTGGAAACCAGTTATACAGTAAAGTATTTTGTGCTTTCAAGTCTTCAAAATGAATACTCCTAAATAAATTTCGAAACTATTCAAAGCCAAAACTTCAAAAACAACAAAATATAATGTCACTTTGTATTACTAGATGGGTCCAGGGGCATGTTCGCTATCAGTTTTCCTTCAAATCTGACTTAAAATCCCGACATTTTAGTTATACCTATTCTAAACATGTCTTCGTGACGGTATATATTGGAAGTAATTACTGAATTAAACTCTGTTAACATCGCCTGTTCAAGTTAGTATTATACCGGCCAGGCAGGACGGTCCTTATTATCTTGACTGACAGGGTAAGTAAGGTAAGGGGTAAAGTAAGGTAAGGGGCTCGAATCTATGAGCTCTTCGCACTTAGATAAAATCTCCGATTGAATTGACTTGAGATCGCCGTCACGGCGACCTCCAATCTCACGTCCCATATCCAAATAGCCCTCATAGACTGTTTCGATCGGATCGTGGTAGTGAATGATAGCCGCTTCGAATTGCCGGAGAACCTCAGGTGGCTATAACGTGAGAAAAACTCAGTCAACCATGCTTTCGAGTGATATCGAGAAGGCCAGCTGGCGATGTTAAGTTATAATAAGATGGGCCCCGATTACCTTATCTCCCAAAAAAGGAAGCCCTTTAAAAGTGCATGCAGGAGCTAAGGAGGCCTTCTCGTTCTGATTAATGCACTTCTCGACAGCTGCACCTTGCATTCTAATATCAAGCTCATCGGAAGCTTCAACAAGTATGAGAGCGTTCACAAATACTTACGCTCGCTTTGATGTGCGTTGAAATACCGACACGCTAATGGCAAAAATGAAATAACAAATAATATAAAAAAATATTTTTCCAAATATCCTCCCACACATAGCTTTAGAAAATCTTTGCAAACATTTACAAGTCTAAAGATCTACCCTTGAGACTTGTAAATGTTGAGAGGTCAGGCACTGCACACCATAATTAGAGTCCAGAGCGGTAAATAGGTAACAATGAATTAATCAATAGTTCCAAATTCCTCTAGAATGGTGCTAGACAATGGTTATCTACATTTTTGAGTTGAATTTTAATAATTAGTTATTAATTATTAAAATTCAACTCAATGGTAACTACCACTTTAATCATACCACTGCCTACCCACAAGCTATTCTAGCGGCTCCAATTTAACACCTATACATGGGCACATATTATGAATATGACTAGTGCTTCAAAACTGGTATAGATGTTGTTAAAAGTTGAATTGAGATTTTTGGTAAATACATTTTTTTACTGCATTTATATAATAATGTTAACACGAGTAAATTTTATCCCAGTTGACATTGCAATGAACGCAACATCAACTCGTGTGATTTTGACAATATATGACAGTGACGTTTTATTTCATTTTTTTGGTTTTATTTTTCACATGTTTTTCGTATAAAAATGGTTGTTTTCGTTGATATGCTTTTCTAATTTTTATAATTATAATTTGATTTAGGCAAGTAGTATGCTATATTTTTTAGTTTGAAAATAAAACATGATACAATTTTCACGAAATTATGTCTAGAATAAGAGGAATTGAGGCCAAAACGCAGAAAAATGTGCACCAAATCTCACTAACATGTAAAAAAGTATGTAATGAAATAAATAAAAAGAAACATGAAGGTGAAACGTATAGTAAAGAAGATGCCGAAAGTAAATACACTTATATGCTTAACAGGCATGAAAATCGTGTAACGAGTCCTCATACACTATTTTTTATTTTTAGAGCAACAGATTACTGATTTGCTACATAAGCTTCCTACTTTGGATAAAATATTTGAAGTCCATCGCAAGATTGGGGAAGGCACATTCAGCTCTGTATATTTGGGATCACTAAGACGTCATGCAGTGCTTCCATCCTCTGAGCGCCGCTGGTTTGCTATCAAACACCTTGTGCCAACTGCACATCCCGCACGCATTGAGCATGAGCTGCGATGTTTGCAGGACATGGGGTACATGGTTTTTGTTGATAATCACTTTTATGGATACACTTATTAATTTTCATATTTATTGTTCAGCCAGTTCCAATATACTAAGCATAAATATGCCATAAAGTAAGAACTAATTGGTGATAGATTGAAAACCAATACCGTTATTGGTGTGGGCTGTTTTTTTTGCATTCTCAGATAAATAGAAATGTTGTTCATAATTTATCAACCTTTGCTTTAATCTACTTGTTGTTTCTTTCAGGGGGAAAAATAATGTCATAGGTATTGAACTTTGTTTACGCCATTTTGATACAATAGTATTTATAATGCCTTATATACCTCACAGAAAGTTTTCAGTAAGTTTGTATTCATATTTAATTTTTACAAATTAAATTCTCTCAAATGAATCTTAAAATATAGACTTTTTATCTAAAATGATTATAGAACATTTTTGTGGGCCAACCCATTTTTGGTGTTCACATAATAGATTTGGATATACCATAAATTATATCTTAGTGAGGATATATGAATGGTGATGGCACCAAATTTGCACTCATTTGTTTGAGTATATTAAATTGAACCCCATGAAAAGTTATCTTAGTTTGTTCTTTATTGATTTAAATATGTTATATGATATGCTGAAACATAAAATTGAGGAATGGTCCAACAACGACAAGCAATGTCATATAAATCTGGAAAAACTGTTACTGATAAATTTAATATGATAATTTCAGGAATATGTGGGAGAAATGGATGCTAGTGAGTTGAGACTATATATGCGTGCTCTGCTTGTCGCCTTGCGCCACGTGCATTCGTTTGGCGTCATCCATCGAGATGTGAAGCCCAGTAACTTTCTCTATGATCGAGAGAATAAAAGGTAATCTTCCCAAAAATGTGATGATCAAAGGTTTTTGCTATAAGTCAAAATAATGCATATTAATTATCAAAATAGAAATGGCTTTGTACTGTTGTTAGTATCTTGTAACTATGCCCATGCATATAATGAAACCTAAACACATGTTAATATTATAACAGAAGGATTTATGAATAGGGCAGTGGTACCAATGTTACCCTAACTCTTTAGTTTTACTCATGTGTGATACAATATCTAACAAATTACAATGTCTGTTAGATACTTACTGGTAGATTTCGGTCTGGCGCAGCGGATTTGCCTTGCACCCGATGAGCCTCCACCGCCCACCACTAATAAGCGGGCAAGAGAAGAACTAGAGGTATGTTGGTATCTATTCATAGTTAAATAATTTTTTGTCCATTAGATTTTTTTCAAGAGATTCTGCTTCTTATTATTAGTATTTCTATTTAGTTAATAAGTTTCACACTTCACTGTGTCACACTTCTAATATGTTTCTTTATGCGAAAAGTTTTCAAGAGGGCAGGGCAGCAGTTCATAATTGTCACATTTAGTTCATTTTTCTGTGGGCTCTACCACTTTCTTCACTCTTTTTATTGCTCATAATGAAATAATTACGACAATTTGATTGTTATCCTTATTAAGAAACATTTTCTCATATTGTATTACAGTGAATGTTTGAAGCACTTATTTTGTTTCATAAAGATCATTTTGTTCCTTACAATGTAACAATGAAACATTGTAGTCTATTCGTAATAAAATAGATTTTTAACTATTATGATCTAAAAAAAAACAGTTTTATGGTTTAACAGTTTTTTTTTATGTGAGAAAGTGGCAAACCAGCTGGTGATTCACCTGATGTTAAGTGATAACCGCCGCCGACGAACATTTGCGACAGACGTAGGGTTGCAAATGCGTTGCCACCTTTAAACAAAGTGGGCCCCGGCTACCTCACTCACCAGACGAAACCCAGAAGTGTAATACTTCTACTTTACGCCGGTCTTCTGTGAGGTCGTGGTATTCACCCGGACGGATCTGCCCATTCGTGGAACAGTGAACACTGTTGCGTGGTCCTAGCATTGTTAGTTACACACTCTTAGAAGCATAAAATAAGAATATTTTCAAGAATGTTTTTGCCGCTGCTAGGATTCGAACCTTCCGGATTACGCATTTGAAATAATTGCTCCGAAAATCTCGATGTCATATTACTTTTGATGGAGAGCCTGGGCAAAAAAATGCTCTGATGATGATTTTGTTAAACAGATTATTAATCACATGTGAATAATTGTTATGTCAGTCAGTCAGTTAAATGTGAGAACGGAGCTGGTCAGTCAATTGCAATTTTTATATAAAAAATTTCTAGGGCTATTTATCTTTATATATTTATATTCTTCGGTCTATGTGTATGTCATTGTACTCCCCCTTATCAGCTGGACCGATTATAATGAAGTTTTTTATGTCTTCAGGTCAATTCTAGAATGGTTTAGATTGACAATTCGGTCTACAATTTTTTTTTATTTTTATTACTTGTTGGATTTAAGCCGTGTGAACAGGATGTTTGTTGGGTACACTAGTTATACTATATAAATTAAATGGTAGTAAGCCATATTCTTCAATAACTTCAGTCAGTAAGCCAAAACATGTATGCGCTTACAATAGTCATAGGGAAAATGAAATTCAATTATATTGTTTTTATTTATATTGATATTTCTTATAACATTTGAGTAACCAAAAATATTTGGAAAATCGTACCGACTTCTTTGGGATCTTTCTATAATTTTATTGAAGCACCAATACAGTTCAATTTTTGATTACACGGCGTGTCGTTACCATCGCGACAATAAATGAACACACGTCTAACGCTACGTGCCAATAATCATAAAAAATATTAACGTTAAACAAAATTCATAATTAAAAAAAAAAAAATTCAAACGAACTAATTAAGTAAAAAGAAACAAAATTTGTAACATCCTATACAATTCGCGCCACAGCGTCGTATTACAAGCCTCTCCTTCTAACATACTGTTACTTACTGTGTTTTGTCTCTTAAATTCATTCAACCCATTCATATGCTTTGTGACCTTTACAAATGAACTTTACGTTACGCTTTTATAGGTAAGGGTGTTCTAAAATTCTTTGTTTTGCAAAATTTAATAACTCTGTAAATATTGATGCTTAAAGAATTTAAATGTTTAATACAATTTTAAAAAAATTATCCCCTATATGTCATTTATTGTCGCAATGGTAACGACACGCTGTATACTTGTCTATATTATCAAAGTCTACATAATTAATACGATAAAGCTTATTGAGAAGATTAGGTGAAATGAAAAAAGGTAAACAAGTTAATGAAGACATAAAACATTAAGATGTAGGATCCAGTGACTTTGGATGGTGTTACGTATTTGAAAAGTAGTGAGAAGAGACAAATAAATATATTAAATAATAATTAATAATGTTGCATGGACTAAATATGCGTAATCATGCCTTGTATTTTTTTACTTTTAGGATGATCCATGTCCGGGTGCGAAACGCATGGCCTTAGATCTGACCGTAGGAGCGAAACGAGCGAACGTTAGTGCTCCTACACCCAAAGAGGGCGGGGGCGGGGGCGGGGGCGGGTGCTCGTGCTGGGGCGTGGGCGGCGTGTGCGCTATGGGCGGGTGCGGCGCGCGGGCGGCCATGCGGGCGGCGCGCGCGGGCACGCAGGGCTTCCGGCCGCCCGAGGTGCTGCTCAAGTGGGCGCGCCAGGGCGCCGCCGTCGACCTCTGGGCGGCCGGCGTCGTGCTGGCCACGGTGCTGGCCAACAGGTGCCCTCTTTCTGCCTCGACGGGGCTGCACATAATAATATAATGAACAACTTCAAACGGATCCCCCTCTCTCTTTTTTTTTTTTTATGTGAAACGTTGCCAAACGAGCAGACAGTTCACCTGATGTTAAGTGAATACCGCCGCCCATAGACATCTGCTACACCCGAGTGTTTGCAGATGCGTTGACAACCTTTTTGGAAATTGGACTCCGGCTACCTCACTCACCAGACGAAACGCGAAAGTATTTGTCATACTGCCACTTGACACCGGTCTTCTGTGAGGTCGTGGTACTTACCCGGACGAGCCCACCCATTCGTGCAACAGCCGAGGCTGCTGCGTGGCTCTACCACTCTTGCGCGACAGGTCGTGGGTTCGATCCCCATTGTGTTATGAACGTAGCTCGCTTTTCCAGTGTCTGCGTGTTTTTATGGATATCTATAATATGTATATATTTACGAAATAAATGTACGTTTTAGTATGTTTATCACTCACATTGTACAAGCTTTGCTTTGTTTGGAACTAGATAACGTGGAAATATTTATTCACTCGTATCGAACTTATTGCCGTTTCGATCAGAGATAGAGCCTGTGGGCGCAGGTACCCCTTCTTCCGGGCCACGGACGACGTGTCGGCGCTGGCGGAGGTTGCCGACTTGCTAGGCACCGACGCTCTGCAGCGCACCGCACTGGCGCTAGGTATGCGAAACACAATTCTTGGCCACATTCCAGGACACATTCAAAATTATCCTTGAACTTATTATAATTTAATAATTTCTTGTATTTACGCGATTACACATTATAAATGAAACTAATTTTACGGATTTATCGCGTTTATTTTTAATTTTAATTCCCGACGTTTCGAACCCTTTACAGCGTTCATGGTCACGGGACAGACTGAGGTGTTAGACGTCTGATTGTCATAGTTAACCCGGGCTACCGTCAGTCAGAATTAAAATTAAAAATAAACGCGATAAATCCGTAAAATTAGTTTCATTTATGATTATAATTTTCTAGTTTAGAAAAATAAGGTTTTGAGAAGAAAAAGAGACAAAATGTTTTTATTAAAAAAAAAAAAAACCGATATTACCGATAATAACCGGAATAATTTACCTCCTCCGTTGCGTGATCTAAAAAAGACAACTAATAATTTCAGAAGTCTTTTAAGAAATTTTTTAATCAATCATCAGAAGGGTACATGCTAATTATAGCTGCTGTATTAATGTAATAAGATATTGCTTATATTAATCGTATTAATTTATTATTATTGTTATTTTTGTCGTGTGTCCCATTCTATGTCATGTTATATTTATTTGTATAAGCATAGTCTGGTTAATATTATATAATGTAATAACACTCGTGTAAACATCATCTCACTACTAAATCAATATTACTTTTTCAACAACGAAGTCTAGGCATTCCGATAAATACCTATCCCTATGGTAATACTTGTCAATATTCACGTATTGAGATAATTATTGAGACATGTACAGTTTTTTTTTTTTCTCTAAAACGTAGTGGTTCTTTCTCTTTAGTTTTAAATAACTGAAAGTTTGCCTACTATCCTAATGTGCACCGTCCGATACGTTCGGACGCCTGGGGCCTACTGAAAATTAGCGCTGCGCACCTGCGGCTTATGCTGAGACGGTCCCTTCCGCCACCTTATCACAACACACATTTAATTGTTTTAATTTGTTAATATTATTACAATACTTTACTACCCATTTTTTTTTCTTTTTTGTAATATTTTTTCTCTTTATGTAAACATTTTTTTCTGTTTTTATTTTTTGTAATTTTATTGATTAAGTTCTGTACAACTTTTTTAAGGTGACGGAATAAATGTCTTTAAATGTCGATACCACACACTGTACTTTTTCTAATGGAGGAGGTCCTTTTTTGAAGTTGGTTGGTAAATTGCATTTAAATGGCTATTTTTTTATGGTGTAGGTACTATATTTTTTAAGAAATATGTGACGTCGATAATTGACGCGTGTTAAAATTATAGTAGTGTATATCTTTGTGAGTGGACTCAGAGTACGGCGTTATGATGTAAGGACGACGCGTGGTGACCTCGACTCGGCGGCCAGGGCTGTGCCTGCGCAAGCTGTGCGCGCGGCTGCGGGGCGTGCCGGTGTGCGGGAGGGGCGAGGGGGGCGAGGGGGGCGAAGGGGGCAGCCCTGGCGGGCTCTGCGCCGCCTGCCGCAAGCCGCGCCCGCTCTGCCTCTGCCCCGACGAGAACGTACCCGTGAGTGCCTTTGTCTCATCGATAAAACCCCCAGAGCCGAAATTTGACCGACTGTGCTAATAGATTTAGATTACGTAGGATGTCTAGGACGCACACAGCAAGCGCATGAATATTCCTGCAGTGTTTATTATAGCGGTTCATTCCTTCATTTTAAAACATCTCTATTTATTATTTCCATTTGTTGTACAAGATTACAGATGTTTACGAATACGAATTGCAATAATCCGAAGTATTTATCACATTAATGTTTATATTCCACATAAATACTATTGAAAACAACTACGCCACCGAAGCCGTGTTTTTCAATGCTTATCAATGAATTATTAACATAGGTACAAAAATAATTATCAATACGATTTATGTGCGTTCTCTCTTGCTACGCCGCAGTAGATGGATATATTTTAGAACACATTTTTACACAACGTTCTCTAGTCCCAAATAAAGCAACGCTTGTTCTATGGGTAGTTAATATACTTAAACATACGTTTCTTTTGTAAATAAATACATATTATACATACATCCAGATACTGGAAAAACACTATGTTCATCACACTATATTTTTCCAGTAGTGGGGATCGAACCCACACCCTCTACTTCAATCGGGTCGTCAAAATTAAAGTCAGAATCGGAATTAGGATAACCTAATAAAAGCTTAAAAGAGGTTACTCTTTTTGATGAAAATTGTGGGGATGGAGGAGTATAAAATTTCCTACAGTTATAGTTTATACAGGAAGGCTTTTCTTAGTGTATCCATTGTTTTTATTAAATTCTAGACATAAATAAAATTATATAAACATTATAAATATTTAAAATTACTCGTAATTAATTAATTACATTCATTTGAACTTATGTCAGAAAGTGCGTGATTTATTATTATACGCGCGATCATTCATAACTAACACGCGCACAATTTCGTTTCAAAACTATACGACGCATTTATAAATGACTACAAGTTCTGTTTTTTAGGGAATAGAATGGCAATTTTTTTTTTTGGAAAAAAAAAAGTTTTTGTTTCAATAAACGATTATACTACCGAGTCTGAACCTCCTGTGTGAATTTGGGCACCCTTATAAAAGCCGGCCTGTATAGAGAAAGCGTGCAGAATGCAAATATTTCGCTAAAGTATGCACTGCGAAGGCCACCTCGTTGGACCCGCGCGTGTCGGTGGCGGGCTTCCCGGACAGCGCGTTCGCGTTGGCGGCGCGCCTGCTCGAGCCCGACCCGGCGCTCCGCATCAGCGCCGACCGCGCGCTGCGCCACCCCTTCCTCGCCGACGGCTGACCGCTCGATCGACTACTTGACCAGTCGACCTAGTCGACTAAAATTACTGTATTGCCGGCTATGTTTTAAGGACCGGTTATCATTGACGATAAACGGCCCTATTATTACATTGTCAATACGACGTTACGACGTCGAACCTGTTCAACGCACATATGTCACTGCTTTTTTGACACCGTTGACCTTTGTTTCTGGCAATCTAACGGCCGGTTTCTGAAACACTGATCATCGTAGATGTCAACTAATCGGCTGTCAAATGGCTTTTCAAATTTCATGATCAGTGTTTCAGAAACCGGCCGTTTGTGTGACAATTTTCTAGGTGTCTATGCGCAAATTTAAAATTATTCAATTTTTCTATTTTCGGTGTTTAGTACTACCAGATGTTATATTGGTGCCGTTAGATGTGTGAATTATTTTGATTGACTAGTATTTACTAAAGAAACATGTTTTATTATTATCAGGTACAGCTGTTTTATATAGATAGTCACAAAAAACTTGATGAATTTACTTTTCAAAGTAGTAAGTATTTAAAATCACATAACTAGCACTTCAAGCAAGTAGCAACAGTAGACCAGAAACTATCCTCTTAAATTGAATAGTTCCTATTAGCAAACTAATGTGAAACTCAACAACTATATGAATCTATTCCAAAATTCTGAATTCTGGTCTGTACTTGCTTAGTATGTATATAAAAATTAATTTTGTCCTGAGAAATACATTCGAGTAATGATTATAAATGGTTATCTCGGCCGAGGTGCGAAGACATACTCTATGACATTTGAATGTTTTTCCTTTTTTCATGTTTATGTATTATTTGTACGGGTGTTGTACGTGTTGCGTGAAGTTATCGCCCGAAGTTTTGCGTTTTTGAAAGTGTTTTAATTTAGATTTTTTATCTTTATAACTTATGTGCCCTATTTGTTATGTCTCAGCCAGTCAGCCTCGTGATTTAACGTGTTGTGTTGTAGATGGAATGAGTATTTCTTTATGGTTTGTGTTACTAAGTCCCATGGAGCTGGGAAGTTATTTATTTAATTAGTTACTTGATACGCACAGTTTTATTGTTTTCAAGGTCTATTGGTTATTTCGCTACAGCTAATTTTAACCTCAAGTCAAATTCGTCAAAATAAAAAGTATAGTTATTAATATTGATTCTATGTACCTACCTTATAAATAATTATTGGAACCGATGTATTATGTATGTATGTATGATTATCATTAGGTGTCTACAATGGTGCTGGTGCATTTTCCGTTGAAATAAAACCGTTGTAATTTTCTTTTACTATTAACTGAATTAACTATTTGAAGAATATGTAAAAGGAATATTTATATTGTTTGATTGCAATATGTGAATAAGCGTCGAATGCGTTTGTGCAGCATTAGATACTGCTTTACGATACATCACAATTATTCTCGAGTGGAGCGACGCAACCATTAGTTTAATCGTTGATTAGTTGTAACGAAGATCTCAAAGTTCAGGTTTAAGTTAACCGAAGCGAGTACAAAGTAGTTTACGTCTTATCTATATTTATATATTATGTGCTTGAAATGACTGAGCATTTTTTTTACTTGAGATGATTTTTTTTGAGAATTGTTTTCGTTTCCTGTTGTAGCAGGACTTTGTTCCTGCTAAGATTGACCCGAATCCTGTACAACCAAAAGCGTGTCGTGTGTTGCTTGTGTACTTTTTGTATTGTATCAATTCCGCCAACAAAATTAAAATTCTAATTGAAAAAAAAAAAAAAAAAAAAAAAACGGTGTCCTTTAAAAGGTACAAAATTATATTTTTTTCTAAGTCTGTGAACTGCATTAAAGACGAACAAAAATACAATTTAATGTTAATATGTATGGCAAAAAGGTGCCCAAATATTTCGTAGCAAAGATCCTCCATAGTGAGATTTTGTGGAATTAAGTAAGTGCCTTGGATCACTCGTGTTCAGCCGGGCGTTGTTTTGTTACCCCGTTGTTAAAGTTTTTCAATGGAATAAACTATGTTTATAATCACATGTGTTTTATTTATAGTTCATTGGACCATCTTAATCTCAGGGCTACAATGGGCGGAATTTTTCAATGGCATCCTATCTGTAAAATCAGGCCTAACTTGCCCATCCTTCATAGGCTTGGTCACTGTTGGTGGAGCCAAGTGAAGCCACACCCGGCCGGCCCGAGAGGACCACTCCGACTGGGCTCATGGAACACATGGAACACACGGGAAGAGCACTGGAAGGATGCGAGGGACTGCTCTATGCTGGTGGAGGAGCCACTCTCCGCCAATAACAAAATGCAACATAAAATTTAAATTATTTTATTGTAAAAGATATAATTTTATAAGCAGTCTTTGTGGTATAATAAAAATTCTACGATAAAATTGCATCATTATTTATGTCGCATCAAATGTATAGGCTAAATTTTTAGACCAGATATCTCATTTTACGGAAGATTAATAAACTTTGTTGAAAAGATAAAGTTAAAAGGTAAATTAGTATTGAGCCTAGTATATATTGTTTCCGTACCATTATCATATAAAATCGGCAAAAAAAATCATATCGGTTTATATGGGAGCCCCACTTAAATATATTTTTATTCCGTTTTTTTGGTATTTATTGTTATAGGGGCAACAGAAATATATCATCTGTAAAAATTTCATGAGATACAGCATGGTGATAGACAGATAGCGGAGTCTTAGTTATAGTGTCCTATTTCACTATTTGGGTACAGAACCCTAAAACAAAATGTACTTTTTATTAACAACAATTATTTTAATTTTGAATGAATCAAAGTAATTTATTGTGAGCTAACAATAATTATACATATATTAAAGATATACATTTTATATAAGTAGCAGAATTCTTTAAGTAAAATTAGTCGATAGTTTATTGCCATTTACTACTAGGGTTCTCAAACATGTAATTTAATATAAGGGCAAAACAACATGGCTATATTATCTAGAAATATAATAGGTAAGGTTAGAGGTATCCCTTAATTTATATTTTCTTTTGTTTGTGTAATGTTAATCCAATCATAAAAAATTTCTTCAGTTCATTTCTCACATTCTACGTCAATGCCAATATTATGACCACACTTGCCAATATTATTTTTCGTAATAATAATGAATGCATGTATAAATTTCTTTATAAACAATATATTAAATCATACCACAACTATCAAACTCAGATGAGGCATTCACAAACCAAAATGTATTACAATAATGTTTCCACCTAACACTCTTCACTTAAATTAAATGTTACACTAGTTTTTCCAAAAGTTGGGGTTCTGCTGCAATCTCCGTTCAAAGTTCTGGTACCAGGTGTGCAATGTGTTAAGGGGGATATAGGACACCCCAGGTGTTGGCGTCATCTGATCTTGCGTTACCGAAAATGACGCCACAAAATTGACTAGGTTCTCTAACATTTTTTGTGCAAATGTAACATATTGGTTTGTTTCTTGTGCCTGTAAATTAAATATTTCATGAACAACAGTTTACTGTATATATATGTCTAAAGAATTAATTGACCATAATCATTGATAAACTATGCATAAAACATACATTAAATGTGATAAATAACCATTGTGCAAAACAAAATACTCACAACAGAGGAAGCAAGTAATTCAACATTCGCCTCAGGCTCAATTGATATACCAATCTGTGCATAGTTACAAATCTGTTGCTGACCAAATGCACCACCAAACTTGTTCTCCGCTGAAACAATATGATTTCAGTTATAGAAAATTATTTATAAGATGACTAATTTTAGTATTAGGTTAAAACTTTAAAATCTAAAATCAATAAATTTCTAATGAGTTATGAACATGTTAATATTTTTGAATAATGTTAAGGACATGATGTTCACATAATGCATTTAATAATTAAAATAAATTTAAAATGATACAGAAAAATCAGTAATGAATTAATCCTCAAGCAGAATTCTCTCGCTTATAGTTTTCGAGAAAAAACTATTTAAATTTTATTATTTTCACTAGGAAAGTTTTATTAATTTTATTTAATTTACTAATTTTAGTAACTTGACTTCAAATACTCAATATCTAGTTCTGCCAACATGATAAATATAGGAAATGGCCGACGTTATACTTGTATTGATTGTTAAATTTTTTTGTAATTTAATGAGTCTCAGAACTGACACAGAACAATCCGATTTGGATAGATAAGGTTAGAAGGTTAAGCCTTCGTAGTTATTTTTTTATGACCTCCCAGAAATAGGAGCAGAATTGACATATTGACAATAACAAAATGGTGGATTTGACTAGTGAAAATATCCAGTTTCATTATTATTTTTTTAAAAAGGCGACCAAAGAATTCCATTTGTTGATTAACTCATTAGTGATTTTTCTCTATCGTTTAAAATGTATTTTAATTGCATTACAAGAATGTCAATGTTCTTTACATTTACCATATCACATATACACTGGATGCGAAATTTAAAGTGATTTACTGACGTACCCTACTAGAATATGCAAAAAGCAATCGAGAATATAAATAAAAACAAGACTTTTGAACCTTATTTGATAAGTTGTTATACTTACTTGATAACTCATGCAACTTCTTTAAATTTGAGATCTTGAATATAGTGGATGGTTTACTATTGGAAATGTGACCCAAGAGCTGCCAGTTGGGTGGAGCTGCAGGATCTGGCCAGCTCCAGTAGACCATGCCTGCAGTCCCAACTGGGAGAGGAGTCACACCGGTCAAGAATACCGCCACATGGTTGATTGTATCCGTATCGGGAATGGTTATTATGAAAGTTGACTCCGTTAAAGGTGTGAAGTCTGTTTGCACCTACACAATGACCATGGGAAATTAAGCGATTAGTGTTTTATTATGCGGGTAGTAATTCTTAGAAAGACTTTGTATAAAAGAAATCGTAAACAATGTTAGCTACGGAGTTTAATGAGTAAATCCAATAAATTTCTAACAAAAAATCATGATATTCTAACCTCTTCATTTAAAGAAACTTTTATTTAGTACTGAACAATTTAAAACTAAACATTCACTTACCAGCCGCCCCGAAACAATTAAACCGAAAACGTTCGACATTATGTATGTTACAAAATACCTAATATTCTTATAATTAAATACTATGTACACAAACAGTAAATGACATTTGCGTTATAAACTTCCACTTCATTCTAGAAAGATCAAAAAACTTTAAAGAAGTGTTGCCTATTCGGATAAAATATTATAAATATACAATCTTTATTGATCTAATATTTAAAAGCTTAATCTAAAATTACATATTATCTAATAAACCTAAACCACGCGGCATGGTGCCAAGAACGCTAGTTGCATTTCACACATTGAATAGTTATGCTTAAGCTTTGAGCGAGAAAAGAAATAATAACATAATTTGTTATTATAATTATGTGCTTGAACCGATGTCGGTTGGTAATTATTGTTTCATGAATATTAATTTTCAGGGATCAACTTAACGATAAAATGCATACACATGCAGATCAAGGTAAGCTTGGGTGAAGACAAAATCATTCTCATACAAGTGTTACGATTAATTCGATCAATAGATATCGAGTTTATAAAAACTGTAAAAGTTAAAGAAACTGGGAATAGCAAAGGTCATAAAACTTCACCCTTTTGAACGCCACCGCTCATTTAGCACTATGAAGTGAGTTTGTCAATTTGTCTTCGATGCCTATACGCCCATACGGAAAATGTAAAACCGATCGATCCCTGTTAGAGCTATATTAAGATCATAAATAGATGACATAACATTCAATACAAAATTTCAAAATCAATCGAGTAAAAAGCTTTCCTAAAATCAAGCAGGTCAATGAAATTTCACTTATGATTTTCCATTCCCATTCTCATATTTTCCATTTCTTTTGGTAGTATAAAACAAAGTCGTCCCGTTGTCTGTCTGTCCATATGTATGCTAAGATCTTTTAAACTACGCAACGGATCTTGATGCTGTTGTTTTACTCTCTACATTTAACCAGACCTCCAGACAACGTAAAATATGTAATACGCAGGGTTTACCTGATTTTTGATGAGATTAAAAGTATTTTAAGAATCAGTAAAGTCCACAGCACTCATCGATTGTAGTGCATCTAATTTATTCCTTTTTTTAACGTTACCTGATAATATTATCTTAGCACCTGCCATCTACTTTTCACCATGACAAGGGTTTTGCCTATTGTAGCCCATAGCTTAAGGTGTAGCAATGAAGCTTAAATAGATAAATAAATTATCCTGTACTAGCTGTTCACCACGGCTTCGCCCGCGCGGCCAAAGAAAATTAACAATGAGTTTTTTTTTTATTTTACACCGGAATATCTCGCAAATGGCTGAAGTTTTCATTACCTGTATTTTGGATAATTCACACCATATCTTTATAAATTATAGCCTATGTGTTATTCTGATGTAAAAGCTATATTATTGTAAAGTTTCATTAAAATCCATTCAGTAGTATTTGCGTGAAAGAGTAACAAACATCCATCCATGCATACAAACTATCGCGTTTATAATATTAGTAAGAATTAGTAAGGATGTTAGGACAAAACGTTTTTCACCGCTGCAGGAATAGAACCTATGTCTTCTGGCTTTAACCACTAAGCTAAATGGCTGATTGCTACATCGACGAATATCTCAACGTATTTTATCTGCTTTACTTTTTTCCAATTTTAAGTAATGCTCGGCGCATCTAATGTTATATCCTTAACAGCAGGGGTCGCCAACTTGGTTAACCCAAGATCTACTGTTCACTGACGACACCCTGTGCGAACTACCAAATACATACATCTTGAAATTTTAAATGAACACACACAAGAGCATACTTCAGTACACAATTATGTAGTTTTTTTTTTATTATGAAGGAAAATATAAAACTGAAATTATTCTTAGTAACTACTTATTTATATTAGTGTGAGCATTGTGTTATGAAGGAATGATGAAGGACCTCCGATGAGTCCGAAATTAGTCGTTACATACACCGGGTTTACCTGAGTTCAGCCGTCTTATTATTACGTCAATAATGTCTCACGAAAGTTTTAATAATTTTATTGTGTTATGTTAACACGTTGAGCTATGCTCGGTATTTCACTGCGTGAATTCGTTCGCAACAAAGGATAGTAACCGATAGGTCTTGTATTAACTGATGGTTTTGCTTTCAATCCGAAGAAAGGTTCTTGTGTGGATGCCTCATACTGGTCATCACAGTGTAGGAAGACCCCAATAGATGGAGTGACGATAGCAGCATGCAGGGTGCTCAGGATCGTGCTTCGTGACAGTGTGTTGGGGAGGCCTATATATTCAATAGTGAACTCAAACAGGCTAAAATGATGATGATGATGATGACTGAGCAGAGCTTCGTTCACCCCCGTAGTATAACTATAATTTACATTCTGTATAGCGTGTCTTGTGGCTTTCTTAAAAATATCGTCGGCGTCACGTCAAGTACAATATAACACCTTACTCTAGAAGTGGGCGATACAAATCGTATACAGATACGAAAACTATATATTGGGACAATATCTGAAAATTTACTGGCTACTGGCTCGTTCAAAATCTATGTATTAGACAATATCTGATATTTCTGAAATCTGATGTACCGAACACTCGCTACTCGCTATACCAACACGAATCACAATATCATACGCGTTTGCCACAATATCAGATTTTTAGACAAAGCGCGTAAGATACAAACATTCACTAGTTAGAGCTACCGGCAAGTAATGCACAATATCAGATTTTTAGATTTCGAGCGATAAAGCGCGTGAGATACAAATTTTACATTAGTTAGAGGACGTACTGCTCTAACTCTGCAGCAACAATGGTGTAGTGGGTAATGTACCTGCCTCCTGCGCCAGAGGGCGTGGGTTCAGTCCCCACTACTGGAAAAATATTGCGTGATAAACATAGTGTTTTTCTAGTGTCTTGGTGTTTATATATCTATTATATGTATTTATTTACAAAAAAATAAGTATGTTTAACAGTTTTCTAGTACCCATAATACAAGCGTTGCTTAGTTTGGGACTAGAAAATGTTGTGTAAATATGTGTTTTAAAATATTAAAAAAATATTAATTAATATCAGATTTTTAAACAGATTTTATTTTATAAGTTAAGTAATTTTGAATCTTAACAGGATGCAAATAAGATCCGTTTCATTTAAATACTAAGCATGGTATCAACGATTACGATATCTTTTAATTCTTTTATTTAGCCTTGAGCCGTAGCGAGCGACAAAGCGCGTGAGATACAAATATTACACTAGTTAGAGGGTACGGCAAACAATGCACAATATCAGTTTTTCAAACAGATTTTATGAATAAGTTAAGCAATTTTGAATTTTAAAAGCATGGAAAAATACTCGGTTTCATTTAAATACGAATCATGGTATTAACGATGTCTTTAAATTTTGTTTAGCCTTGACCTGTAGTGCATTGATACTTAAGCACGTAATAGTAAAGGATGCCAACCTAGGAATTTTCTTCCTAAATTAAGGAAGAAAAATTTTTAGGAGTTAAATTTTATTCGCATGTTGAAAAAAAAAGTAAAACTACACAAAACGAAAAAGAAAAATATAATTTAATAATTCCGTGTTGCATTGGTGGACGTCAGGCCAAGGCTTATGTCTTGTGTGTATATTTTAAATTCTTCCGCCCTAAACTATAATATTGAATGTTATTAATTAATAAAAATATTGTCACTCGACTTTTTTTTTATGAATTCAAGGTACATAAAATAACGCGAACATAAAATATCTAGATATTAAAATATATAGATTCGAAATCTGATATTTGAAATCGAAATCTGATTCAGATACGGTTCTCAGAAAAAGCGATACGACCCATCTCTACTTTACTCCTTTAAATTGGCTTCTTGTTAGCATTTATTCTTATATGGATATGCCTGATCTATAGCATAACAGATATATTTTTTTCAACAAAAGTTGTGACCTTCATTCAAATATTCTCTCTGGTTGTTAGGGGTGTATTGTGTTTAGTCATTTATTAAATTTATTTAAAAATTAAACTCAAATGGAACAATATCATTATTTATTGAACTTCAATAAATTCCAATAAAACAACAGTTGCCTAAAGCAGTTCCTAACTAATAAATATAAATGTCAATTTGAATTTAATCAACATGGCTAGAACTACACATGATAAATATTACAACTTAACAAGGGTAGTACTATTAAAATATTTAATATACAACAAGAAACTGGTTAAAATAAATTTGTACAATAAAAATTTTAAATGCAGAAGTTGCCTCAGAGTATAGGCTGGGGCTGATAAGAGATTCTGTTTAATGTAAGCATAGAAATGATAAGCTCAAAGCAAATTATGTATTTGATAAAGTCAGTTGTGGCCCAAGCAGAGTCCTATTGACACATAGTTATACCACCAGTTTCAGTTTCCTCCAACAAATCAATTATGCCACACAAACAACTGACATTCTTTAATCTCTATCACAAGGTAACACAATTAAATCTAATTCATCTATAATTGTATTAATACATTTTTCCTACAAAAACAAAGTAGCAGTTTATTGTGTGTAAGTGGATATTTTTAATTTGTTTCTCAAATCATTTTTTAGTTTCAATTCTAAATATTAGTTGTAGTGAAGTAACAATGTTTTGAAAGAGTGTTATTTTATTTTTGCTTATAAATTAATTCTATAACTATTATTGTTGAATTCTTATGATAATAATTTCATGTATTATTGTACTCATAGAAGTTTAGTACATTGTTAAAGTATTAGTGTAACTCTCCTCCTATAAAGAGTTTAATCTCTCATGTACGGGTAGTCTATCTCACGCAGGGGTACGAATGTTTCCTTGATAGATTGTGGTGAGGTCCAACGCATTACGTAGTTAGGTCCTCCAGCTTTATCATTAGTCCCAGACATGCGACCACCGCCAAACGGCTGTTGCCCAACTACCGAGCCTGTTGACTTGTCATTAATGTAGAAATTACCTGCAGTGTAGCGGAGTTCTTCAAGTGCGGTTATTTGGAAGTTCTTATCATTAGCAAATACAGCTCCAGTTAATGCAAATTTAGTTGATGAACCAACTAATGAGAGAGTTTTCATGACATCCTTATCATCATATACGTACATTGTCAAAACGGGGCCGAAGATCTCCTCTGTCATAAGCTTGTCATGTGGATCCACAGTCTCAATGATAGTGGGCTGAACGAAGTAGCCTTTGCTGTCATTATACTCACCACCACCAAGGATCTTATTCTTAGCATTGTTTTTAGCATTTTTGATATAGCCTGTAATTCTGCTAAAAGCTTTATTGTCAATAACTGCACCTGTAAATACTGAAAAGTCTATTGGGTCTCCAACTTTTAGTTTCGATCGTTCCTCAAGAAGACCTTGTTTAATAGGTTCATACAGTGATCGAGGAACATACATTCTGGAACAAGCTGAGCATTTTTGTCCACAATATTCAAAAGCTGAACGAATTGTTGCTGTGACAACAGATCTTACATCAGCAGTGGGATGGATAAAGTGGTAGTTCTTCCCTCCACATTCTCCAATGAGTCTAGGATAGTTCTTGTAGCGGTTAAGGTTTTTCCCTACTTCATTCCACAGCCAATTAAAAGTTGGAACAGAACCAGTAAAGTTAATACCAGCAAGGTCTGGTGAAGTAGTTATGGTACGTCCAAAAGTAGGCCCATCTGCAGGCACAAAATTAACAATTCCGGTAGGCAAGCCCGCTTCTCTCATGATGTTGAAAATTCTCCAGTTCGATAATAAGGCAGTATCTGACGGTTTCCACAATACACCATTCCCCATAAGGGCAGGGGTGTAAGCAAGGTTTCCTCCAATGGCAGTGAAGTTGAATGGGCTTATAGCTGCAATGAACCCATCAATTCCTCTAAACCTTAAACTGTTTCTGGTAACGGTGGGATTTTCTGATATAGGTTGATACTTGGCATTCTCTTTTAGAAAGTATACATTGAACCTGAAGAAATCAATGAGCTCAGCTGCGGAATCAATTTCAGCTTGAACCACAGACTTGGACTGACCAAGCATTGTTGCAGCATTGAGTCGCTGGCGGTGTTCTCCTGCCATCATTTCGGCGGCTTTTTGCCAGATGCGTACGCGTTCTTCGATCGGGGTGCGGTCCCATTTTCTTTGGGCATCCACAGACACTTGAATTGCTTTCTGTATAGTTTTCTCGCTGGCGTAATAGAACTTGGCTAGTTTTTTGTTATGATCATGAGGCATCACTTGATATTTCACATCACCCTCCTTTATAAATTCGTCACCAATAACAATCGGTACTTCCTCGGTTACTGCAGCCGTGCGTTTCAATTCTGCGGCAAGCTCCTTACGTTCTTTACTGCCTTCCCGGTAGGCGAGAACCGGTTCGTTTTGAACTCCAAAGTCTTGCAACTTGGGCAATTCGACGACGCTGGAAGCAGCACGTTCTAGAGGCCGAGCGCCGCGAAGGGCCTTCGTACATAAAGCAGACAGCATTTTGCTGCCGATTGATCAGCTGGGGAAATCGATATAGGAAACACTCCTTCAATTATTTTCTTGGAGACAGGTACGCAGCCACCGCTGTTACGTAAATCGCACCAGGTCGACGTGACACGGAAAATGAATCTCGTATGCGACTGACGGTCAAGCTTAACTCGACGTAATTGGCAACTGCAAATGACCTTCACCAATCCCCATTTTGTACCGAAACGAAATAAACCAGCAGTTTTAGTTATTTATTTGTTAAAATTGGGTGGGTTATACAGAGTAATATCGTTGCTGTTTTTGGTTTTAATCGATATAAATTTCTGGATCTTTAAAAACGCCAATAGGGATTATGGTAGTGCAGTTAACCATCGAGATTTTAAAAACAGACTACAACAAAGTGCAGGCAGTCAGCTGGCACTGCAGCGCAGTGCTTCGATTCGAGTCGATCATTTTCAGCGACTTCTCTTTGGATTCGGTCTGTGACTTACGCCATAGACATTTTAAGGTACAATTAAATAAGCTGATAATTAAACTAAATATTTCCCCAAACCCTAATGAAATGAACAAAATCATGAAAGTAACAAAAAGGATAACTTTTCATATAGTAGTTATATATTAATATAGCAGTTATAAAGTGTGAGCAACTAAAACACTTACAATAAAGATGAAATATGACCATAAGGAGATATTATTTTCTAATTTGTAAATATGAAGATAAATTTGGGCTAAATATCAACACACCTGCGTACTAGAATAGAATGATCTATTATTTATTTAATTCCATTGCCTGTTGAAAAAAAATGAGTGCGTGTAACGTTTACACGCGTTTGAAGTAAAACTAAAAAAAATGTAATACTTTAATATGTTATTAATGCCTATATTAATTAATAATAAATTATTAATAATTTTATTTTGAATGTATAGTTTAGTTACATATATACATACAAAGTAAATATTTAAGAACCGGATAAACGCGTCATTGCCGTAACGCGTTATATTGTCGTCGTCCAAAGTCCAAAGCATTCAGTTACCCCCAGATATATAAATTAATATATATATATTTCAGATATATAAAAGTACTCTTTGGTTACCCCTTAGTCGCGTTTAAAGAAGTTTTACTTCTAAATTTAAATTTCTTATAGTGCTAATCTCTGCACTTAAAATTGAACATTAAAATTTGTAGAAAAAGTACGAAAAGATTGTACGAACAATGGATGCGCCAAACATTGCTTCAAATGCTAAAAAATCAATGTAGATAAAAGACGTTAAGATTTTCGTCGCTGTGGCTATCAGCCGTTTAGCTCAGTGGCTAGAGCAAAGACCTTACACTTACTAAGTTTTTATGTGTAAGATCTTTGGGCTAGAGCATCAGGCCGCGAATGCCGAAGACGATTTCCACAGCGGCGACAATCTTTTCTTACTTTTTTACAAATTTTAATATAAAATTGATTTTTAATTTTTTAGTTCTTTAATTTTAATGCTATTATTTACTTCCTTATAGAGTTTTGTTCATATCATTTTCTTTGTATCAAGAGTCCCCATTTAATTTTGATCGATTAACAGTGATTGAAGATTGCCGTTTTCCTCGATCTGGATTAACTTTTTTTGCGTGTTCAATATACAAATATTTTTGCGTATCGTCAGTTATAAGTTCTTATGTCTTATATCTTTTTATTTCTTTCTTATATCTTTTTCAACCTTCCGCCATTAAACGGAATGCGGTCAATTTACGTTTGCTTGGGGTGTCCTCTGCGACTTTGCATAGCGGTGTATTACTGTACTATATACAATTTATTTGTTAGTTTTTGCACTCATATACAGCGTGTCGTTACGATAGCGACAATAAATGAACACACGTCTAACGCTACTTGCCAATAATCATAAAAAATATTATCGTTAAAAAAATTCCATAATTAAATGAAAATATTTTGCAAACAAACTAATTAAGTTAAAAAGAAACAAAATTTGTAACACCTATACAACTACAACTGACTGATTATACATTCAGAGACTTTTTCATTCGTTGCCACATCGTCGCATTACAAGCCTCTCCTTCTAACAGAATGTTTTTTCTATTCATATGCTTTGTGACCTTCACAAATAAACTTTACGTTACAGTTTTATACGTAAGGGTGTTCTAAAATTTGTTTTGGAAAATTTTATAACTCTGTAAATATTGATCTTTAAAGAAAGTAAATGTTTAATACAATTTTAAAAAGTTATCCTCTATACGTGTGTTAATTTACTGTCGCGATTGTAAAGACACGCTGTATATCTTTTTTGTGAGAAGTTGGCAAGCGAGCTGGCGGTTCAAATGAATGTTAAGTGATAACCGCCGCCCATGGACATTTGAAACACCCATGGGATTACAGATGCGTTGCCACCTTTTAATAAAGTGGACCCCGGCTACCTCACTCACCAGACGACACGTAGAAGTCTAACACTTCACGTCGGTTTTCAGTTAGGTCGTGGTACTTATCCGGACGGAACTGTCCATTCGTGCAACAGCCGAAGCTGTTGCGTGGCCCAACTAGAGTTGATTGTATTTATTTTTTGCATCGCATTATACCAACTCCTAATTAAATTGTTATCTAGTGGTTCTATGTGAATTTTAAAACATTAGTAAAAAAAACACAATTCACCGTTTCAATAAATTTACCCTTTAATTTCGTTACTACTGCGTATGTGCAGAATATAAAGTAATTTTGAGCTTTGACCTAGAATATAACACGCAAGCATAATAAGCATCATTGTCTTACTATGTCTGTGTAATATTTTTGGTACGATTTAAATGTTACGTTTTCTATAGCGATTTATTAGTAACAACATTGAATTATTTAATAGTATTTGAATAACATGACATCTCTAATTCTATAAATGAAAATTTTTGTCAATCATATGCTTTGTGACCTTCACAAATAAACTTTACGTTACAGTTTTATACGTAAGGGTGTTCTAAAATTTGTTTTGGAAAATTTTATAACTCTGTAAATATTGATCTTTAAAGAAAGTAAATGTTTAATACAATTTTAAAAAGTTATCCTCTATACGTGTATTAATTTACTGTCGTGATTGTAAAGACACGCTGTATATATTTTTTGTGAGAAGTTGGCAAGCGAGCTGGCGGTTCAAATGAATGTTAAGTGATAACCGCCGCCCATGGACATATGAAACACCCATGGGATTACAGATGCGTTGCCACCTTTTAATAAAGTGGACCCCGGCTACCTCACTCACCAGACGACACGTAGAAGTCTAACACTTCACGTCGGTTTTCAGTTAGGTCGTGGTACTTATCCGGACGGAACTGTCCATTCGTGCAACAGCCGAAGCTGTTGCGTGGCCCAACTAAAGTTGATTGTATTTATTTTTTGCATCGCATTATACCAACTCCTAATTAAATTGTTATCTAGTGGTTCTATGTGAATTTTAAAACATTAGTAAAAAAAACACAATTCACCGTTTCAATAAATTTACCCTTTAATTTCGTTACTGCTGCGTATGTGCAGAATAAAGTAATTTTGAGCTTTGACCTAGAATATAACACGCAAGCATAATAAGCATCATTGTCTTACTATGTCTGTGTAATATTTTTGGTACGATTTAAATGTTACGTTTTCTATAGCGATTTATTAGTAACAACATTGAATTATTTAATAGTATTTGAATAACATGACATCTCTAATTCTATAAATGAAAATTTTTGTCAACAAAATTGTTGAATTATTGAAATCTTAAGGAGGTAAAATCTACAGCGTGTCGTTACGAACGCAACAATAAATGAACACACATATAGAGAATAACTTTTTTAAATTGTATCAAAAATTTACATTCTTTAAACATCACTATTTACAGAGTTACAAAATTTTCCAAAATTAAGAATTTTAGAACAACCTTACGTATAAAACTGGAACGTAAAGTTCATTTGTAAAGGTCACAAAGCAAATGAATGGGTTGAATGAATTTAAAAGAGACAAAACATACTGTTAGAAGGAGAAGCTTGTAATGCGACGCTGTGGCAACGAATGAAAAAGTCTCTGAAGGTATTAATCAGTCAGCTGTAATTGTATAGGTGTTACAAATTTTGTTTTTTTTTTTACTCAATTAGTTTGTTTGAAAAATACTTTTTTAATTATGGATTTTTTAACGTTAATATTTTATTATGATTATCAACCCATTCATATGCTTTGTGACATTTACGTTACAGTTTTATACGTATACGTATATAAGGCTGTTCTAAAATTCTTTGTTTTGGAAAATTTAATAACTCGGTAATTATTTGTTTAAAGAATGTAAATGTTTAATACAATTTTAAAAAGTTATCCTCTATTTGTGTGTTCATTTATTGTCGCGATTGTAAAGACACGCTGTATTTTATGTTCTGTTTTTTTATGTTAAAAGTTGGCTAACGAGCAGACGGTTCATATATAGTGAATACCGCCGTCCATGGACATCTGCTACACCCGAGGGTTCCAGATGCGTTGACAACCTTTTGAAAATTGGGCTCCGGCTACCTCATTCAACAGACGAAACGCGAAAGTATTATATTTCCACTTCACGCCAGTCTTCTGTGAGGCCGTGGTACTTACCCGGACGGGCCTGCCCATTCGTGCAATAGCAGAGGCTGCTGCGTGGCCCTACCACCGTGATGTAAAACCGTTCTGTAAAATGATGATGATTATAAGTTTATATAACACAACAAAAACCGGCCCAGGGCGAGTCGGAATACTATAAAACTGAAGAGTTTGTTTGTGTGTACTCGCTAATTCACTCACTGTGGTAGGACCACGCAACAGTGTTCGCTGTTGCACGAATGGGCAGGTCAGTCCTGGTTAGTACCACGACCTCACAAAAGACCGGCGTGAAGTAGAAATTTTACACTTCTGCGTTTCGTCTGGTGAGTGAGGTAGCCGGGGCCCACTTTATTAAGTTGGCAACGCATCTGCAACCCTACGTGTCTTGCAAATGTCCATGGGCGGTCGATTTCAGGTGAACCACCAGCTCGTTTGCCACTTTCTCACATAAAATAAGGACAAATGGACCGATTTGATAAATTCTTGCATTGTTAAATAGCCCATTTATTGAGGAAGCTTATAGACTACATTTAAGCACGATTTAAAATGTCGTACATGCCGACGTAACCGCGGACGAAAAGCTAAATATATTAAAGTTTATTGCTATTTCCTATCCTGTTCAAGACGAAAAGAGTAAAATTACATAGGTCGCGTAAGTCTACGTTTATCCATCTTCCATTCCACTTGACTCGGAAAGAAATAGGGAAATAGTTTTGGTGGTTTAGTTTAATTGCCTTATTCATAACAAAACTCCTATCGAAGGTATAAACCTATATTAGTTAAAGCGTCTTTTAAGCATATCAAACAGTCGATAAAAATCTTTATTCATAATCGTTTGATAAACCTCCGATAACTAAAATGTCTTTATTGAACATAATGCAATTTCGTAGAAAAATGGTGAAACGTAAATTATAGAAAAACGGTTTCATTTTTATATAATTATTAGCGGTAAAATAATTGTTAACATGTCTATGAGTTTTCTGACATAATATAAAACAGTTTTTTGTCTGAACCATTCAGATTTTTTATTATTTTTAATGTGTCGTTTAATACATTTATTGTTTCTTTGATAGTTTTGTAAGAGTTGAGTACTTAAAGTTTTGTTTTTAAATAAACTGTAGTCGACTGTTCCAACATCAGTCGGCTAGGCTGAGGATTTCCTTACATCACCTTTTTTATCGGATCGTATTAAAATAAATACGTTAATTTCACGCGTGCATGTAAGTAATGTCTTACTTTTAATTCACCTAGAAAATTGGTACTGACCGTATAAATAATCAGTCCCGAATCCATCTAGATTCTGGGATGCAAGGTCGACGCATCTCAGACTTTTTGTAGACCTTATTTTTTAATGGAAATAGGGAGTAAATAAAAAGCCAGTGTTTGCGAATAGATTTATTGCTTCAACCGCCCCGTGGACTCCACACGGATTTCTGAACATCTTCTCATTGCTCCCACAATCATCTTAACTTTATGGCCTATCCTATTGGTTAAATGTCTGTGTTAGCGAAATTACTGTGTAATGCATTTCTGTAAATATGTAATTGACATAGTATAACCGATATGTATGAAAATAGTTTTTGATATCATTGTTTCTTGTGTAAACGTTGATATGTGTTAAAAAGACGGAAAGTGGGAACATGGTTCGAGTCCTCGGAGCAGGTCCAGGCGAGGGTTTTGTCACGTCAGCGTCACACTGCGCCCTCTGCCTCACAATAAATCGCTACTAATCGTAAGGGCTAATTAATTCCAAAATACGCGAACAATACGATACGATACAACTAGGCATTGGCAAGTGTCGGCCGCGAGCGCACGCGGCCGGGCCCACTGCGACCGTACCGAAAGGGGGACTGGCCCGACTAGGCCCGACCAGGCCCGACTAGGCCCGACCAGGCCCGACCAGGCCCGACTAGGCCCGACCAGGCCCGACTAGGCCCGACCGATCGACGGTGGACGGAGCCGCGTGTGCGTCGCGGCTTTACGTACGAACAAAATTAATATGACACTGTCGAAGCGTGCCCGAGCGGGGAGCGAAGCGCACGATACACAAACTTTGTACAAGCCCCATTCGGTCCCATCCAAGTATTCCGGTGTGTATTTCTGGCCACCGCCATTGGCGTTCATGACGGTTTCTCCTTCACGGACCACTGGCCGAAGTGTTCCTTGTCTACAATATCACCAACAATAGCAAAAATAGTCATTTTTTTAAAATGATAAACATCATTGAACGTTACATGTAAGCGATTCATAATTTTGTATTACATAAACACATCCGCTCGCTAACTAACTTTATGCACACACATGAATACATCGCATACATAATTATCAGCATAATTTAAATGCTCTTATAAGTAAATGGGCAAATGGGTACAATTATATCGTTAAATCCATATCAAATTTGTATATGAGTATAAAAAGACTGTAGAGGAGGAATGAATTTCTAGGAATGATAGATAGATATAATCGATCACAATGTTATAACATCACCTTATGACTTTTGTAGATGGCTTGTATAGGCTCAACCGCAGATTGTTTCTATATACTAACTTAATCTAAAAATTCCATCAAAATGTCTCAAATGCAAAATGCTTAAAGTCACTATCAGCTAGTCAGTCAGCTTTGTCAATGAATTGTTTGTACCTTACAATAAGTACATATTAAGATATGACGCGGTGTTGCCAGATGCACGGTTTCGTATAATTAGCACTTGAGCAGATTTTCACTTATATTAAACACTAACTCCTCTCGCCTCGTCGAAATAAAACTAATTACATGACAATAAATCTTACTTCCAGTATACAGACACAAAATTCAGTATAAAAATATTACAGTACAAATATTGACTCGTTGAGTAAAATGCAAGGAGACTTCATTCACTACAGGAATGAGTTGGGAGCGGTTAAATAATCGATGAATGGGTACGATTAATTAATAACAGATTATTGCCCCCACATGAAACACAGCTTTGGCGAAATGACGTATTGTCTAAACGATCGTCGATCCACTTAAGATCCACTAAACAGTATCACTCGTGGAGTGTTCACAGTCGTGGCACACGGGTACACTCGCTGGCTCGAGAAGGAGCGCGGCCTAGAAGAGCAGGTCGGTGGAGCTGGAGAGGGCGCGCGCGTCGCTCCACGAGCGCGCGGCGTCGGCGGCGCACGGCCTCGCGTCGCCCGCCTCCGCCCCCGCTTCCGCTGCCGCCTCCGCATCCGCCTCCGCCTCCGCCTCCGCCCGCCCGCTCCTCCGCCGCCGCCTCCGCTTCTGCGAAAGGCAGACGCCTTTAATCGACTTCTAGCGATGGTTCTCGCACGGCCCCCTCGGGTGGCTCGGGATCGTACTTCGTGGCAGTGGACTCAAACAGGTTGAAACGATGATTTTGACCTATTTTTATCCTTCGAAGCCAGGCTCTCATCATTGTTGGTATAGGCGAGGCGAGCCTTTCCTCCCTCCGGTCTGAAGCCACCCACTGCGCCTCTCGTGCGGCATTGTCAATTACCATCCGATGGTTGTGGCACTGGACCCACCTGCGTGCGGCCGCGTGAGGCCGAGCTGGAAGGCGTCGGCGTGCGTCTTGCTCGGCGTGTACCGCCCCAGGGAGCCCGACACTGCCAAAACGATTTCTTAAAATGTTATCATGAGCGCGAACATCGATTGTTATAGATGTTATTCCAAGCCGTAAATTCCGAATATGTAAAAGGAAGACTCATATGTGACTCGACATAATTGTAACACTAGCGAATACAGTGAAACAAAAATCGATGGTGTTTCAATCGTCATAAGCTCCGATTAAAATCGTGTCAATTTCCTAATTCAACTTGAGATTTTGATTAATTGTGCACTATTACACCCTGAGTATATAATAAACATGAGAAAGATCGAGTCATCGAACTAAATAACTGTAAAACAGAATAATGCTTTAGCATATCGTTACACGAGCGAGATACAACAAAATGTAAACGCATTGACTCCGTGAGTGAGTGATGTGCTACGAGCTGATGAACAACCCATTTACGAGGTGGCTGGCCATTGCATGAGCGAAATACGTTGGGCGATAGAATAGGCGAGTGATCGAATGATGAACGAGCGAACAAGCGAATGACGAGTTCGGCCCTCTCACTCTAGCGCCGGCGTCCCGCTCACACGAAGGCCCCTGCGGGGCGCCGCGAGCGCAGCCGCAGCGAGCCGCCGCGCCGCAGGGGGCCACTGACCACTGACACATTATATTACCATTCGTCCTTACTAACGCTATATAATCATAATTCTTCATCATGCAGCATATATAACGGGTGTATTAACGGGTATCGCGAATGTATAGATAGATATAATAAAAAAAAACGTATGTGTGTACGCACGGAAGAAGTTACACTTCTTCAGCGCAACGAAACAAAAATAATTATAAACACCATCTTGTTGCCCATACACTTTGTTTGTGAAAGAAAGACATCAAATGGAATTGATAACGTTTGAATGAAATAACTTGGAATTATAACTACATGAGAAGTTGTTATTGGTCGCAACGGTCGCAACGGTCGCAACCACGAAATTGGTGTCACATGTCGCAAAAATTCAGTCATCATTTTTCTAAAACGCGCCAAACTTCCATAATTATGTTATGTAACAAAAAACTTTAAATTAACTTTTAACGGAACAGATTACTTTTTTATAATCACTTATGTTGTATTGTATTGTGTTTTTATGATCTTAAATGTATCAGGGTATATGCTAGAGTTGGCTTTTCAGCAGCACACTGGATTCCCCTCATTTCTCTAATAAGGGCAATAGGGTAGCCGCATCATTTTGAAAATTACTACAACCTTAGTTCGTTGAGTTGATACATAATTATGTCAGACGGACAATCTGTCAGCTTCTATAAAATCTATAACGGATCGTGGTAGGCCCTAGCCCCATAGTCTTACCCAGGTGCGTGTTGGCGGCGAGCGTGGCGGAGGCGGGCGCGGAGGCGGGCGCGGAAGCGGAAGCGGGCGCTGTGGCGGGGGCGGGGGGGGCGGGAGCGGAGGCAGGGGCGGAGGCGTCGCCCGCCGGCGACTCCTCGCACATCGACGTCTCCGATGGGTACTCGAAGGTGCGCGTCAGCGAATCGTCGAATTGCAGCTTTAACTGGAATAGATATTGCGTGGTTTTTAGTCAAGGAATTTACCTTTCGAGTGATACGGATACGAGCATTTCAGTTGCAATAATTTGTGCATGTGTGAAACATAAACTATAGAACAGGTAAACGAAAAGAACAGCCTCTCTTTCTGTGTGGGCAAGTGGGGAATGGGAATAAACTTAAAACCGTGAAAAAAAAAAGGTAAACGTCGGTCACCTTGGCGATGCGCTGTCGGTCCGGGCGCGCGCACATGGAGGAGCGGCCGTTGATGAGCACGTTGTCGTTGACGAAGCGCACGGCGCAGGGCGAGGGCGCCCGCTCGGGCTCCCCGTCCGACTCGGAGCCCGAGTCGCGCGCCGCCGCCTCCGGCCGGAGCACCACCACGCCCGGCTCGCCCCCCTGCGGAGACACCCACACGCGTTACACATCAATAGGATCGGTCCGAGCACGCGCCCTAGTGACACACCGGTTAAGTGTTTAGCTAAGAGGACGAGTATACAGTGGTGTAAAACTTTGTTTGTTGTTTAATTCACATTTTTTTAAATTTTTCCAAGGTTGTTTTATATACTGTGTAGTTACATTATTTTCTAAGTTTTCCAAATTAGACCGTAAATAAACGTAATAAACTTCTTCTTCTAAAAAACCATCGGACAGTAGCGAGTCAACTTGGCTTGCAAGCTGCCTTGCAACGAGTCCAAAATAGAAACGCTTTGTATTTTTTGTCCTAAGTGCACCCCTCGCGCACCCGCTTAACCCCCCGCGGGGCATTAGACTTGTCACTTGCCATAGTGTAAACAGTCAAATTAGTACAGTGGCCGGCAACAGCCAACAAAATTTCACGTATTTTTTTCCGTCAGGTAAATGCCTCTGTACTTGATGTAGTGTAAACAGCCACTTGTCCAGCCCCACTGGCCCACTTGTACTCGCCACCGTACTTGTACTTGGTATTCACCACTGTCCTTGACAAATTTAAATCGATCTTTAGAGCAAGATTAATCGGTCCGAGGACGCCCCAGTGACAAACGAGGGCATGATACAGTGCGCCACTCAAATCGCAGGCCCTTAATAGCTGGACGTCGGAATTATTAAGTTGTGCTCGTCGGATGGAACAATAGCGGCTACCATTTTAACTGTGGTAGGGCCACGCAACAGTGTACACTGTTGCACCAATGAGTAGGTCCGTCCGGATAAATACCACGACCTCACAGAAGACTGGCGTAAGGTAAGTGTTACACTTCTGCGTTTCGTCTGGTAAGTGAGGTAGCCGGGGCCCACTTTATTTAAAGGTGGCGTGGCATTTGTAACCTTATGGGTGTTAATGTCCATGGGCGGAGGTTATCATTTGTGGGGTGTGTTAGGCAATGAGGTTCACCAACGAGTCGCGTTTTGCATAGAGGTTGTATAAATTACATCCCTCGCCATTATTTAATTCGATATTATGTATGTCTATTTTCAATGATTTACTTAACTTTTCAGAGTCGTCGTCAGTTTTTTTAAGAGCCATGATAGCTCAGTGTCCGGGCTCTGGCCTTTAATTCGATATACTCGAGCGAGAGTTCAACTAATCTGAAATATTCGAAGATATGTGAAGTCCGTCGATCCGTAGTGGGGCCGCGTGGTGAAATATGCCCTGATACCCTCTGTAGAGAGAAGGCCTTTGCCCAGCTTGGGACATGTATAGGCCTGTTACTTTACTTAACTTTTCTATACCTATTTAGAAAAAACTCTAGGAATACAGCTAAACCAATCGAGGAATATTGAACGTGGAAGTCAACCGTGGGATGCTAATCATATTTTAAATTATATGATGTTATTTTCCAAAGTGGAGAGCTCTTCGCCGTCTGAATAAAGCGACTCGTCCCCACGCTTAATTTAAACTAACCAGTTAAAAGAAAGTAGTGTTTAAAATTAGGCACTTAAAAGAGGGAGGTTCAATATTTATTATAAAGAGGAAAGATTTGATTGTTTGTATGTATTGAATAGGCCCGAATCAGCAGTTTGGGTTCGCGCTTGACATAGGGGAAATAGGGATTCTTACAAAAACTTCAATAATGTAACCCAAAGTGTACAAAAATTAGCTAAAATATTACAAGTTTAAAAATGTTAGTATATTGTAATTTAACTATCCAAACAGCTTAGTGACTGACTTAGTGGTTCTTATAATTTTTCAATCACATTTATGTTATTAAATACTAAGGAAATTTAATAGATTTTAAAATGCCTAAAAGGCATCTTGCCCAGGCGAGGACATAAAAATACGTCATAATGGGAAAGAGTCAAGTAGTAGTGGCTTGAAGAGTGTACTGAGCGTTCCCACGTACACGAGATTAGAGAGAAAGATAACAAAAGTCAACGAATATAGTTCGTAATCGAGTTTTAGCTCACAGTAACAGATCAGCTTTTATGCATTTTGCTCAACAGTCTTCCGTCCAAATCGTAGCCACGAATAAGATCTGCTCTAGGTGTTCTGCCAAAAAAACTCTTTTCTAGAAGACAGCTAGAAAAAGTAGTCTCCCAATATTGAGCCGCCACAACCAATAAAAACATCTTTTTACAAATAATCATTCACCATCAGGACATTTTTACCCAACATCCGAAAGTCAATAGTGGGATTCGTTTGACGCGAACTTTTAAAATAGAGGGACAAGTATCATTATCATTTTCCTGCCCCTATCCCATCTAGTTATAAATCATATGTTAGCGGTTTTGGCTATATTTTTACCAACCAGCCGCCTGCCTGACGTCAACCCTCTTGGGAAACAAATACCCAGATCAAATTTCAACTGTGTAATTATCTGCTTCATGAGATACAGCCTGTTGAAGAGGGACAGACGTAATCGTCCCGTTTTACCCTTTGGGTACGCTTAATAGTGTTGTACGGTAGACACGGCTAATTTAAAATGTTCTCTGAGTACACCGATTGTATGATCCATAAAAATATCCCTTAATAGTCGTAAAAGGAGAAGACGGTTAATATTTGACTATTCCTCGGCAAGGTACTGTGCGTAACAAAACTGTGACATGCATGGAATTTTATGCATTTAGGTTGATGGTTAGAGCTACCTGTTCTAATCCATTGCATTATTACTGGGACTTATTAGGGTTCCGTACCCAAAAGGGCAAAATACCCTATTTAAGACTCCGCTCTCCGTCTGTATGTACGTATTCTGTCCATATATCACCAGAGCATATCATGAATCTTAGACAGTTTTTTACAAAAGATAAATTTCTGTTGCATAACAAAAATACAAAAAATATAAATAAGTCTCCCATAAAACAGACATGATTTTTTTGCCGTTTTTATAGATAATGTTGACAGTAGTAATGTTTTTGACAATATGTAAGTGTAATACTTCTATATTGAATAAAGATAATAAAATATGATTTTTTTTAATAGTGATTAGACGTAATTTCAGAAAGAAATTCATAAAATTATTCCCCAAAGACGAAATATTCGGAAGGTTTTATGTGTGTGTATGATAATTTTTAGTTTTAAAAATGTTTTTAAATACCCGTGCGAAGCCGGGGCGGGCCGCTAGTATTTAATATTCTATTGATTTACATCCTGAGCAAATGCTTTACAATTTTCTATAACATATACATCATATCGATAAAAGTTCTGGAAATGATAAATATGTTTCGACAAGTAAGTGACATAGCATATGTAATTACATAGATACGTTGTCGATTAAAGTTGATTAAATTTTATGTTTAATCAAATGTCAAAAGATAAATAACATTCTAATTTTAAATTATGATTTTCAAAATTAATCCACATTTACTGATAGTTATAAGTATTTCCCTTAGGCTTTAGAGCTTGGGTAAAGGAAACAAAAGTATTTCAACATATTCAACTCCAACGAGTATTTTTTCTGATTAAAAAGTTTTGAATTAACAGCAGACAAAATCTTAAAGAAGAACTCGTTCCGTCGTTCTCGCAACACTTTCGTGCGATCAGTATGTATCATGTTTTCCGATCACTGGCTGTATCGGAAACGTCTCATTTTAACAAACACTACACTATACTTAGCGATGATAGATTAATTCGGCGATCGTCACTAGAAAGTGGCTCCGCTGTGACGTAACATTGTCGGTTTTGGAACAATCCATCGGCGATCCCACGGCATCAGGTGCCGACGTATCTCTAGACGCGGCGTATGCAAATGCCGAACTCACATGGAATTAATTGGACAAGTCCCCCGTTGACAATTGTGATCGTATACGTTTTCTTCTCGTTACATATCAGTATCGAATTAGACGATATTCATTATACAGTCTGGCTTTCTTCACTGTGCGATATAACACATCAAATATTCTGTATTATTTAAAGTTCCCTCGACTTAGCAAATATGCAACTCCGGTTCACAAATTATGAACTGACTTAAAGAAGAGACCAACTTTATTTAAAATAACAGACACTCGAGTGGTTGATCAGTGATATTTTTGGTTCAATATATGTATAGAGATACTTGTCGTCTGTTGCCTTTTGAAGGCTGATAATACAACTGTGGCTTTGAAGGCTGATAATACAACTGTGGCTGAGTATACGGTTATTGAAGAAGTGTGTGAACTGTTATAATTGTTAAGCGCGTGAACGGTAGTACCCCTCTTATTTTTACATCGTTGCGTGATATTTTTTTTTGAGAAAGTGTGATTTTGAGATAACCACACACCACTACAGGACCTGGTTACCTCACTCAGTCAAACGTCGGCCTTTTGTGACGCGGTAGTAAAGTTTTTGCGACAATTCTTGAGCAAAAATTCTTTTGCTATTGTAAGTCCGAACAGATGCGAAACGCGGAGGGTCTCAATGTCTCAGCCAATCAGCATTATTTGTGATTTGATAACAAGAATTTATTATTTATACCCGACTCGTTTGGCACTATTGAAGCGAGTTTCTGGTTTCCGAACATACTGCGTTCGTTCACTGTGTGTTATGTATTCCTAGTAATGCAGGCAGCGAGACGGTATAGAAAATTCATGTAACCAGTTTTGAATGAAAGATCGTATTGTTTATGTCATGTCTGTAATTAAACATTTAAATGTGAGTATATCATTAAACAAGAACGAGATGTTAAACTGTACATGAACATAATGATTCGGAGCACGGTCTATCAAGTTTCATTTTCAAAAAGCAAACATTGAAATAAATAATGTAGTAGATATAATATTTGTCTGTTTGAATCAATACAAATACACAAGGACCCTCGCAAGTTCATTACACCAGCTCGCGATAGAAACAAAGACTTCGCTCGAACAACGCGAAAGGTAAAACACGCGAGCGGTGGACGGAGGGAACGAACATGATTTTTCACGCATCGCATGTGACCGAGACTCCAGAACGGGTTTGTATTGGAATCCGGCGCACGGGCAAGTTCAAGGGGACACGCGCAACAAGG